GTGTTTGATATCCTTCTCCTTCTTCTTCTCCTGCTCCTCCTTCTCTCCTCTTCCTCGTCTTCTTCATCCTACGGCCTCGCCATTTGTGCTGGCTGGGTTGTTCCTCTCGTTTCACCATTGCGGCTACTACCCTCGCTCCACCCCAGGCTGTTAGTCACCTTCAATTTCGAGAAGATCCAGAACGGAGCCCACAGCCACGGACCTCGTCTTTCGGCATCTCCTGTCATCAATCAGTCACCTGGCCATCGAATAATTTGCCTCGGTCCTTGTCGATTTGTGGCATCACCTGTTCCTGTTCATCCTGTTCTTCGTGTTCTTCTTCTGTTCTTGTCGTCTTCCGCAATTGCTTCTGCTGGGCCCGGCAAAAACCGCCCGAGTCCTAATTCTACTTGGCCAGGCACGGAACCGGCTGTGTGTGTTTTGCGTGTTTTGTGTGGGTGCGCAGGTGACCTGAAAATCGGCTGCCACTACCGACGGAACCTGCAGCGCTGACAGCCTCATCCACGCCCTCTCATTCGTCCACACTTACACCATTCGATCCGTCCCCCAACAAACAATCGTCGGCGTCAATGCTAAAACTGGCGCCTTGTTCTCTTCTCATGGTTTTCTGATTCTACGCTCAAGCTCTGGAGCGCAACCGACTGCCTCCGTCGAATCCTAAAGGTCCAGCATGGCTGCTGCAATTTACTCCAACCAAGACTCAGACTACTTCAAATCTGCTCCGATGATGCGGCGCTCACATTCGCACTCCAACCTGGGCGGCGCCTCGCTGGCGGGCTATCACCACTGTGGCCCAGACCTGTCGAATCCCTATGCCCACCCTCCAGCCAAGTCTTTTTCAGATTCCGACCATTCCTCGGCGCCCTCATCTCCTCGCACCGCGCATATTGAATCAGCAGATGCGTCCTACACATCCACGCCTTCTAGCAATCTCTCAATAGCCTCAGATTTCGAGGAGGCCTTGTCCATAGACGAATCCCCCGAGGACCACTTCAGCCTGCCACCCTTCACTGCCGATAAGCTCTATCTGCATTCGCAGATTCGACCGGATGACAACCTGGAACCTCCGCCGAGTCCTCGCACTGGTGACTCCTACACAGTCTCGCCCGCCGAACAGGACAGTTCCGTCAGCACCTCAAGACCTGATAGCCCTGAGCTCAGCGACCATGCCGAGGATGATACGGCAGTTGTGAGCAAGCCGTCTCGGCAAGTGGACTATCTATCCCACGAGTGGAGGGAAGAAGATATCTGGTCATCGTGGAGATATATAATATCGAAAAGAGGAGAATTCCCCAACAGTGCCAGACTGGAGAATGCATCATGGAGAACATGGATGAAGGCTAAGAACAATCTAAAAACCATTTCCCCAGAGACACTCAACTGGTAAGTCTTACATGGACGGATTGCGATGGTTGCGAATATGTGTTTACTCATGTTTTTTTAGGCTAAAAGATTACGACGTCACTTGGCTCTATGGACCTCTTCAGTCTGGAAAGCATAACACTGCTAACAAGACTGGGCCCCCAAGCGTCTCCTTATCAAAGTCAAGTTCTCTTGTCAACTTGGACAAGATGAAAGATAAGATGAACAACAACAAGAAGCCCATCCTGAAGAAGAGGAGCATGTCGGAGATTATGCTCCAGAGGTCACTCTCAACTGCTTCCCTCGTCAAGCAAGCTGCTGCTGCCGTCCACGCTCAGGAATATCGCAGTGCAATGCGACGACCACAAGTAAACCGGGCAAACACGGATTACATTTCGCTTTCGTTTTCTTCCAGGCGGATGAGTCAAGAAAGTAGCAGTGCCGCCGCTACGTCTACGGATTCATCGAGCATTACATCCCCCAACACGGAACGCAGGCATATTCACTTCAACGAGCAGGTGGAGCAGTGCATTGCTGTCGACGTCAAAGGCGATGATGGAGATGACGCGGAAGTGGACATGGACATGGACCTGTATGGCGATGAAAGCGATTCAGACGATGGTGTCATGATGAAGCGGGTCAGGTCAAAACGACGCCCATCAACAAAGAAGCGCACGCAGAAGAGGATCAATGCCGAAGGCAAGATCATCGCCATGCTTCCGTCGACAACTCTCAAGTACCAAGGAGAAGACAGCCCTGACTCTCAAGATTCAGCTATGAAGCACAGCACACGTGCCTCTCGCAGTCCTGTTCTATCTCCTTCATCATCACAGGAAACTCTTCGCCCATCCAAGTCATCTGCTAGGTTTTACTTCGACGAAGATGAAGACGACGACGATCTGGCTCCGGAAATTCAGATGCCTACTATGGGCTGGCTATCTCCACCATCAGAGAGTGGTGCCAGTGGGCTGCACAGATCGACATCTTCAAACAGCCTTCTCGACGAGCCAGCGGGCATGCGTCGAACGCCTTCGGGGATGTTTATGCCATGCGAAGAAACCGAGACGTCACAGGGGGAAGGCATTTTCGGTCGAGTAATTGACACTGTCAATACTGCCCGCGACATTGCCCATGTCATCTGGAATGTCGGGTGGCGAAAATAATCGTGGGAACCGGCCAATTGCCCGCGCGCCGAAGGCATCATTCACTTGGACTAGTTGGCCGATCTCTCAGACTCTATCACGATGCCACGAGCAGCAGAATGATCCAAGCGCGCTTGATTGGCCTCTCAACAACGTTCTTGACCAGCGCCAAGCCAAGCCAGGACCCCCGAAACCAGGACCCCCGAAATCCGGGGTCCAGCGTTGCATTACGCATTACCCGCTGATTTGCGCCTGACAGCAAACTCGGCCAGCTTCCATTGAGACATTACATAATAATTCGTCTCTTATTCGCCAAATGAGCTTCAAGTGGGACTTGGCCTTTGTCTCTCATTTTGTTGGGCCTGGCACTACGACCAAGCCTAGGCGTCATCAGGAGGCGAAAGCACGACGAAGCTGAAATGGTAATATTCTCGATGTGGGCACGCCGATGTCACGAGATGCCGTTTCGGTGGTCGGGTGACTTCATTTCGGCCACCTAATTTCCTTCACTAACTTGAGTTTTATTCTACCTACCACTTGCTTGGTTCGAACAACGCTAGGGGTATTATCCCGGCTATACGACGGCTTATGACAAAACACGTCTCTGTACCCCATTCCCTTTTCTCTGTTGATCTTTCTCATACGACAAGACCAAAAGAAGCATTTATTTTTATTTTTCTGGAATACGACTTTCAAAAATATCGGCCGGCTCATCAAAGGATTTTTTACTTTGTTTCATATATATATTCTCTCGTATTCGAGAAGAGGCGTGTTTTTGCCTACCCGTTCGAACATCTATCTTTTTGCTATTGTTGTTGCATTCAAACAAAACTTGTATTTCTGTATTTTGGACGTTAAAGAAGGAAATCTTTGCGGAGGGAATAATTGGGTTAGGATCTTTTGGGTATATAGGGCATTGGATGGAATGGGGGGGGGGGGGGGGGTTGAAAAAAAAATAGCATGGAAATCTGGATCGAAGTAGACAGACCGTTTGTACATAGGAATACACAGCACAAGCAAACGAAATGAAACAAGAAATTCACAAGAGTCTGGGCTTCTTTACTTAAGACGAGACATATGTACAGTAGGTTACAATTGGGGCACCTTTTTAGATGCTCCTACTGCTACCATTGCTGCTACGGGATACTCGACCAATGGCGTTGGTATTCAAAGTGGAGTGAGTGATGCTATATGTATAAATTGATGAGACGTATGGGTTACATGCTGTCCAATCCTAAAGCTGAATTACTTTGCTCTTCTCGTAAAGAGCCTTTTGAATACGCCCGTCTAATTAACCATACAGCCAATCCAACCCAAAAAAAAAAAAAAAAAAAAAAACAAGACACTCCCAGAGACCATGCTTAGGCCTCGGCCTTCTTTTTGTCCATCCTTGCTATGGTTTGTGTACAGGGATACATGAAAGCCAGGGGGGATGCAGCAGGCGAAATAAGAAGAAAAACGTCATTCTAGCAAATGGACTGACGGATTTTGATCACGGCAACGAGCGGGCATGCAGGGGATTGGCTATTAAAATCTTCCTTCCTTGTATATTCCTGCAGGTATTCCTTCTTCTATGAGAGGCCGCGTCATCTGCGCCAAAAAATATGCAGCAGACAAAAAGAAGAGGCTTGTCCGTCCAATAGCTATTCGTACAAAATAATGAAAAGGGGGAGAGAGAGAGAAGTGGTATATGATACATGGCCGAGGTGGCCGCGGCACGGCCTGAAACGGCGTGCATGATTCTGCGCCCGTATACGTACATGAACACGATGTTACTGGCCGGTCCCCCGTGTGGTGCATGACAGTAAAAGGCGTCAGGGAGTGGCAAATTTCGAGGCAGAAGGTAAGTGTTAAAAGGGATAGCCTGTTCCCAGCTGCATAATTGTACCAGTACTTTGTGCTCCAAACAGAGACAAGAGTGTGTTGTTTGTACAGGCTGTCTGTCAGTGTTAGGCATCCTCCAAGTTTGCTCCCAACAAAAGGCCCCCCCCCCCCCTGGAGAGTGGGGCCCGTCAGATGCAGCAAAGTCTGGGGTAATTCATACATATGCGGGGAGAAAGGAGTCTAGAAGTGGAGTGCACGAAGCCAACCAGAGGCTGCCAGCGTCTATAAGGCCAGAGAGAGGGGACGTAAGAGGAGCCCCAAAAGGGGGGGTTGCATATGCGGCTGTGCGGTGCATTGGGTTGAAGGAAACCATCGCAGGGTGCACGGATGCCTGCTTAGGTAGGCGTGCGTGCTGCAGACTTGCATGGTATGGCTGCAATGCTTTGCCCAATAGCAAATACTGCATATCTTCGTATCATTTGGTATCCAATGCATCCGAGATGCCTTTGGGCCGAATGACTCCAAATCTTGAATTGAATAGGTGCGGCATCCAGCACAATTTATTGACCACATGTTCACCGAATTTGACCAGGGCAGATAAGAACAGCTGGTGTCTGTCCGCCGGCCATTGATTGATTGCTCTTGTGTGTCGTGTCTGGCCAAATGCGTTGCTCATGTTAGAGCCGGTGTTGCGGACGCCTCTATGCTATCAGCGGCGTTAGGGCCGAGATACTTGAGGGCTTTAACGAGAATGCGCCGCGAATGAACGTTCACATCTGCAAGCTCAACTTCGAATTGGTCTCCAACTCGGACGTCCTTGACAAGAGCCTTGTGATTCAAGCCCTCGATATCCATTATCGCATTCAGACCGAAGAAATCCACTCTGCCAATGCAGCCCTGCCGCCAGCGCGAACTAACAGTAAATCGGAGCTTGCGAGGTGCGGTCTTCTCGAAGCGCCATGCACGAACAAGGGCGATGAGGATCCACTCGAGGATGCCGCGAGAGACTGTGCGCGCCATCTTCTCGCGGACCTCTAACAGCGGAAGGGTAGTCGCGAGCTGGGTAGAAGAAAATGGCAGAATGTCATCCAAATTATCAGTCTCCGGATCAATGGTTCGCTGAGTGGTTCGTTCGTGCTGTAAGGCTGCATGAATTTGCCAATGGACAAGCAAGTCAGAGAAACGACGTAGCGGCGATGTGGCCTTGGCATACATGTCCAGCCCAAGGAGGAAGTATGAGCCTGGTTGACTCGATATCTCGATTCCGCCAGTAAGTCGAGCCAGTTCTTGTCGTTGGCTACCGCTTGGCTCAATGCCCTTCCTGATGAGGGGGTAAATCTCCTTTGTAGCGTAGCTGAATGCTTCATCAATACCATGTCTAAACTTGACATTCCTTCGGTAGGGGATTGGGATGTTGCGAGACGAACACCATCGTGCCGCAATTTCACCAGCTAGGACCATGGTGTTAGAAACAACGGAACACCCCGTAGATGTCTCGTAAGCGGCTTTGATATATGGATCAGTTGGCAGAATTTTTGATCCGTCTCCTTCCTCAGGAGTGTCGTGGAAAGTCACTGAGACAGAAGGGCGAGGGAAAAAGTATGGCCACGCTCCTTTTCCGAGGCGCTTGCTTTTGATAGCCTCGGCGAGTTGATACAACAATAATAAATCTTCTTTGCCGGATGAGTTCAGATCCCGGGCCGCAATCATTGGACGATTCAACTGCAGTCCTCCGGATACTTCAGGCTTTCCGACGACGAGACTGTAGCTGGGGACGGGCGGTGGTGCTGGCTCTTTGCAGAACTTAGATACGTCCTCGGGATCCAAGTAGACGACCTTTCCGAGTGTACTTGGTTCAACCTTGAAGTCTAGCAAGTCGCCAGCTCTGTTGACTCTTGCACTGAAGGTTAATGCTGGGCTTCCTGACTTGAGTGAAAATTGACTAACAAGACCATCAGAGGCATAGTCTTTGGCGTTGTCATCTTCACTCAGGTTAGAAGGTAGCATGGCTTGAAAGTGTCCAGGCAGATATATATTCTCCGGAATCAGCTCCATGTATTTGCACAGTTCAGAGTTTGGCTTAATACTTGACGCAGGATCGGCTGCGTGAACGTGAAGCCAAAACTCGTCTGGGTTTTCTGTACGTTCCAATGAGATACCGTCATCAATGACCATCGTCGACGCTGCGTCAATACAAAATATTGTAGACTGCCCATGTTCTCGCCTGTAGCCCGCTGCAATGTCCGGCCGCTTAGATTCTTCGACATTGCCAGGAATATCTCTCTCTAAGCCACCACCCCTGGTTATTGTGACGCTTGGAAAACGGACTTTGTAACGTGACGGGATCTCCCATGGAGGTATGATACCAATTTCTTGCAAAAACGTCCATGCCGTGCTCTGGTCGAGAACGGTATCATCGTAAAGTTCGAGGGCGCGAAGAATCAGGGCGCCGTGGCCGTGAAATTTCGACCCGGATTCGAAAAGGTCATAACTCGCCCACCATTCCAAAAAGGCAATGATATCCTTGCTTGACGGAGACCACTCCGTCTGTGATAGCTGCATAGCGTCTCCGGGAGCAAGGGTACCATGTGGCGTCCATTGTCGTCTTGAACGGCTCTCCAAGACTGCTTCTCGTGCCTGGAGAATGAATTTTCCGAGTATAGTCTCCTCAAGCTCATGTGGCTTTGGCGCCCTCAAGCGTTTCATGTTAGTTTCTGTGTAGTCACGGACCATAGTAACAACCTTGTTGATGATTTGAGAATGGCTCTGAGGGAAAATTTCGAACAAATGATCTCGACGATGGGCGTCGCTAGATGGGCTGAGTGGCCGAAAGCCAATCTCATTTTGATATAAAGCTGCATGGACAGCATACAGGGCAAAAGAGGGGAATTGGCCGCGAACTTTGAGAGACGCAGGCAGTAGTATATCGGCAATCTCAAAAAGGCTCAGATACCTGGCTTGTTGCTGAGTAGACAAAAATGTTCTGACTGCATCCAGCTTTCCGAGGTTCTGTTTCTGCACAGCTTCTGCTTTGAGCCTAAAGTCCATCATCTTTTGGATAAGCTGAGAGCCATCATCGCGTAAGGGGCCCTGTTCGTTGCGGCGCAGTTCTTCAAATTGTTCAATTGATGCCTTTCGTGGCAACTTTGCCATTACAGGCGCCAACTCTTCCTGTGTGGCAAACTTGGCCACCGTGAAGAGCGGAGAATAGCCCATGCTAGTGAGCCATCTGCCATTGACAGCATAGAAATGGTTTCTTTCTCCAAAGTACCCAAGGTAAATTGCAAAGAGGGGCACGCGCGAGCCAGTTTGTCTGAGATGGATGTTAGTGTTTATGCTCCTGAGGCCAGGCTTGCTGATTTCTTACTTCAACTCGACGAGATCACCAGGATGCCTAGAACTGTCACTAACAGCACCAACCTCAACGTCTTCGTCGCCTACATCGTCGCCAAACTCATCCGTCATTCCAGATTTATTGGGCCGCAGCTGGTCCATATCAGATGAGCCTGTCGATTGAGTTCGACTCAGGTCGTTTGAGACACTGCCGTATAGGATCATATCTGGAGGCATGCTATCAGAGTTGTTTTGGTTGTCTTGGGCAGCCCATAGCCGCAGCCGTTGGCGAATTGGCAAGTATGGGACATCTTGAGGCGTCAACTTCTGCTTAGTCACAGATTTTGGTATGTGAGATTGCCCATATCTTCCCCGAGGGTGGGATTCACTAGTAGTGCTCGCCCAATGCTAGATGGACAATGTAAGTTGAAACTTAACGACATGCCAACAAGTACAAAACTCACCACTTGAAGGCTTGAAAGAGCCGTCCTTGACTTATCAATAAGAGGTCGATTTTCTGATCCTTGTTTCATGAAACGACAGCGGCCGCGAGACAAAGATTGCCGATAAACGGACTGGCAGCCTGGTCGGGGCAGCATGGTGAACATATGCTACCACCTATTTTAAGATGGGCTTGCGCAGTGAATTTTTCAAGCCTTATCTGATCTGCCGGGGATGTGGCGCCAGCTGTGGGTGACGCAACTGCCTATATCACGTGAATCTGAAGTAGCTGTGGCTTGAAAATCCCCGGTTTTCCCCAGCTCATCCAGGGGCGCTGGAGAATAAACTCCCACCAGCAACAAGCTTATCGAAAGCGCGTATGGAATAAATTGCACATCAGACAATGGCGTCCATGATGTCATTTGATGGCTTGAGAGCGGTGAAGAAATATCAAAATTGGCATTTTAGATCTTACTCTGGGCGAGCTGTATGAATTACGACGTACAAGCTACAGCAGTTCGCATTACTCCAATAATAGCAGCTTCCGCTGTCTCAGACATTCGCTCTGTCTCCAGTGATTGTCCTGGCAACATCGCAGAGCAGAAGCGAGCCCACGCTTGAGATAAGCAACAAGTCGCCAATTAGTATTTCCACTATCTTTGAGACAAATTACAACATTTCCGATGTATATACCTCCGGCAACGGAAGCCAGAGTCTAGAACTCGTGATCTGAGGGCAAAGTAAGGTAGGCTTGAGATTCAGCCATCGGTTCAAAGCAATGTCGATATATTATTTCTCGCTTGAAGCAACCCAAGCGAATTATGAGTGAAATTTAGCTTCTGACTGTCCTTGCAGATCCCCCAATTCGCAGCAATTTCATTAGGCAAGGCAGGTCCGTTCCTTGCTCTTGCATCAAGCCATACCTCCTAAAAATGGCAGCAACGCTGGCCAAAACCAAGAAAGCTACAAGGATCGGAAAATGCAAAGGAGGGGGAATCTCCTCGCTTATTTCGCGCACAAATCTCGCTGACTTGGCTGTACCGCAAGAATATAATGTGCGCGCCGTAATTAATTTGATAGGCATCTGCTGTTTGCTCAGAGTATATTGTTTTCCCTTTGAACGCAATTAATCAGAGTCCTACTTTGACATCACAGCCTCTCGCCTGAATTAGGTAGAGGTGAACGGCGCGAACGCTACTCCGTGGTCTCTCACCACCCGCGTCGCCCATCGCCGACTTTCCTCATCCGGGAGACACCTTGGAATATCGCCCGCCTGTAATTCGTCCACACGGCTCCACGGTATGCCTGCTTGCATCGCAAATTGAGGACTGGCTTACCAGGGGCCAAGCCAAGCGACCCTTTGAAATGGCAGGGGTAGGCACCCATTCTGCAAATACGAGAATTGCCTGAATAGTAAGACTGCTAGCGAGCAAGCGGCCATGATTGGGCAGAATCGGACTGGGCTTCTCGAAGCAGAATTGGCGCCCCTTTCTCGAAATGAGCCTTTTTCGCAGCCCAGCAGCCGAGCCTCGACATTTGCTGCCGCTTCAAGAGCCAGCGCGACCCCAAGACATCTTAAAACGGGACCCTTGTCAGAGGGGAAATGCGGACTCTAGCTAGGGTCAGCAGAGGAAAGGTCCTCACGCATTGCGGAGAATCTAAGCTTAAAATGGTGCAAATGCAACCTACCGCTCATTTTAGCTGGTGGTTCACGACGTGCGCTAGAAGACCGCCACGAACGACCCCAAGACTTGCGCGATGAAGAATTGCATGGGGACTCTGTCAGACCTCGAGCTGCGGCTGACGCCAACACCGACATCAGAAACGCCGACAGACCGGCCGCCACACCTACTAGTAGGCAAGGAACGAAGCACGAACTGGGCCTAAAGAGGTGCGAGGCGTTCTGTGCCTGGCCCGCTGAAGCGCCAAGCGGAGTGGGCAGATGCAGGAACAATCTCGCAGGCTAGTCTAGCTAAGAGTGGCTGGCCAATGAAGGCATGGGCGAGATTGGCCAGAGGATGAGGATCGTCGCTCTACTTGGACGTCGACCTGCTTAGTGCCTAGTGCCTAGTGCCTAGGTAGTACCTGTCCCTGCTTCAAGGGAGGGTTGAGCGCCCGGCCAGAATCTCAGATGACAAGACGATGCTCATCTCCCGGCATAGAGCTGATCAGCCACTCATCGCCGGTCACCCGCACATGTCGTAGCTTGTGGACCCATGGAGTTCCGATTCCCAATACGAAGAACAGCCTCTGCTCGGCCGACTACCGCCGCGGCTGCGGCTCCCTGTTGACGAGCATTCCTGTCGCTCAGTTCTACACAGCTTAGCAGCCTCAATGTCGCAGCGCTGTCCCATTGTTCATAACACAGCTGCCTACTTCGTCCATTGTCAGTCTGTACAGGCTTTTAATCCAAGCGGCCGTCGCCAATTCGCCCCTTTCAAGGAGCACTCAAGCGCAAAATGGGGATTGCTTGGCCAAGCTCCACCCTCTCCTATTCGACTACGAAAAGCCGTCTTGGCCTAGCAACGACTTTGTATTAGCAGCCGCCGGCGATGGACTCAAAGGTGACCACAGTGACTCGTCCTCTTTCCACCCCCCTCTCTTTCCACCCCTGTCATTCCTCCTCTAACTGGGGCAGTACCTCGTCTGCAGCGGAGGATTCCACAACCAGCTAGGTATACGTTCCGACTGATTGTTGGCGAGCACACCCCGTAGCTCACAACAACGAGCCATGCTACCCGCCTCCACGCGCACCGCCCGTACTCATAATAATGGCCGGTTGCCCACCCAGCCCGCCGTTCCCTTCTTCTTTTCTTGTTCCCTACGGATCGTCAAATCGAGGTCTTGAAGGAAGTTGCTTCCATTCGCTTTCCTCCTCTTGTTCTCCAGCAACCAACTTACCGCTTCACTCTTTCAGCGGGCATTCTTTTTTTTGTATTTGATATTCCTAATAGCCGAAAACCTTGTATTCATAATGAAGGGAACAATCGCCGCCGCCGCTGTGGCTGCCTTTGCCGGTGCTGCCACCGCTTCTCACGGCCACCGCCACGCCCACGAGCTCTTCGCCGCCAAGCGAGCCCAGACTGGCGATGTCTGCGTCCCGGGATGCACCACCATCTGGTCGACCGTCACCGGCGAGCCTACCTGTATGTTGATCGGCAACGGCATTGCCCAGCAGTCCTAGATGGTCAGCTCGAGGTTTTGGTATAAGTGTATGCTAATCTGTCCCATAGGGGTTCCTGCGCCTCCTGTTACCTCTGCTGCTCCTGTTGCACCTACTACCGCTCCTGCGCAGCCCACCACTGAGACTCAGGCTCCCTCAACTTCCGAGGTGATTGTTGTTCCTGTCCCGACGCCGACTCCCGTCTCCTTCTCGACTCCTGGAACCTACACCATCCCGGCCACCACCATCACCCTGACCGAGTCCACCACCGTCTGCGGTGCTACCTCGACTGCGGTGCCCCCAGGAACTCACACTGTTGGTGGTGTCACCACCATCGTTGAGACGGCCACCACCGTTACCTGCCCCGTTGCCACCGTCTCGACCAGTGGCACCGTTGTCACCAGCGTTATTGTCCAGACCACCTACGTCTGCCCTGCTGCGGGAACTTACACCATTGCTCCCATCACCACCACGGTCCCGGAGTCTACGGTCATCGTCTACCCCGTGCCCACCAGCTACGCTCCTGGTACCTACACCGCCCCTCAGAAGGTGGTCACCGTCACCGAGACTGGCTATGTCACCTGGTGCCCCTTTGAGAGCTCTGGTCTCCCCACTACTCAGCCCGCTCCTACTCCTACTCCAGCTCCCGCCAGCTACCCTCCTCCTGCTGCTGCTAAGCCTAGCACCTCTGCGCCGGTCTACGTTCCTCCTCCCGTCGTTCCCAAGCCCAAGCCTTCCCAGGCTGCCCCTAAGCCTAAGCCTCAGGCTCCTAGCGGTGGTCTCACCGGCAGCAACGACCACTACGGTATCACCTACACTCCTTATGAGCCTACCACTGGAAACTGCAAGGCCGCTTCTGAGGTCGAGAAGGATATCTCCGACCTCAAGAACGCTGGCTTCCAGGTTGTCCGTGTCTACTCGACTGACTGCAACACTCTTGAGAATGTTGGTGGCGCCGCTAAGAAGTACGGCCTCGATCTGATTCTCGGTGTCTTCGTCAAGGGTGACGGCTGCAGCTATAACACTCCCGATATCAAGAGCCAGGTCGACGCCATCTCTGCCTGGGCTCAGTGGGACATTGTGAAGCTCATTGTTGTGGGTAACGAGGCTATTATGAACAGCTACTGCTCTGCTACTCAGCTTGCTTCTCTGATCACCACTGTCAAGGGCAAGTGCAGCGGCTACACCGGTCCTTACACCATCTCCGAGACTCTCAACATCTGGCAGCAGCCTGCTGTTTCTTCCGCCATCTGCCCTGTTGTCGACGTCGCTGGTGCCAACATCCACCCTTACTTCAACACCGCTACCCCCGCCTCATCCGCTGGTGACTTCGTCGCTGGTCAGCTCGAGCTCCTGAACAAGGTTTGCTCTGGCAAGGAGGCCATTAACCTGGAGTGCGGCTGGCCCAAGCAGGGATCATGCAACGGTGCTGCCTGCCCTGGCCACAGCCAGCAGACTACTGCCATCCAGTCTATCCGTGAGAAGGTCGGTGACAAGACCGTCTTCTTCTCCTTCGACGATGATATGTGGAAGCAGCCTGGTCCTCTGGGCTGCGAACAGAGCTGGGGTGTTGCGGCTGCCTTTTCCATCTCAGGCATCTACTAAACAGATCAAAAGTCGGATACGCAGTGCGCACGATGGATTCAACTACAGCTAAATGCCGTATGCGAGTCTTGTGGTTTTGTTTTTTTTAGGACAATTGCGCGGTAGTTCTGTATATGAGGTCGCCATAGGTCCGGGTGTATATTTTGCATCTGATGCTAATGCTGTAATTAATTAATTATTCCACGAGCGTGTTTCGTAAGCCGTGATAAAGTGTGCCGCGTATCCATGTCAAGTGCACACCTATGTAATGCTAATTGTGTGTAGGCGTAACATGATTGTGAAAGAAACTCTAGTCTTTCGATTCACCCGTAAGTTTATTGCGATTCTTCTTTTTTCTTGTAGAATATTAGGTCACATATTAGCCAGAGATCCTTGCAAATAGGGAACTTTGATAATACCTAATAATCTCGATTTCTGGCTAACAGCTATGCGTGCTTCTTTTCATTTACCCTGTAGACAACCGAAAATCTCAGTTTTGACAATGCATATGATCATGGATTGACACCATTTGTTTCAAAAAGTATTCAGCTTTGTTCTTAGTTCTTTTCTTTTCTCTTCTTTTCTCTTAAATCTATTTTCAAATGCATGCAATGGCAGGCGACTTTACATGACTAACGTGTTGTACCATTTCTCATCTGTAAAAAGATTCCCACTCTGATTATCTCAAACTCACCTATACACTCTCTCACCACACCAACATACCATATCACCAAACAAGCCAAGGCCCTGTGAAAGAGTTCAAGAGGACAAGGTAAGAAGAAAAAGAAAAAAGAGTAGGAAAAGATCAAGAGCCAATTCGTCCTATATGCCTGTAGTATATACCATTGTGTATTTTTCTTTTGGAATACCACCATTGCTTTGTTCCTAACCTTAAGCTACATATATGTATCTCCCTCATTCATCTTCCTAGCTAAAACACTAGAAACGTAAAATTGGACATATGACTACATTTCGACCACAAGGCAAAAGAGACAATCCTGTCTCATGTCACACGTGGAAGAAGTTGAAAGTGAAAATGAGAACAAAATAGGATGAGTGAGAAGAAGAAGGCTAGAATGCAAATAAGAAGATCGCTTATAATCCGTACTTGAAAGTCCCCGTGTATCTGACTCAAGTGTCATGCTCAAAAAATCCTAACAAAATGAAAAGAGAGAGCAGAAAAAAGACAAAGAAAAGAAGAAAATGGCCAAGGGATGTAGTGCAGTCTCAGCCTAGTAAGGTTTGCTACTAAGAAGGCCTCGCCTTTTTTTCCCCCATGTCTTGTTCTTTTCTTTTCTTTAAACAAGAAGGGAGGGCGCCTGATTTTCCCAAAACCACGTGTCTAAGTTTTTTGCTTTCTTGTCCCCCCCCCTTCTTTTGAACACGTATATATAACAACAAGGGGAATAAATAAAATGAGTATCCAAAACATGCAGAGATGTAAAATTCATGAATTCCGAGGGCAAATCCGACTATAAGCAGATCCCAGGGCATAAAGACATTCCAGGCTTCGCCTTTCAATAGCTGTTTGTGCCAGGTGAGAGTGCCAAAGATACCATGCCAGAGGAAAATGAAAAAATGCAGGCTAAAATGGGTCGATCTTAAAAGGAGGTCAAATAATGAGAATGAATAAGAAGTCGTCACAGTCATAGGTAGAGGAAAAGTGAGGGGATGAGAGGCGTATGTGTGAAGTATGTACAAGTCGGACGGGCTTCCTGAAGAAGTGATAGGAAGAGAGGGAGAGAAAGGCGGGCAATGATATGGAAATTGTAGCTTCATCACAGGATTGGTGTTATAGTTATGCAGCTGCGTTGGTTTAAAATATACTGGGGCCATCCATGAGTGGTGGTGGCCGGCTATGTTGCCAATCATTCCAAGTGGCTGAGGATCCGTTGTCCTTGTACTTGTTGTCATCGTCGTTGTTGTTGTTGTTGTTTTTGTTTTTGTTGTTGTTGTTGTCGGCTTCGTCGCCTTTGAGCGGTCGCCGCTGTCCTGCGGAGACGGGCTCATCAACTCCGTAGCTACAGCGCTCAAACTGCAGCAGCCCGCCGCGGTGAGCGTCGCAGCAGAGAACGTTGAAATTCTGACCCTCGTTGGTAAATGCCACGCCGCCAATCTCACCAAAGATGTCGATGGTTTGCTTAGAACGGAAAGTGCCGGCATCAATCAGGTGGATATAGTCGGCTTCTTCGGCAGCAGCAAGGATCGGCTTGCCGCTGCCCGTTGGTGAAAAGCGCAGATTTCGGACACCGGCCATCTCAGTGTTTATTGTGTAGATCGGTGAGATTATGCCGCTTGAATTCTGCCAGCGTCGAGCGTCCCAGATCTTGATAGTCTTGTCTTGGAATCCGGTGGCAACTGTCCAGCCATTATCTGACCAGTCGCAGGCAAACCCGTAGTCACGGTGTCCATCCAGCTTCTGTAGGATTTCTCCCGTCTCCGCATTGGTGATTAGAACATTTAGGTCATCGCCCACAACGACCCTCAGACGACCATCTGGTGACATTGCCGAGCAATTTAGCGCAAAAGGGTATGTAAAAGTAGAGGTGAATTTTTCTGTCCGAAGGTCCATGAGGCGGAAACGATTATCATTGCTTGCGATAGCGGCAGCGGGACTGTCGGATCTCCTCGGCTTGTATATCTTGATGTGGTTGGTGATACCGCTGATATTAGTAGATATTTGCCCCTCGGAATAGCTCCTCCTGTCTTCATTGCTCAGTGACTGCAGAAAGTAGTCGCCGCCGAATGTACCACTCATCAACAGGCCGCAGCCGGCATCCAGCGTCGAGATTGCCGGGCCCGTCATACCAGAGAATGCGCGTAGATCCATGGCCAATGTGGTCTTTTTCGTCGCCGTATTCATCACGTTTATGCCATGGACGCTGGGGTAAAACGCTTGTGTCCGAGTGGGACAAGCAAGAACGCTCCGGAGCTGGAAATGGGCAAGACTAATGTCTCGTCGAACGTCCATTCTGTAAAACCTAAAGAAGTTCTCGGTTGAGGGAATCTTGTTTTTTGTTTCAATCTAGTTTTTGAAGTAGATGGTTAGGATAAAACCTCGTTTTCATTTCATTTGGGGAGTATTCTGCCATAGAAGACTTACGTGAATATCAGAACCAGGTCTGTTCACATAGTTCCTGTACGTTTGTCGACGAATTTCTCTGGCGTAGTAGCGGGCCGTGTTCATACTGTCCCAGTCTAGGCCTTGCATATCACAGCCATTGGCGCGCAGGTCTCTGTAATGAACACGCTCCACTCCGCTATTGGCTTGCTTCAAGACTCTACGGATACCCGGCCGAGGTAACCTCAAGGACATTAGCGGGACGTTTCCGTAGGCCCAGGAGCGTAGGAAGTCGACTAGGCCGTAGTTTTCGGATCCCAATATGCTCGGGTTTGGGTTGCTCATGTGGGGTGGGGGGAAAGGATCGTGCAGCATCTGCTCCTCATCTTCATCAAGTGATAGCTCGTCTGCCGACAGGGGATTCTGGAGTAGTATATTGAGGGCTTCGTCGAGCAATTCTTGTGGCATATTGGCCGGTAACGGCAGCTGGTCGCTTGGATGGAGATAGTGTGCAAGGCTGGGTACCGAGGTTGGTGGCGCCTGTGACTCTTCGTCGCTCATCATTTCGTCTTCGTCATCTTCATCGTACTCTTCATCGTACTCCTCATCCTCGTCATCCTCGTCCATTTCTCCTTCGTCATCAGCCAGTCCATCGGCGTAGTGTTGGTTGTAAGTTGTGCTGGCCTCAATCATGTAATTGCCACCAATGACTCCATTCATGTGGCTGACAGAAGCTCCTCCATCGCCATCGCTATCGCTATCGCTCATCTCTTGGTCGAAAATGTCATCCATTTGAAGATGGTGTTGGGCGGATGTGTATGCGACTCCGTATGAATGGTTGAGGAATGAGTTGGTGGGAGGCTCTAGTGGGAGTTGATTGCTACCAGAATCGCCATCGACGGGTGCGTTGTAGAAGCTGCTGCCTTGGGAGTGCTCAGCAATATGTGTTTCGAGCTGGTCGAAATACATATTGTCGCTCGTGCTGTTCCCTAGGGCATACTGCGCCTGGTTACAACACAAGCGATGTTCGTTATCCTGCTGCGAGCAGTGGTGGAGATTGGGATGGTTACTGTACTCGCCGTCGTGGCCGTCGCAGAAAGAGTTTTCGGAGAGCTCGCAATCCAGTGGCAATGAGAGCGAGTTGGGTCGCATGACTGTCCGCGACAACAGCAAGGCTCGTGGCCAGGTGTTGCGGGACTGCGACAGGGACACGCGCTACGGGCCTGCGTCCCGAGCTGTGCCTTGTCCCGGCCTCGTCTTTTGCTGCCGACGGTGGCTTTTTTATCCCCTGGTGCGAATGCACAGGCAAGGGAGGGGGGCTGTCGCTTCTTCAAACCAACCTTGATCTGGTGCAAGCCTCCAGGCTGTCGGATGCGCTACTCTTTTCCAACCTCGTAGATGAGCTGCTGCCCTTGTCTTTCCGACAGCAACCTTGCCACACTCTTCTTGGTATAATCCCGATGTGTCCCTCGCCCGCCTCCCAAGGTTCTTGGACGGGTGGTGGCGACAGCGACAGAGGTAGTAGTAGTACCTAGTAGCAGCCGTGGTAGTATACCGCTCTTTCTCTGATGCTCGTGGTCTTTCAGCCGCAGACGTCCGGCCTGATTCCTACTTGACTCGCTCAAGCACTAGCCTCTTGGGACGTTTGCTTCGACTGCTAAAACTGCAGCTAGCCGCGCTTTCCCGGCCTCTGCTGTACAGCTATCGCAGCCTCAGCTAAGAGGGAATGGGATAGTAAATATTAAAAAGGTGAGAATGGGCGGGTAAGGATGTATGGCTCGCGCGCGTGGGGTCGAATAGCCGGCACGGCCCAATGGATAATAAACGGCCGTTGGACGAGATGGGACGCGAAGGCGAGGATGCCGCAATTTAGCTCCCTTTGGCCGCTTTGGTCCTTGCTGTCGCCAATAGTGATGCCGGAGAGGGCCTGATGGGCTGGTTAGGATCGCAACGGGCGTTGAAGGATTGGCTGTGGTATGGCAGCGGCAGAGGACATGTGATTAGCGGCAGAGGAGTGGCGGCCGTGGTGATCTGGGGATGGCAATGGCGATGAAGGGCGAGGATGAGAGATGGAAGAGATGGAGAGATGCAGAGATGCAGAGACGCAGAGATGCAGAGATGAAGCGAGGGGGTTACTAATAGCAGCAGCAATACTGACCGATGAGTGGTTTCCACGTCCGCCGGTGCCAGCAGCCTCGTGTGCTCCTGCTGGGCAAGCTGTGGTGTAGAAGCGAGGTGAAGAGGCCGTGGTAGCGTCGCCCAGAAGCTGTGGATAGACTGCCAACTTTAATACGGCCCGCGGCCGGACCTGATGAGAAAAAGCGTGTGCTCGATGGCCAATCTGCTTTGGTGCGAGTCAAGCCCCCTCCCCTCCCCCAGACTTTGTGGTGCTTGGCCTGTCCTATCGGTCTGCCGGTCTGTCTTGTACCCGGAACCAGCGCGCAGCTAGACGAGACAGCCCGCCTCCAATCTCGAGTTACTACGACTCAGCAAGTCTGTACATAAGGCTGACGCTGATGGGCTGGCATGGCACGGCATGGCATTCAAACGGCACGCCTCTGCTCTGCTGCGCTCTCATCTCTTTTCTCTTCTCTCTTCTCTCTTCTCTCAAACACCCAGTGCGCCTGTGGTGATTAAACTTAGCGCCGACTGCGGCCTGGCCGACTCGCGAACAGTTGCAGTGCAGAGCAGAGCAGAGCAGAGCAGAGCAGAGAAAAGATCAGAATCAGACACATCATATGTGCCGTCTGCTGGTGAGCGCTTTCTCCGAGCGATGCTAAAATCGGCGCCAAGCCGGGCAGGGTCCGTTGATAGACACCAGCCAGCCAGCCTTGAGGCCCAAAGGTCACAGGTACCGCGCCGCAAAAACTACCGACTTGCTTCTTGAGGGGACGATCCCCGTTCTAGGCCAAACGCACGCCATAGCAGCTCGCTGTGAACTGGACGGATCCCTGCGGGGGCGGCTGGCCAGGGGGACGAGATTGAGTCCAAGGAAGCTGAAGCCTGTGCTCTGTAGACGGTACCTTGGCTGGGTTGACCGGGGTCGCAATGCGCTTCGGCGCCTTGCAGCGACGTGCTGTCTGATGTGTTGTTGTAGTTGAGTTGCCTGCCTATCTCGCTGAGGCTTTCAACTTGCCAAGTTGCGTGTACTTAACACGTGCAAAGCCCGACGCATAGAATCCGGGCTCTCATGGAGTGTTGCACAACAGTAGCCGCACTACGGACTCGCACACGGCATTGGCCAGCGGGCGAGTGGCGCCGTGCTTGTGCTTGTATTTGCGGCCTGTCCCAGCATCAGTCCAGTGTGTACTGTTGTCAACCAAGTCAGCATCTCATCGCGGCGATGGGGCGACGGTCGCGAAAGTCTCTGGGAGGGATTCTGGTGGCGTCCGGATATCGCTTCAAGGCCGTCGACTCGGAGCAATGCGTGCGAGGAGTGCCCGATGCCATCAAGTTGAAACCAGACCTCGACTGTGTGCTGGTCTGAGCGCCATGGCTTATGCTACAGCGCCTGCTGGTTTGCTACTCTAGGCCGTCTGCGAGTGCTGGTGCCGCAGATGATCGGCTTCGATGATGATAATCCCGCTACAGTGTATACGCTGGCTACTGTTCAGTGGCCAGCACGGCGTCTGCTGAGCAGACAGTGCTCTTGGCCCCCAAAACGAAGCACAGGAGATACGTCAATTCCGATCCGGGTGCTGTATGGCGCACTGGGACAAGGCAAGGGAAAAAAAGAAGGTCCCCCAATTTCTCCGCTGCGGGCTGTTTGGCCAAAACCTCCAACGGCCAACATCGCTCATCTCTCACATTCTGACCCTCTGCTTTGGCTCCTCTCGACCATGGATGCTCGTTAGCCTTGCAACAGACACGGCATGATAGTGCTGGTCTCTCGAGGCCTGATTCACTAGCAGGCTTTGTGTGAAATTGCCGCATGCACGATTTGCATTGCCGGGATTACACACTCGGTACGCCACGCCATGTCGCTCATTGGTCTGGAACTCGTAGCCTGCAGCGGTTGTCGCTGCCCTGTACAGGACTGATATGACTGAATGCGAGGGACGGGCAGCCGAGCAAGGCAATCATTCACAGACATGGAAATCCACGCGGCAACCCGAGAGCCCAATCGAACGACAATTGCGTACTTGAAGGCATATTTGGACTGTATCGGCTTACCTGACAGACAAACAGCAACACCAATTTGGGAACCGGCTGACTATGTGATAATGTACCTACAGTATATCTTGAGTCCCTAATAGGGCTATTCCCTTACATTCAATTCAGGCAATCCGGACTTCGAAGTTGTTGCCGGGGAGTGATGCAGCTCAAACCGCAGTGGGAATACCCAGCACTACGGAAATATGCATGACAGCCACCCGCTCGCTGCCGCTCGCTGCCAAACGTGCTCATCCAGGAAATGGTGACCGGGCGAAAACGAGCAGCAGCACTGCTATATGCCAGCATTCAGAAGGCCCTGCAATGGCCGCGGCTCATCTCGATGGGGGGATGAGATGGGATGATCAACCGGACTCTCGCTCCTTCAGCCTTGGGTCTTGGCCACCATGCTCATGGTCATCCTCGTCTTCCCCTCCATACCCAAAAGCAGCAATCTGCTGCGGCATCAATGGGCTGGGTCGTCGCCCAACGACCAAAGACGGCCTTTGTTGGGCTTCTCTGCATGTGCATGTCTTCCAAATCCTCCGCACCCTGTGCCGGCATCATGTCATGCTCTATCACAAGCGCCTCAGGCTGCTAAATTGGCCAGCCAGCGTCTCTCAACCTCGAATCGTACCAAGGTGTGTGTACTTGCTGCTACAGTAAGGATACGCGACGCTTCGGCCTCGTCCAGCTGAGAGGGTCTGGTTGCATCCAAAAGGCATTAGGGGCTCTGCCTGCATGCAGGATCCACATTTCCCTTCACCGGTCGCGCTGTAGTTTGTGATAGATGACCTATAAGCTTGCCCGTTTTAGCCCCCTCCCCTTCTCTTCTGCCAGCCCGTCCATCCATCACCACGCAGGGCAGCCTCTTCTGGGCTGTTTGGCCCGTCTGGTGGCTGAGAAGGGATGGCAGAGAGGGGACGCTCCCCTGGCTGCTGCTGTAGCCGCCGATGTTTGCCACTACGAGTAAGGTGGCGGCAGCAGCAGCAGCAGCAGCACGGTAGAGTCGACTTGTTTGTATTGTACATAGAGTACATGTATACCTACACAGAGACCAACCTGTATGCGTACCTTATGAGAGTTCAATAGTAGTTTCGATTCGATTCACTCGCTGCTTACTCTTGACCTTTTGCGTCCTGCGTGGTGATACGCCCATCAGCTGTGAAAGTCGTCCGGAGTCTTGTGGCACTCCGCAATGGCTAAAGAATAGCCTTTCGTATAATAGCCGGCGGCCTTTGACTGATTGCTCGCATTTTCTGATGCCCACTACACACTTAACCTAGCAGTATTACGGAGCACCAAACGCACGTATAGTAGTATGGGGTAACAGTCTGCGGAGTACGGATCGAAAGGCAAATACTACAAGTAGGTACTTACAGCGCCACTAACAAAGGAAAAGAAAAACTGAGGAAATACCTATCACAAAAAAAGGAAACAAAAGGCCAATTTTTTTTTTTACCCTCCTTTGCCGCGTCTTCCTTTTGGCGTGTGTGCCTTGATTCATGCAATCGCGGTTAATTTTCTAGCCTTCTTTTCTTGGGCTTTACTTGTTCTCGTGTAGCAGCCACTCCCTTTGTGAAAGCCCAAATCAAGACTCCCTCGAGAATATGTAGACTTGCAGGTGCATGGCCGACAAGCTTGTCCACGAGAAAAGAAATACCAAGGTAGACTGCGCTGTACAGATAGTAAGTAGTAGACTACTAACCTAATAATCACTAAAAGCCTACGGAGTAATATTACCTGGCACCTTATTCGTGCCATGCCAAGCCTTCTTGTCAGCAAAATCTCTTCTCTCGCTGGCCCCATACACAGATCCAATCCCGTGCAAAGTACATGTAGCCAGCCAGCCCGATGCGGGATTCTGCATGGCCGCATCAAGCTCACCCATGGCACCATTTGCCGCGCATACACACACTCGCTCAATTCGTCTTCTTTCCTTATCTCTTAGAAAGAAAGACGAAAGAAATACTATCTACTTCTGAATCTAGGTGCTACATAGGTAGTTTTTGATTTGCCAAGGCAGCTGAATGCTCAAATTGGGGGAAAACGGTTTTACCCCCAAACAAGACATTGAAAGCCCAAATTGGTCTCGTTTCATCACGATCCTCGGCCGTCTCGGACAGCTTTTCTTGTAAGCTATAATGACCTAAATGCAGCATTTTCTGATACGTGCCCAGCAAAATCCTTCTTACTCGTCTTGTCGGATCTTGGCTGTTCCTGTTTGGCCTTGCCGTGTAACCGTTGGGTACTAGTTCTCTATACGAAACACCTACCTCTCCCCTCTCTGCCTTTGCCCATTCACAATCTCTTGGCCTTGGTTAATCATGGATACTCTGCGATGACGAACAAACCAAAGCTCTCCGCGGAGATTCATCAATTGAATAAAATTTCGCCGTATCTAAGATAGAGATACGATTTGCCGTATTCCGCTGACATTTGTTCATAACAACACCTACTCTAGGTGTTTGCTTTCAAATCAGCCTTACCTCATTTTCCATGTAACGGTATATATCATATCTATCATATAGCGTCACTATTTACTACCTAAGGTAGGTATCAATAATAAGTGACTCCCTTTCCCTTGCAGCCACAACCGTCATCTACCATTTCCCTAAAACAGGAAGCCAGCATTCACGATTTCAAGCAAAGGGTAATCTCCTGCTCCATTCACTTCATTGCGCATATATGACACATCACGGAGCCTAATCCCAGTCCCTTTTGGTTAATTGATTAAATATACTAAGCACTTCGTAGTATCTCTATATATATTTCTTCACGTGTTATATAAACAGGATGACCAAAAGATCTTCTTGCCTGCATCATCTCACATTATCTCAGCATGTCATTACCGATCGTCTCTACGCTCGAGCAGTACCTAATATAATCCAGCACAGACACACGGACATAAGAGCACAAATAGGGCAAGAGAGTAAGAGATGCTATAGAGAACGACATACATGTAATCAATTCCAAATTCATTCCCTTCACGCTATGGAGCAAATAATCCTCACCCACCCACTCTAATACGATCTTTAAATTAAACAAGTAAGAAAAATCTTGGTAGATAGGTAGGTACACCATACGTACGTACCCATTAGGCCTAATCAATCAATATACAAAGACGACCAGGCCGGCTCGTCTCATCCCGTCCCGCCCGCCGGCCCGCCCGTTTCTGTCACGTCACTGACAATCCCGAATCCCCTTGCACCACATACAAGCATCACAGTCTACAGAAGCGGCAATATCACCAAGATCAATGTGCATACAAATGAGCAGTAACAACAACGACAACAACATTTGGTTGTCTGGGCTGTACTAATAGCCCATCCCGTAAGACGGACAGATAAAACTCCACCTCCCCAGTCCCTCCAACTAAACCCCCAACTTGCCATCTCACACATCCCGCATAAACAAGAAAAAAAAGAAAAGAAAAAAGCTTCTCAGCCTATTAGACTGTTCGCCCGCTACAACGTGCAGCTTCCACTTGCTGTGAGAAAAAAAAATAGGGGGGTCGGTGGGCGCCACCACGCCGGTATGTTTTTCTTTTCTTCTTTTTCCCGGGTTCCTGTTCCCTCTCTCTTGTTTTCTCGTGCTGCCCTAGGTACATACTTGCTCATTCACACCCACATCCGCACTCTCTCGCTCACCGAGCCTGGTGCCTCCCCCCCTCCATTCTGAGAGTGGTGAGATTTGAGTTCTTATTGCATGTAAAAAGCGTGTGGTGTGTGTATGTGATGGCAAGGCTTACAAGACAGACCTAACGGGGCAGAACAGCGAAACAGAGAAAAAGTGAGAACAAGTGAAACAACAAGACCAAGAGAGCATTCATTACACGCTGGCGTGTCTCTATTACAAAAGCTGCTGCCAAAGCATGTCCGGGCATAACCAGAAAAAAAAAAGACGAAATGCCCAAAGCCGCCCGCCCGGTTTCCCCCTTTGCACCAAAACTTTGCAGCATCACGCGACTCATCAAATCTTTCCAAAGCTGGCCCTTTCATTTGTCCGTCCGATGCTTGATAACGCCTGAATCTTTCTCGCCCCCCGCAGCTGCGGCCTGGTCTGTCTTGAATCCCGTAGCCTCTACGCATGTGCCCGTTTTTTCTTTTCTTTTTTGGCTTTACTTTATTCATTCTAGATTCTCTACACTACGGAAGTACAAACGCTGGCCATCCCCTTTTGTTTCTCTTCTGCCCTTCTGGGTATGCCTACAGCCACGTGTGCATGCGTAGAGTCAGGAAAAAACGCCTTGCATGTTGGTCTGACGACATTTTCTCTCTCCCTCTCTCTCTCTCTTTCTTTTCCCGACGCCCAATGCCCGACGCTCTACTCAACAAATCACTTAGATGGAATTGACAAGTCTCCTCTCCGCTTTCAAAGCAATCAGCTTCTCTAGTGCCTCATCCACGGGGATCAGCGCTCCCTTGCTCTGTGTGCTCTGGTCATCTCTGTTTCGGATGTTGACGGTGCGTGAGCTGGCTTCCTCGGCTCCGACGACTACAAGACATTCCGTATTAGCAGTAGTTCCCATATAACCATATTACCGTAAAGTAAAGGACTAGATGTTACTTACCAAAGATGAAGTTGTACTGCTTCAGCTGTCCAGTGCGAATCTTCTTCTGGAAAGTGTCGCTGCTTAGATCAACGTCAATGTAGATGCCCTTCTCCTGGTAGATGGTTTGAAGCTCCTTGGCGTAGTCATTTACTGCGGGCATCACAGGGACTACCAGGACTTGACGAGGGCTCAGCCAGAATGGCCACTTGCCACCAAAGTGCTCGGTGAGAATACCAAACATTCGCTCGAAACTGCCCAGCACGGCTCTGTGGATCATGACAGGTCGGGCATAGCCGACTGGCAGCTCGGGATCGTTGCTGTTCTGGTTGGCGCTGCTCTCACCCTTGGCGGCGAGGTAACGCAGCTTGAATCGCTGGGGCAGGTTGAAGTCGAGCTGGATCGTACCGCACTGGAACTCTCGTCGCAGGGCATCGTACACGGTAATGTCAATTTTTGGGCCGTAGAAAGCACCATCACCGGGGTTCTCCTCCCACTTGGAATCAATTTTCTGGGTGAAGTTGTCCAGGGCCTCCTTGAGCTTGGCCTCAGCCATATCCCAGATGGCGACCTCACCAATGTATTTCTCGGGACGGGTCGAGAGTTTTAGCTTGAAGGAGAAACCAAACAGCCCGTAGACGCTGTAAAGGAAGTCAAAAGCGCCTACAATCTCATCGCGAATCTACAAGCAGTCAGTAATCAGCCTTATATCTCATTATGCTTGCTTAGCATACCTGGTCGACTGTGCAGAAGATGTGAGCATCATCTTGCTGGAAACGGCGCACACGGGTGAGTCCAGAAAGAGCTCCAGAGAACTCATTTCGGTGCAGAACACCAAAATCAGCCATCCTCCATGGCAGATCCTTGTAAGTGACATCTGAGTGGGCAAAGATTCTGCAGTGTCCAGGGCAGTTCATGGGCTTCAAGCCGTATGTCTCCTTCTCAACATCAAAGGTGAACATGTTTTCAGCGTAGTGTCCCCAGTGGCCAGAGGTCTTCCACAGGTCAGATTTGTAAACATTGGGGCTGATGACCTCGTCAAAGGCTCTCTTCTTGTACTCGCCCCTGATCAACTCCATCAGAGCATTGTAAATTCTGGTGCCGTGGGGCAAGAAGAAGGTGGATCCAGGAGAAACCTCGTCAAAGAAGAACAGCTTCTGCTCCAGACCAATCTTTCGGTGGTTGCGCTTCGCAGCCTCTTCAAGGAACGTCTTGTACTCCTCAAGTTGCTTCTTGTCAGGGAATGAAACACCAGAGATTCGCTGGACGGACTCGTTGGCGCTGTTGCCGAGCCAGTATGCGGCAGAGTTCTATAAGAGAGGCGTGAGTATATCTGTGTACGCAAGACTAAACAGCAACGTCGTTATGGCAAAACACATACCTTGAGGACGGTGAAAGCCTTAATGTTTCCGGTGGTAGGAACATGAGGACCTCTACACAGATCGATAAGAGGACCGCATCGGTAGACAGTGCTCAGGGTACCGTCAGGAACTCGCTGGTTGATGAAGTACTCCTTGTACTTGCTGTAGTTGAACATCTCGAGGAGCTCATCCTTGGTCATTTCGAGACGCTCAAAGGGCTGCTTCTCCTTGATAATGGAATTGGCGAGAGACTCCAAAGCCTTCTTGTCCTCCTCCTGAACGACTTGGCTGAACAGTAACAGTTAGCAGCTTGCAACTAGCCCAATCCATCCAAGGAAGATTATTCCTTACTTCTCCATGTTGGCCATATCGTAGTAGAATCCAGGGGGATCGGTGGTAGGGGGACCGTTGCAGAGGTAGCAGCCGAATCGTCTCTCGGCAGCCTCACCGAGAACGTGAGCCGAAGAGTGCCAAAAGACCTTCTTGCCTATATCAACCAGTCAGACCCGGTTCTTCATATAACAGTCTCCCGTCTTCAACAAAGGCATCTTCCCCCCATACATACCCTCTTCATTCTCGAAATCAATCAGCTCCAGCTTGCAGCTCTTCTCAAGCGGTCTCGTAAGATCCCACAGCTCTCCATCGACCATTGAGATGACGGTGCGTTCGAACAGTGACTTCGAAATGCCCCTGGCAATGGCTCCGGGGGTGGTCTCCCATGAGGTACCCTTCTCCTCCTTGCCATTGGGCATGGAAATGGTGATTTCCTCACGGGGCTTGGCTATAAATATGCCCAGACATCAGCAAGCTGGGAAACATAAATCATGGAGGCCATGATGGTGGGGTAGTTTGTCGCAGCAACAACGCACCAGCAACCTCGGCGTCTCGCTTGGCCTTGATCTTGTCGAAGATGGCAATGCGGTGTTGGATAAAATCGGGCAGAGCGGGGAGCTGCAAGAAAGAAAGAATTCATCAGTATCAATTGTCGTCGTCGAAGAAAGTTGGAGATTAAATCAAAAGCGCAATACCTCAAGTGAAGCCTTGCCGCCGCCAGCCTTCTTCTCCTTGGGCTGCTTCGCAGGTCTTGAAGGCAGGCTCTGGGCGGGCGCGCCCTCTGCCGCCTTGGGGGCATCGACGTTCTCGGAAGACATTGCTGGTGATGCTCTCTTTTTTGGTGTTGCGACACGGCAAAAGAAAAGAAAGTTGGCTGTTTGGCCTTTCCGTCCTAATGGAGGGGCAGGAAAATACCCTTATTAGCACATACTTTTATCTTTTAGGCGCGAGGTGGGGTTGACTCACAGAGGTTCGCGGCAAAGGTACAAGCGGCAGATCTTCGGAGTCTGGTGCCGGGGTGTTCTGAGTCAAAGGTGATATAAGATGGAAGTTTGTATGATGAGATGATTAATTCATCCGTCAATTCTAATTATAAACTTTCGTATCTCATTTGCCTTTCATTTAAATCCCCCTTCTTGAGTCACCAGTCATCTGCGCCTCATATCAATAGGGCCGGATATCGGAGCCATTGCAGTGATATGGAAGACTCATAGGCACAAGCAAGTAAAGTTCGTCTCATTTATATGAATTCGCATCCCAAAAGACTGGGTATCAGTTATCAGTGCCGCTCCTTTTTCCAAAAATTCCGTCCTAACGCCATGGAGCAATCTCAAAGGCGTTTGCCTCGCTCCTTATCCCTACCATAGCAGGTAAAACAATGTCCATCCCTTTCAGACCTCCAATCCACATATCATATCAACTCGAACACCATGTCAGCTCGTAGTATCTCACAGCCCATATCTGGTGACACATTCCTCTCTATGCGTCTCGAGACAGTCCAGCGCGCAAACCCTGGTCCCGCACTTCATGCATCGCACCCGTCCCCAATATCCGCACACCTCGCAGAACACACGCGTAGGGTAGCTGTCCTCCCACTTGCCTCTAGTCTCATAGTATGTCAGCGGTGGGTGAGCAAGCAGCTTCCTCAGCTCTTCGTCTGACGGGAGATCAGGCACGCGAGATGCCAGCAATGGATCGTTGTCGCCCGGATGGGCCGCTGGCGGTGGTCTGTACTGCCCGACCAAGACCGGGGGAAGATCTGCGTCTGCCATTGTAACGTCCTCTTCCTGTATGCCTGGTGTCGGCTTGTTGCTGCCGGTGGGTGTAGACGCGGCGGTGGCATCTCGTTTGTTGGCTGGTCGCTTGGAGCTCGCGTTGCTCGGTCGATTGTTACCCACAGCAGCCGGACCGCCCTCGACCTGCGCTTGTATCGCCAGAAAGTCGTCTAGGTGATTTGAAAACGTCTTTTGTGACTGTAGGATCTTTCGTACATTTGGTGTATGCTTTCCAGGAGCTGCAGCGCCAGTTTCGCCCATCAGCACTTTTTGTGTTTTTGCCTTGCACAACACTCCTGGCGCATTCTCACATACCTTTGCCGCTCTTTGCGGGTATCGGAATCGAAATGTCCTTTCCACCATCTCGCTCCAACGCCTCAATCTCCTTCCGAATCTTGGCTTCTTGCCGCGCCGTCAGGTCGCCGACCGTCACGCCCGCGGGTGCATTGCGAGCTCGTTTCCGGTTTGCTGGCTGCAGGGCGTTGGATCCGGGCAGTATACCAGTGTCAGGAACGTAGGCCCATCCGGGAGCCGACGTAGTTTTGGCACTAGCGAGTTCGATGACCCCGAAGTTGTTCATGGTTTCTTGGGGAATCGGTCGCGTGAGCTTGGCCGTGTGGGTTGAAGGTGGAGGCCGGAGAGTCAACAACGGGACATTGGAAATTGTATGATAAGCTTCCAAAGATTGGCAATGGAAGCTTATAGAGCTCTAGAGTACCATCCCGTCATCCACAGACGCGATATGCAGAGGCTCAGCAATAGAACGATCACACGGCAGTTGACGTCCGTGGGGCAAAAAAGGAACGCAGCGGCGAGAAAAAGCAGCAGCTCTGGGGAGCTGCCGGGCTATCCTCCGCCGGAACAACCCGCGCCGCTTCAGCTAAAAGCCCGTAACCCGCCGTGTCCGCAAACTGGGTACGTCTGCGATGATGTTGGAACTCAAGACCTTAATAGCCGCGGCCGATCCCAGATTCTAAGCCAGCAACAGCAAAATACCCTCATGTGAGCTTCCAATTCCCTTCGAGCTGCACCTGCGAACACCCAACCCAGACTTATTCCGACTTTCACAGTACCTTTTCTTGTCGAAGCCTCGAATCACCTTTTCCCTCGCCACTCGATCCGCCATGTTCGCAGCATCGTCATCAAGAATACTTGCCAGCGGCGCTCGCCGTGCCATTACTTCATCGCGCAGCTTCCATGCCTCAGCCCAGCGCCTGAACGATGCTGCGCCGCTACCGGCTAGAAAGCCCATGGGCGCATTCAGAGGAGGGTATGTCAGCGGAACGAGATTGGCGCAGCTATGATGCGACGAAATTGTAGATACAGCTCTTACTGACGGTATATACAAGTCTGTTCGGCTTCCTGTTTGGAAGTGTCCTGGCCGGCGGCGCCGTATACAGCTACGTCCTGCAGGAGTACAAGGCGTCCAACGAGCTCCTCACTGAGGACATTTACGTACGTCTACCTTATCTGCCTGCCCTGGGCGAGCTTGGCATTTCAACATGCTTCGCGACCATAAGCTCCCTTTTTCATCCACCCTCTCTACAGCTCTAGGGCCGTATGGATTGAATTATAGCTAACAAAGTCATCGACCAGACTCTCCAAGCCTCCGTCACTCGCCTGACAAACCACGTCAAGATCCTCGAGGAGAAGATCCAACAGAAGAGAAAATAAAGCCCGAAACGGACAAATAAAAAACAAAGCAAAACAGAATGACGCAGATCCATAGGGAAGGAAAATGCATTGTCATAAGGCACTGTCAAATCATCGTCAGTATGGCGGAAACGAAGCAGCATGATGGCAATTTCTTGTCTTGTCTTTCATAGCAAAAATAAAGCCTGTAATTTGTCACTCTTGACACTACAAAGTACTTACTCATACTTCTACCCCACAAAGCAGCAACAGTACGATCCATGTCTACTTGTAAAGGGACTACACACTTTTTTCACCGAGGTATAATCTACAAGGCAATGGAACAAAGTTTCTTTTAAGTTGGTGATCAAATTCAAATAATTTCAAAGCAATGCCCCTGATGGGTGTAAAGCTAGGTAGTATGCAATTGCTAGTACTTATTTAGATAGTCCATTAACCAGCGCCGACGTTCGTTTCGTCAAGAATCAAATCCCAAATTATACAGTTTTACTTAATCATTTTACTTTTTTGTTCCTTTACAGCTCATCGTGCTCGTCCTCGGCCTTCTTCTCCTCGGAGGTAGTCTCCTCAACGGGGGGCTCAGGGACCTTGACAATGGCCTTGTACTTGCCGTTCTCCTCGATGAACTTGACAAAGTCCTCAACAGTGCGGGCGCCGCTGTAGGTGACAGGGTTCTTCTTGTCACCGGCGGGGTAGAGCTTGATAGTGGGGAAGCCCTGGATCTCATCAGGGACGTCGTTGTTGGTGGCGTCAACCTTGGCAACAACAACCTTGTCCTTGAACTCGCTGTTGGCATACAGGCTGGCGAGCTCCTCGTACTTGGGAGCAAGAGCCTTGCAGTGACCGCACCAGGGAGCGTAGAACTCAATGAGGACATCCTTGCTGTCGTCAAGGACAATGTCGTTGTAGGTGTGGGCAACGACGGTGTAGACAGCGTCATCCTGGGTCTCGGGAATGGGCTCAGACTTGACGCTGGGCTCGATCTTGCCACCGGCAAAGTCGTCGACAAACTTGGCGACGTCCTTCTCCTTCAGCTCCTTCTCCTGGTCGAAGGGGAACTTCTGGTTCTTCTCAATGTCGTGGATGGCAAAGGCAGGGAACTTGTCGGTTTTGAGGTTGATGTTACCGGCGTGGGAGCCGAAGCTGCTGGCGTCGATGGTGGCGAAGTTAATCTTGCCCTTGTACTTCTCAGCGATGGGCTTCAGGGACTTGCTAAGCTCCTCACGCTCCTCTGGGGTCTCGGCGAAGATGTAAGCCAGAGGGATGCCGGCAGACATGTAGCCGGCATAGGTCTCAGGGCCGACCTCACCGACGAGGGGAGTGGCGGCAACGGTGGCGAATGACTTGATGGCCTCAGCGTCGAACTTCTCGGTGAAGACGTTCTTGCCCTCATCAAAGGCCTTGTAGAGGACAATGGAAGGGAACTTGACGCCCTCAGCCTCGGCAACAGCAGCATCGTTGACGCCACCGAAGAGGTAGGTGTCACGCAGCTCGTCGGCAACAGAGGTGAAGGTCTCGTTGGAGGCCTTGTCATCAGCAGCGATGTAGGCGACCAGGACAACCTTGTCGGCGGTCTTGAAGTCCTCAACGGTGTCCTTGGTCAGGACAGAGACAGCGGGAAGTGACTGCTTGACCATGTATGAGGTGATGCCACCAGCCTTGCGCTGACCAGTGTAAGGAGAGACCTGCTCAAGGCCACGGAAGACCTTGAGGGTGGGGTAGCCCTCGATGCCGTGCTCCTTGCAGAGCTCAGCCTCGTCGACACAGTCGATCTTGGCAAGCTTGATGTTCTTCTCCTTCAGCGTGGTAGCAGCTTCCTCATACTCGGGGGCGAGAGCCTTGCAGTGGCCGCACCAGGGAGCGAAGACTGGACATGACTATGTTAGCGGGGTCCATTGCCGGTGGCTGGCGGGGTAGAGGCAGAGCGTTCAAGTAGCAGAACACAGAGACGGATAGATAAAAGACTTACACTCTGCCAGGACGAGATCATTGCCCTTGATGAAGTCGTTGAAGGTCTCTCCGGTCAGCTGGGTGACATCGGACTCGGCAATGGCCACGCCGGCCATGGCGCCCATCAGGGCACAAGCAAGACGCTTATGATGCATAGTGAAGGACTGTGATGGGTATCTAAGAGAAAACAGAAAAAAAGTGGTGATGCAGGAAAAGAATTCCGTGGCAAGAAGATGGACGACGGAGGAGGTTTTGTAGGTCGCAGAATCTGTTGGCAGCACGGATGACTTAGACGCTCAATTGAACAAGTGTCCCTTTGGCCAGATCTGGCTACCAGTAATGCTGATGGGTTCAGCCGGTCCCTTGAACCACACCCTTCTCCAGCCTAAAATTGGGCCCAGCGTCCACTAATGCCGCCCTCTGAGGCAAGGCCGCTACAGCGCTTCCCAGCCTTCCTTTCCCCCAAAGGTACATTTTCCTGGCCATCAATCTATTAGCGGTACCTGGTCGCCACCTGACAAATCCAAAGTTTCACTTGCGGTTGCTCTCGCTAACACACTGTACGAGCCACCTGAGTTTGATGGCTTTCTGACCCGTCAGTTTCAATGCCTCGGGTCTGGGCATGATTACTATCTGATTCCTCTTTGCGCAGGGCCTTCTTAGACGACATTGCCGACTCAAAACAGGCCACATCGCTTCTTGCTTGCCGGATACATGTACATGTCGGTACGTGACATGGCCGCCGCGATACCAGTGGCACACAGCGCCGGTACTCCATAACAGCTGCCCCTCCTGTAGGCCTTGCCAAGCTCTGAGTGGAGGGCGAGCGCTAAGCCCCTGCTGCTAGAAGCCTCGCAGCGCCATCGCAGCCGCCAATAGCGGCTAGCGCTACGCTGGCCAAGAGGCTGTGGACGAGACAATCTGCAGGGCGAGCAAAGGCTAAAGGGTCGATACGGAGCACTATTGCCCACGGTGGCGTGTACTACCTGACATAGGGAGGTAGATAATCCTTTTGCTACTGCGGGCGGGATGTCCGATATTGGAATTCATTCGGGGTATTGGACGTTGTACGGAGTCTAGAAGAGGACACTTCGCCTGCTGTTGCTTGCCACCCGTGCCTGGATATCCTCAAAGAAGTTCACCGGCTGCGGCTCTGCGGCTGCGTCTCGACGGCATCCCCACATCAAGTGGACTGGCTGTATAGCCGGTGGCGTATGCTCAAACGTCAAAATGATATTGAGAGCATCTGGGTAATATAGGCTGAAGCATTGGAAGGAATAGCTACATGTCTGAATTCCTGCCCCTTCCATCGTCAATGGCTTGGAGAATGCTGAGCATCTGGTACATGTAAGGAGGTACATGTAGACACGTCAGATATCAAGCACTGTGCTCAGGTAGTGCCTAATGCAGCAAAACCTAGGCCAACTTGTATGTACAATGTAAGCAATCATCCGACTCCATCCTTGGATACTTTATCCTGCATCAATGCATCAGTCCCACTGCCCCAGCATCGGATGCAGCCGCCCCGCTGGCATGGGCTGTAGCCACTGACCAAAAGATATGTAGCTTCAAGGTGAAATGGCAATATCCTATATATATGTATGGACAAGTATGTACAGTAATTGTGGTAAGACGGAGTAATATAGCAGCGTTGGCAATTGTCTCCAACACAGGAGCTAACACATTGTGGCTATATTGGGTATATACGGGGCGATCAGCATTCTTCCCTACCCGCATGTAGCGTCGGACATGGGTGTCATTACTGCTATTATCGCCATTACTCTAACGGTTGATATGACCCTAGCTTCCTCTCCATTATGAGACATGAGTAGGTACACAGTTCGGAGGTTAAATAGCTGTGCAGACAGCCACGCTCACATCCGAGCCTCACCCGCGATACCCGACCCCAGCTGGACACGATACTGTCCATATGAAAGCTGGTCTTCTACCCCTTGCCAAGAACTAGGAGACGGTATGGTCAAATAATCAAATATGGCATATGACAAATCAATAGACGCATATAAGAAGATCGTCTCAGGATCACTATGGCTGTACATGTACACATGCATCATAGGGACCCTTTAGTGCTGATGATAAGGCTATGTCTTCGAAACAAAAAAGCATATTTGGATGTCATAGTGAAGAGCAAGCTTTAATTAGCTATCAAATAATAAAGTGAACAAAATGCATAAAGAGTATTGCCTTCTATGGATAACTCTGTAGCAAAACGGCGCTGAAGCTTTTCATATCTATCCCATGCGTGTTCCGATTCCCTTCTTTTACTTTCTCATCACCAAAAGGCTTTAAAACTTCTTGCTAAAGTCCGTTCGCGGTCCAGCTCGTGAGTACTGGTTCGCCCACTTGACAGCCACCTTGAGCTCGTGGGCCACTCTCAGCACCCACTCAGGCTCGCGCAGGAACTGTCTCGCCACCAGGGCCAAGTCGGCTGCAGCCTCGGGACCCTCCTGGACGACGTCGTGGGCGATCTGGGCGCTGGTAATGAATCCAACGGATGCAATGGTTAGGTCGATGCCCTCGGCGCGGAGGGTTTTGCGCACGTCGCGTGCAATGTCGATCTGGAAGGACTTGGAGTCGGGGAACTGCTGCTCGTAGCTGTTGCCGCCGCTGCTAATGTCCAGGACGTCGATGCCCCATGAGGGCACCAGCTTGGCGAGCTTGGTGGTTTCCTCCACGGTCCATGAGGGCTGGCCGGCCCACTCCATCCACTCGGTGCCGGAGACGCGAAGCCAGAGGGGCGTGGTCTCGGGGATGACGGCGCGGACGGCCTCGGTGACTTCGCGGACGAAGCGGGTGCGGTTCTCAAAGCTTCCGCCGTACTCGTCAGTTCGTGTCTATATGCGCGTTAGTCACTGTAGTTCCTCTCAGTTATCACTAAATTAGTTAAACACTTACGTTGCTCAGAGGCGACAGGAACTCGTTGATGAGGTATCCGTGAGCACCGTGGATCTCAATGACATCGAATCCAGCCTCAACGGCGCGCTTGGCAGTCTCAGCAAACTTATGGACAAGCCCCTTGATCTCCTGAATGGTCAATTCCTTGGGATGAGCGTGGTCCTCGTGGAAGGGAATCGCACTGGGGCCAACGACGTCCTTTGGCCATCCGCCGACGCTCTCATCGGCCACGGCCTTGTTCGCAGTGCCGCCAATCCAAGGAGCGAGAGTGCTCGCCTTGCGGCCGGCGTGGGCAATCTGGATGGCAGCCTTGACGCCCTGGCTGTGGATGAAGTCGGTGACTCGGCGCAGAGGAGCGATCTGGGAGTCCTGCCACAGGCCAGAGTCCTGAGGGGAGATGCGGCCGCGGGGCTCAACGGCGGTGGCTTCGACGAAGATGAGGCCCGGGCCGTGGAGCGCCAGCTGGCCGAGGTGCACCAGATGGTAGTCAGTCAAGTGGCCGTTGTCGGCGCTGTACTGGCACATGGGAGACACGACGATGCGGTTGTGCAGCTCGACGGAGCGCATGCGCAGCGGCGTGAAGAGAGTCGGCGCCGACTCTTTGTCTACAGGAGTGCCGGCTGGGGGGTTCTGGGCGGGAGTGTAGAAGGGCACTCCAGGCGCGGGAGTGTTCTCCAGGTTGCTGCTGGTGCCGATGCTGCCCATTTTGCTGGTTGTGTTATTCTATAGTTGGAAGGCTGGTAATGGATTTCTTTGGTCGTCGAGCCCTGAGTGTATAGAGCAAAACGCTGAAAGCCTGCTCAAGAGGAGAATATGCGCTGATGAGGTGTAGATGTTATAGGCGAGTGCTCAGATATATAGAATTTCCAAGATACGATCGTTTAAAGAGGAAAGACGAAGAGATGTTTAAATGCCTGGGTAAATGCAAACGATGCTATGCTTTATATTCCGATCCCACTTGTCCAGCCGCAGTTCTCCTCTCGACTTTATATACTAGATGGCCATTCTGATGCCACAAAGGTGCCCCCGCACGCCAGCCAATCTGGTCTACGGCTCGATGGCGCGACAGAAACCGGCCGAAAACTCTCCAAAGTCTCCTCTCCTATGTCCGATCCAGATCCAGATTACCAAAGCACAAGAGCCTTGATTTTCGCTCGCGCCAATCTTTCGGCATCATATTCCGTGTGCCACACAGCAGGGGAGCCAATCTTGCCGATGGAGCTCTCTAATCTTGGTACTACTAGTAGCTGCGACGGCAATAGCCGTAGGGCTACCCATTTGCGGCGGCCAAAGTTGCCCAGCTTTAGTCGCCCCATCTAACGCTGTGGCTTGCTGTTCTTCTCTGTGCTTCTTTTGAAATATTTTCCTCGAATAGGATACCGGTCGTGGGTCCTAAGAAGCTTGCTGAATAATAACAAGGCGATTCTGCTTAAATAACATGGCGGGCCTATGGCGGCCCGAGTTGCCCTCTCCATTACTCAGGCACGTTATCGCGGCAATTGACCGGGTTTTAGATCTACCTATTGGCCGTTTCGCCGGATCATATCGGATTTACCTTCGTTCTCGCTCCCCTCCGCGTTTGGATTGACTGTGCATCGTCTCTCTCGGCTAGCCCGCTTTCCAGCTTCCATCGAAAATTCCATTTCTCTTCGCTTTCGCTCTCGCGCTTCTCGAGGCGGCAACATCCGTCGATTCATGTCTTTCTTTACCCTTTAGAGACTGCAGTATCCGCAGCGTTAAACTCCCTGGATTAGGCTGCATGTATCTTCCGATTCCGATGTAAAGACGGGGCCTCAGCTCCGAAGGCCAGCGAGCCCAATAACAGGATAAAGAGCATCTACTTCGTACTAGAAATTCAATTACTAAGACACCCGTAGCGTCCCTATCTTTTAGATGATAGAGTCCCCTCTCTTCGCATTTCGGATATTATACCGGAAACGCGGCAATGGATCATCGATGAATGAATTTTGCCTCTTAAACTGGGTCATAGCCTTAAAAAGTGGAATGAGGTTGATTAAAGAAGCGTACCGAATCTGTATAGGCTTGGTTTCTCAAATTTCACAATTGGTGTTGCTAGTTCTGTAGTCTTTGTCTCGTATCAATGAGATCATGGTCAACATTAATTACGTGCTTCCCTAGGCTCGCTTTCTCTTTCGCCTTGCCATACAGCGGGTCTTATCTCTGCCACGATGATTATGAATGGCTAAGATAGTCATCTACATTTGTAAAAGAGAGATAAAAAGAGAGGAGAAAGGCCTTTTTACCTGATCTCACATTGCTTGACAAAGTATATGATGTTTTCTATTTGTAAAAATTCCAAATTAAACCTTGATTATCTCAGAGGAGATCAAGATTTTCACTAGCCCAAGCATTCGTCTAAATTGCATGTTCTGTGATGGCGAGGAGAAATCCTCTGTCATCACAAGTTGTGGTCACATCTTCCTTGGAAATGTGTTCCCAAAAGGTACATAAGAGAACTGACACGGATCGCCGGTGAAGAACTAGTGGTGCTTTCTACTCTGCGTCTAGTTCAATCAAGAAATCCATGATGAAAGAAAATTCCAAAACAGAAAAAAAAGCATAGGCTGAATACCTGCATACTAGATGAAACGGATTTATGGTGAATTTTGCTGCACGTTGAAAATAAGTATGCCAATGATAGGTACCTGTCGATCCAACTTCCCGCCTCTCTACCATCTAAGGTAGTCTATGGCCTACGCTGTTCCTTGAAAGAGAGTCCGGATATGGAATAGAAGCTTATCAGAGCTAGAGCCTAACAAACACTTGATAAGAGACACCTAAACACCAACATCCAGCCTCTTTCTATACATCACTCAGCATCTCATGCAGCATTTCAAAATCCCTTCCAGGCCGTCTTTTTCAGCGCACCATTCGCCAACAAGTGCTGCCCAAGGGTGATCCTCGGCTCATCACCAAGCGATGGCAAATAAGAATCACCCAAAGCCTGCCTGCTTCTTGAGGCCTGAAAGTGCGGGGAACAGAGACCCGTCATGGGAGATCTGAGCCCATAAGCCAATAGCAATTGGCGTATAACTCCGATTGTTATGTAAAGCACGGCTGGAGAGGAGGCAGTCAGAGCACCAGATACTTAAACTGAAGCAAAGTAGCATTCGTGCACAATTTAGGCCGTGCCTCCTCATCTCAACTCGAGCTGTGTCACTTCTCCCCTTCCATCGTCCATCCATCAACCATCCATTCTGCAATCATATGTGCATAAATCAATCACTCGGTTACGAATCATCATGCAGTTTGGGAACATAAACAGCTTGTCTTCTATTTTGCTAAAGTACAGAGCATTGGCAGAGGTATAAAATGAAACAATGAAAAAAAAGCCCAATCGAGCTCAACAAAATCGCAACTTTTGAACAAATGCGGTAAAAAATAAACTCAGGGCCATTGCAAGGTTTCCCAGCTTGCCCCTTTGCTAGCAGGTCTCCCTGCCTGGCTGTAACAGCTCTCATGCTGTAAGTAGGCTCTACATGTCTATACATGTCTAAAAAACACTCTCAGGTCTATATTCCGCGCTCCGTATTGACAATTTTAGTTCCCCACGCCATCTCCTCTTCACATCTATATGAATTCAGGAGCTTAAGCGTTGGTGGCCTTGAAGGTCCATCGGTTGTTCTCGCTGCCCTCAGCGAAAGGGACACCGAGCTCGAACAGCTTGACGAGAACGCCAGAGAAGTCCTTGAAGAACAGGTCGTTGTCGGCAGCGTATTTCTCAACCCAAGGCTTGAAAGCCTTGTCCTGGACCAGAGCAAGATCGGTGGGAAGCATCATGAGGGTCTTGGTGGTCTTGTCCTCGAACTGCTTGGGGCCGTCCCACTTCTTCTGGGGCCACTTCTCCTCAAGAAGGAGGCGGTAGAAGTCGTTGGTCACAACGGTAGGAGAGAAAGTCCAAGGACCCTCGTAGCCAGATCGGTTGGAGTGGCATCGGCCAATGGCGTGGCCACCGCTAAGGGCGACAATCTCTCGGTCATCGAAACCCATGCGGTAGAAGATGTCACGCAGGTGCTTGGGGCCCTGGCTGGCGTCGGGCAGACGGCCATCGGGGGTGCAGGCAGCAGCGTCGTTATCGCGACGGCCAGGTCGGTAAGGCACGACGGGTCCCAGCATCTCCTGGACGGCGCAGACACCGCCAAGGATCCAGAGATCGGAGTAGGTGATCCAGGGGTACTTGGCTGCAGCAAGCTGTTAGCGTTGGGCACGGGACCAACATGGAATCCAGCAAAGAAACTCACCCTTGATAGGCTCGAGGAAGTCACGAGCAGCAATCAGACCAGCGTTGGCACCGTGTCCGCTCTCGGGAGCGAATCGCATAGTGGCACCATTGCTACCACCGGTCTTGGTCTCCTTGTCGTAGGTACCGCTGCAGTGCCATGCGAGACGCACCAGCACGGGGCCATAGCTGCCATCATCATAATCCTCGACCTCCAGACGGCTGGCGATGTCGTTGTAGACCTGCTGGTAGTCGGCCTGGGTGGGAACGAAGCTGCTGGAAGAGGCAGAGGCACCAGAGGTGAAGTACCAGATACCCAGACCAGCGGTGGCGGCAGCGAGACCGAGGTAGACAACGGGGTTGGACTTCTTCTCGGGCTCAGAGGAGTAGAAGCGGCGGCCCTGCTGGCGGAAAGCCTGTCGAGGAGCAGCAGCGAAGGAGCGGGTAGTGGTGCGGGTTGCCACGCGGGCAAACTGACGGGCAGAGGAGGCCATCTGAAGGATGAGACAAGCAACAAGGTCAGCGATGTCGAGAACGGACAAGCGAGTGAAGGGTTTATATGGGCATGGGAGAGCAGCCGGATCAAGAGCCCAATGACGGTTATCCTGGTGTCTCCGAGCCCAACGCCGCCTCGCATGTATCTTGCTGGAGAGAAGATAAGACGGAGGAAGAGAAAGAGATATTACTCACCTTGACTGTGGGGTTGGAGAGGATACGCCGAAACAGCGAAAGAGAGAAAGGAAGATGAAGGAAGGGGAGGGTGGGAGGTATTATAGCCCGGGGGAAGGGTGGAAGACGGAGGAAACGTATTATGTACTCGAGAAAAAGAAAAAGAGGATCGGGAGTCTGGAAAGCAAAGGACCCTCTGCCACAATAGTGAACGATGCAAATTGGAATTGCCTTAGTGGCCAGCTGGGCGTGGTTAGACCCGCCCCCCGGCGGAGATGCTCCACGCTCTGACGCTGGGGCTCGGAAGGTTCTTGATATCGATTTTTGGGCTATTGGAACGAGAGGTAGACGGGCATTGGTGAAATGCCTGTATGCAATCTGTTGACGCCAAAAGAAAGTTGGCCGTTGTGTCGCGATACGCCCTGTAGATTATAACAAAAAAAAATCAAGCGCCCCTCCAAACCCCGAATCTATCTTGGACCCTGCGCTGCTAGAACAAGTACCGACTGCTACTAACGCCAGTCCCTCAGGGCACCAACACAATCACAAGCCAGCCTGAGAGCCCTTTTTTACGAATTCTTCGTAAGCCGTCGTCGATTCCTTCTCCGGGGTTTGTGTGCCCATGTGCCGAATCGCCCCTCCGTCTTTCGCATCTCACTTCTCCTCTGACTGAAAGCAGCCAATCACGGCCCTCAATTCGTGCGGCAAGTCTCTGCCATCCATGCTCCGTCGACGATGCCGCAGCCGCCCCAAAAAGACAAAATCATGCCATCTCGGGCGTCCGCCCTCCGGCTCCGCGATTTTTCGAATCCTGGGATGCATATTTTTTGCGTCTACTCGATGTCTCACTTACTTTGTTTATTTCCCACCAGAGTGCTTGTTCTGCCCATGTTATATCTTCCTGCTGAAATAAAAAACCTTTGAGGGCTCTTTGTCTCTCCGCCCCAATTGCCCTCCCCCCCACCACCCATCCCGCCGTTATCAGCCTACTGTAGAGTAGATACCATATCGTCTTCCTCCCGCTCGCCCACTCATAATTCCTCATTTCTCAGCCCAAGGTCGTCATTTTCCATTTCTTTCTTCTCATCTTATTCCCGCTCCGCCACCTGATTAGGAAGATAACCGAGCGCAAAGCCGAGACAAACCCAAAAAAGAAAAGAAGAAAAAATGCCTAAACTACTAGTAGAAAAGTGGTTTTTAGCTGCAAGTGTGGCGTGGGGCTTACTAGAGATTTGACAACTTGAGACGGCTGAAAAGCGTGTCAGCGTAACGCCTTGTGCCTGACGATGAAAAAAAAAGGAGGACCCTGATGACAGAGGCGCTAGATCCAAAAAGGGTAAAAAACACAGAGCCGCTGTGGGCATTTTGCAAACTTGAGCGAGCAGAGTCATTGGCTTGAGTGAATTTCGTCAGCTTAGATACCTCGCGGCTGCTTTCTGAATGCGGTATGCGTCGGCGAGCCACGTGGAGTCTTGGCCACAATATCCCGGTTCCTGTATTTCCCGCGTGTGTGGCTTGTCAAGATTTACTGAGGTCCTACCAGACTTGCTCTTATAGAGAGTGAGGCTACATGTACCTTGGTCTCGTTCTTTGCAAGTTTTAGCCTGCGCTTTCGTGAAGGAATACAAAGATTTACCCCTTGGGTAATCTATTGCTCTGTAAGTTGCCGGCATTTCTCAGCTTGGAATATTTCAGATGCGAAAACCACAGCATATAGGTTTCTTTTCCTATTATTTGGTCCTTAATCTTCTGAGCCGTCAACTTTCATCTTCGTTTATTAGATTCATAGACATATCATTCGCGTTTCAGCGGGACATTCCCTTTTGAAGCAGAGTCAACCCATCTCCGGCTCCTTTCGGGAAGACGATGCAATTACCATACGTGAGTTGAAGAAAACAAAGACAAAACCACCTCCGTATCATTCGCAGTTCGCATCCAAATCTGTCTGCTAGCAAAGAAATCCGCCACTCCTTGTAGTGTCCAGCAAATGATATAAAACAACAACAACAACAACAACCATTCATCACCTGTGTTTAACGATATAACATCTTAGTTTGACGCCTTGAAACTGTCAATATTATTGGCGGCATGCTGTCCGCAATGACCTGTCCAGCTTGTCGTATTCCCATTAAACTATGCTAGTTGAAATCGGCAGAGCCCTGGGCCTCCGTATTAGCCTCTGGGTGGGCTTCGTAAAAGTTTAGGTATCTGGTCTGAGCTTTGAGCTGGCTGGCTGCATCAAGCTCTCCGAGTGATGCGCCATTCTCCTTGGCGCCAGTTGCACTTTTTGATGCCGTCGCAACAGACGCAGGCCTGTGACTAAGTGTTAGCTGGAATCCTTCCGTTTCTTGGGAGGTCGCATGGTTGACGGACCCAAACATTTGCCTGTCTACGGCCAAGAATTCCTTCATGGCATCCTTGCCTCCGCGTTGAACTAGGTAGTTCATATAAACTTGAGCCAGTTCGCGCTTAACTGGGGCCGGCAGCCGGCTTCTGCTGCGGAACTCGTCAAAGACATGCTTGATGCGCTCCGCCTGCTGGGTCTCTGCATCCTTGTCTGGTGTGGCTTGCTCCAGTTCAAGCTGGAACCACTTATCCCAAAATGTCCTGCTGTCTGCATACCACTGCACGTTCTTGAGGAAAACTGCTCGGGCTTCTTCAGTAGAGTTCTTGCCCTTCCATAGCAGTATTGCCCACTCAGCCACAAGGGCGGCCTTGGTATACAGATCAACAGTTGGAGCATCGATCTGATCCTTGAGGACTTGGATAGCAGCTTCAGTGCCATTCTGGCGACGCTCAAGATTCGCCCAGGAAATGATCACTTCCACGCAGTCCGGAAGCTTCGTAAGGATAGCAGCATGGATATCGAGCGCAATGTCTACGCGGCCACAGCTCTCCTCAAAATATGCCCACTGCATACGAATTCCCGGTCGACTGATGGGAACGAAGAGAGTTGATGCCCGAATATAGATATTGCGAACTTCTTCGTCTTTTCCAGACTGCTCCGCCATCCACCGGGCGTATCGGTACCAGAATTCGTCGTAGAAAGCGCAAGTAACGAGACACCGTTCGTACAATGAGACGATTCTGTTGAAGTCGCCCTCGGCCTCCTCAAAGTCTAGATATTTGCGCCAGTTATTGAGCTGGCTGTGTTCAAGCTCAGTCACATGGAAATATGGTCGCTTATTTTCTGACTCATATGTCCATCGCTTTGAAACCTCGTTTTGTGTCTGGGTGAAGACTTCGTAGTACATGGCGTCAATCTTTCCTCGGACGTCTCTTTCAACCTCCAGCTCCGGTCGTTCGGCACCACCATATGCAGCTGCTTCAGCCGCAACCTCGGCCTGAAACTTGGCCAGTATATCTGCCGACACAACCTCTGTTAGAGGCTGGGTGTGGGACAGAGTTCGAAATCGTTCATAGTAGCGAGCATATTGATGAAGAGGGATGCGGATAATTCGAGCATGAATGGCAAAGATTCGATCCTGAGCCTCTTGTCGCTCTTCGTACTCAATGTACTTGTCCCAAAAAGGATGGGCTAGGAAATCTAAACCGGCAAAAGTAGCTCCGCGTTCGAATAGTCTGTGTAGCCATGTCAGTAGGGAGCTCACGGGGGTAAGGGTTTGGCGAGTATGGGAACAGAGGAGGGTCAGTACACAAAGGGGTGGTGGCCCTCTGGGAGTGTAGAAATCGAATTCTAGATCCCCAGTGGAGACAACGGTAGGAGCACGACGCAATGTTATGGGACGAAGAGTACATATCAACAAAGTCTGGGAAAAAGAGTGAGAGAGAGATCCCGGTATGATAGGGCCGCTGTGGCATATCTCACCATCAGACACGGTCGATAGTGAGCAGCAGAGCTCTTGACAGGTGTACAGCCGAAATCATGGTGCTTAAGCGCGATACTGCATTGGTAGAAGTCGTTATGGGGAAGGAAAAAGTGCCCTGAATACTTACTCTCTGACCAGCGTAGGGTCATGTGTTGTCTCCATCTTGAAAGAGCAGTAGTCGGTCCAAAGATCGACAGAGTTAGTTATGCTGGCGCAACCTCGCTCATAAACCTGTATCCAGTCCCGTTAGCAGTGTACCACGACCACGCGACCCTTGCAGAAGGGGCCTGAAACAAAGACTCTCCAAGCGCACCATTTCAGCTGACTCTGGGCCAGCGATATTGAATTCCAAATCGGCATATTTTTTCCAGTACCCAAAAAAGAGCGGGAACTTGAGCAGAAGTCGATCGTAGGCATCGCGAATCGTAGAGAGCGCCTGGGGGCTCGAGTTTCTGTTCAGGCCACCATCAAGAGCTTCGCAGGCTTTGATCAGGTTCTCCCAGCTCTCAAAGTTGTCCGGATTCGTCTCCTAAGCGAGAAATGATTGGGTCAGCAACCAAAGGCAACAGGCAAACATCAGCCTGTTCGGTGACAACGAGCGATTGGCAGAGGAGGCTGACGTACCGTTTCAGCAGCGAATTTGCGAACCGACGCGTACTCCTCTTCGGAGCCGCCGTAATTGTTGAAGTCGCTCATGGAAGAATACTTGAAAGACGCGATTGAGTCTGGGACAAAAGAAATGTTTGCGCAAAGGAGGTGCAGCAGCGCGAATAGGAGCTGTAAAAGTGCAAGGTTCAAGGTTATGGTCAAGAGTGGAAGAATGTATGTGAGGCTGGGGGATGTTAGCTCTGATCGGCCTAGCGTGAATTCGATGACTAAGCGTTGGAGACGCATATTTCATTCGCAAGCGGGTCTCCAAATTCGATTTTTCTTTCCTCATAAACATGGCCAGTGATGATTCCCAAAATTAAAATATGATAGGAAGAGAATGAACGCTCTCCATTCATGGCGAGCATGATCTCAAAAAGGATCTGAGGTCTGGCACTTATATGACGTCTTTTTTTATTCTAATATCGGATTACTATCTCGTTGGGCAAGATTGTCGATATGATACGCTTGCATGGATTTTGTTCGTAGTATCTCGACACTCAGCAGATGAACAGGTCCGTTATTGCTCCTAGAAATAGATCCTGAGCAAGAGATTGGACCTTGAGCACGCAGATCAACACGTGCTATGGCTTAACCGACATAACGACATCGGTTTTTACAGAGGCGTGATAGTGCCTGACTACTCAGACAACACGAAAGCACGAGGTAAAGAGCCCTGTGATTATTTGGTATAACAATTTTCAACAACAGCAGGCCACCATGAAGAATTCAGTAAGTTGAGATTACGTAGAAGAGCAAGAATTCAGTAGATGAAGCACCATTCTGGGCTGCAGTCCTCGGCGCAATTTCCATATCTCGATTTGAGGCAGTCTCTACGCCTTGCAAAAACTAGCCGACTGTAGTTGATAGTCGTTAAGATATAGTCTTCTTACCGGTAATAACTACAATTATTTCTTCTCTGGTTTCCGGCTTGCGGTTTCTAGTTGTTTATACTGGGCATGCTCTCTGAACTACGCTTTCTGCTTCGGCCACCAACTGGTGAGATAAGCGCAGATAGACGCTAAGTGCGGCCAATGTCACCAATGACATAGCGCGCTCCTACCCAGAACAACAGTCTCTAGCTCTACAGGAACACGGCCAGCCAAGGAAGCAACACCAGAGAACAGCAAGGCGGAGGACAGCTCGAAAGCAAGGCCTTCAACCGCTCCACTCAATTGCAAGGAGACCATGGATCAACAGGGACCTTAGATCCGCTTCCTGCTTGCTTCGTCCCCCTGCCAGCCGCCCAGCTTCGCATTTGATGCCACGAGTCCATCATCATCATCGCCATGGACACTCCGCCGGGCTCGTGGAGCGCGCAAGCTCCCGCGCCAGAAAAGTCGAGCGAGCTCTTCATCCGCGACTATCCGCATCGATCCATCGCCATTGTATCGTCCTCCCACGCCCTCATCCTGCGATATAGTTCGTCGGCGAACGAAGCGTTCGGCAGCGGGTCTCCCGTTTCGCTCCCGTCCAGCAAGCCGCGCGGCGGCAGCGATTCCTCTGCGGCCAAGTGCATGGTGGAATTCTCCCCTATAACGAAGAAGCTGCTGAAGGACTACCGACCGCTGACGCCGAGGCCGGTGTACGGCACCTTGGGCCTGATTTCAATAAACGGAGAGGTATTTCTCTCTGTCATCACCCAGGCTGTGAGGGCTGCGACGGTCCGTCCTGGTGAAACTGTGGAAAGGATTGCGAGTGTGGATTTCTACTGTCTGAGTAGCGCCAACTACGATGATGTCGTGCCTCTCGAGTTGCTGGGGGACGGGGATTCTTCCGACGTTTTTGGGTACAACTCATCATCGCCTTACGGCCAAGGATTGGGCCGAAGAGACGTGGCGATCGAACATCCGTGTCATGATTTGCGCAGGCTGCTCAGCAATGGCTCTTTTTACTACAGCACAGATTTCGATCTTACCAACAGGGTGCAAGACCGGTATGTTTGGTTAGGAGATGCGGTTTTCAGGGACATGTACTGACTCCTATCTGTAAGGCCTCTAAACTCGAACTCTTTTGAGATAGACAACTTTGACAACACGTATCTGTGGAATTCATACATGATTAGCCCACTAGTTCAGTTTCGGTCCCGGTTGATGCCCCCAGAGCGCGAGGCGCTGGATGCATCACGCATTCTCACCTCTGCGATCCGCGGATTTTGTAAGACAATGACGATACCGCAGAACTCTTCGCCTTTAAAATCCAAGAGCGGCAGACCATCCTTTTTAACGCTCATTTCACGGCTTTCTTGTCGGCGGGCAGGCACTCGTTTCAACGCCAGAGGCATGGATGATAATGGCAATGTGGCGAACTTCGTTGAAACCGAGACGACGTTCTGGTCTCCTGCGGGAGTTCTGTTTTCTTATGCCCAGATTCGAGGGTCAGTCCCAGTCTTTTGGGAACAGGCGGCGGATCTCTTACCTGGCCGCCAAAAAATAACCATTACCCGGCCTCCGGATGCAACACAGCCAACGTTCAACAAACACTTCGAGGATCTCGAGCAATCTTACGGCGCTGTCCATGTTATCAATCTTTTGAGTGCAACTAAACCGGGTGAAGTCGAGCTGGCCACGATGTACCGAGAGTGCATCAGACGCTCCCCGTTAAGCCGACCTGCGCAGCAGCAGTCAGAGGATCATGCATTACTACGCGAAACACATTACGACTTCCACGCCGAAACAAAGGGCCCAGCCGGATACGAAGCTGCTCGCGGGATCCGCCGATATATTGAAGGTTCATCTGACGCCTTCGCCTACTACCTAGCAGAGCATGATCGAGCCGATGATCGCATGGTGGTCGTGCTCCAGCAAGAAGGCGTCTTTCGCACAAACTGCTTGGATTGTCTTGATCGTACAAACTTGATTCAGACCTTGATATCCCAGATGGCTGTTGAGGCATTTTTGGATCATCGTAATGAATACGCGGCCTCCGATTTCTGGATGAGGCATTCCAGTCTTTGGGCCGATAATGGTGATGCTCTCTCCAAGACCTATGCCGGAACTGGGGCTCTAAAGACATCCTTCACGAGGCATGGCAAGATGTCCCTAGCTGGAGCAGTGGCAGACATGCGAAAATCTGTCCAGCGTATCTACCACAACAATTTTATCGACCCTTCTCGACAGATTACAATTGATATGCTGCTGGGTCTTTTAGTTGGACAAGCCCCTGTGCACTTGTTCGACCCCATCAGTGACTATGTTTCAGTAGAGCTGAACAGGCGAAGCGAAGAGTTTACATCGTTCAAGAATATCAGTATATGGGTCGGCACATTTAATTTGAACGGGCGCACGGAAGGTATCGACTATGACTTATCACCATGGCTATTCCCGCCCTCGCTAGGGTCATCACAACCAGAGATATATGTTGTCGCTTTTCAGGAGATAGTTGAGCTGAGCCCACAGCAAATCATGAATAGCGATCCCACCAGAAAAGGTCTGTGGGAGAATGCGGTAAAAGAGACACTGAACCGGCGACAAGCTAGCCTGGGAGGAGAGAAATACGTGCTGTTACGTAGTGGGCAGCTTGTAGGAGCAGCTCTTTGCATCTTTGTAAGGTCGTCGTCTCTCAATCACATTAAGAATGTTGAGGGAAATGTCAAGAAAACAGGATTGTCTGGGATGGCTGGAAACAAAGGAGCGGTTGCGATTCGGTTTGATTACGCAAATACCCATATATGCTTTGTTACAGCACATTTGGCAGCAGGATTTGCTAATTATGATGAACGGAATCGAGATTACGCAACGATTCACGATGGTCTGCGATTTCAGAGGAGTCGAGGGATCGAAGATCACGGTATGTTTAACTCCTCAGTCGTCTTATCCCGTACATGTACATGAGCAAAAGTTGGCTAATAAGGACATAAACAGATGCGATTATTTGGCTGGGCGATTTCAACTATCGAATCGGTCTCGGCTCAGAAGCCGTACGCGGCTTGGTGAAAAAGCGAGATTTTGAAACCATGTACAGCAACGACCAGCTAAACTTACAGATGGTAGCTGGGCTGGCGTTTCAGTTTTATTCCGAAGCCCGTATCAACTTCATGCCCACATACCGATTTGACATTGGAACAGACGTATACGATACTTCGTGAGCAGCATCTTGAGCTACGTATAGTTGCAGACATGCTAACATGTGGTAGCGAAAAAGCAAGAATACCGGCTTGGACGGATAGAGTACTGAGGAAGGGCGCCATTCTCCGCCAAACGGCGTACGACTCGGCACCAACATTGATGTTTTCAGACCACAGGCCGGTTTATGCCACGTTTGATTGCCGGGTCAGCCTCATCGATGAGCTGCAGCGAAACGCAATCAGCCAGGAACTATACGACCGGCGGAAGGCGGAAGTGGGAGACTCGGCCGCACATGCCGATGGCGAAGACACTGAAGATGAAGATTTAATTGGATACGACGCAATCGAGCCAGGCCTACCCCCTGCGAGCTCAGACCGGCAAAAATGGTGGCTCGACAACCGACAGCCGGCTCGTGCTCAAATTCCCATACCCAATGGGCGAGACGGCCAACCAATGGCTTTGAATCCGCACCGCCCTTCAAATCCCTTTGGCCATGGAGAAGAACTGGACTGGATATCAGTTTCGAGGTCGTCGCCCGGCGCGTCTCTTTCGAGCATTTCGAGCTCGCCATACGAGAAGCTTACACCTCCCAGGGGCATGAGCTCAGCTGGGCCTAGGAAGCTGCCTCCACAGTACGATCCGACCACTCTCCCTGCTCAGGTGGGACGGATGAAGATTGGGGACGGTGATGGCGCGCGGAGCGTTCACGGAGACAGATCTAGCGCGGCTCCGCCTCCACCGCCACCCCGTCGTTCAGCAACGACGTTGGATATGGGCTCGAGCGCAGGGCTAGGCAGGTCTGCAAGCACAGCGGGGATTATTGGAGGAGCTGATGCTCCTGGCAAGATAGGAGGAGCAACGCAACCGCTATGGACATCCTCATCTCGGCCCACATCAGTGACCTCTCAGACATCACAGCTATCGCAGCAGCTCAAGGCTGGGAAGCCGGCACCCCCTGTCGCAAAGAAACCGGCACACCTGTTGTCGACCTCACCGGCCTCGACATCGTCGCTACCCTCGACATTGACTTCAGGGAGCGGGTTCAATAAAGCTAAATATAGCGACGGAGACTTCCAGCCGCCGCTGCCGGCTCGTGCTTCAACGATGGGAGTGAAACAGGACAATGCGCAGTGGCAAACACCATCCGTTGGTGGTTCAGGCACTGGAAGGAAGCCCGTTGCCCCTCCTAAACCGTCTTTAAATATGAACATGGACGCAAGGGCGAATGCAAACTCAAATACTGGCACAACGGCAACTGGAGGGCCCCCCCTGTTGCCAAAGCGATCAAGGCAGGTGAACCAGGGCCCTGTAGATCTATTGGAGGGTGGAGAGGAAGAGATGGGAGGCTGGGAGACATTGCAGCCGAGCGCAGCCTAGGGGAAGGGGGGGAACAGGCACGGGATGTAGTTCAAAGTGGCATGCCTAGTTATCACGATGGCTACCGTTCTTATAAGAAAAAAATATGTGATATATGAGTATGACTTTGGGGCTTGAAGCTTGCCCTAGCCTCATCAAGCTTGATTTTTGACTGTGGAGTATGCGCGCTTATACTGAAGGAATCCCATCACCGTCACATGGCACGAGTCTGCTGTAAGCCAGCGAGCCGTTCGAAGTAGCACCGCCAGGCACATGTAAGAGTATCATCCCTGCTTTGGAGGCAGATGAGGGCCAATTAGCGCTTTGGGGTCATTTCCATCCCTAGCGAATCAAGAGCCTGGCTACTTGAATTAGTGCTTGCTTTTATTCACCTCACTTTCGTGATAGTAGTAGCACTCGGCTCGCCAAAGGCGGCCTACATCTTTGTATCACTCTCTAGCAAATTATTTTGGTGTACCATAGAGGACCAGGTTGCCGCGTCATGCAGCACAAAGAAAACGGCTACTACTCCTTCATCACACCACCAGATTAGCTGTTTTGCCCACACACACTTTGACGCATGGAAGCAACTTTTGGGTTCTCTGGATTTGGGACGCTAATGCGGGGAAAATCCAATGTGTTGTTAGAGGCCGATCCATACATACGCGATTGCTGATTTCACTACCGAAAAGAAAAAAATTAAATGAATCGCTCTCTTTTGACCAATCCGAAAAAAGCCCCGTTGCATGGTAAGAAACGGAGTAAACCCTTTTTCTAGCGCAAATCGCGGCCGATCGGAGAAGGAATTTTTGGGGATTGGACTCCGTACAGTATGGATGTTTGTTTGCTTTGCGCTCGGCGCCAGTTACACAGAAAATGGTCTTTTTCTTCTTTTTTCAGTGTGTTTGTTTGTTTTCAAGTATGTGTGTGTATGGAAATAGGGAGGCCTTTTATTCCAAAACAAGGGATGGGCAGTGACCATGTGCTTAAAATAAAAAAGTTGGCAATGTTTCTTGGCTTGTGATCAAAATGAGACGTTTTTTTCTAGCAAAGGGGATTATTGAAAGGGGAAGAGGAGCGGCTGCCGAGACTGTGTCTCTTTTTGGTCACAAGTGGCCACCTACAGGGAGGTGGTATTTGGGAATTTTTATGTCAATATCTCGTATACCTTATCTAGGCTGAAAGGAAGAAGATGATGACGATGTCCCGACTTTGCCCGTCATTTCAGCCCTGTGTATAGTACCATCGACAGGTATCTATATGTAGAAACTCGCCCCTTTGAGAGGGTATATGGCTCAGGCGGCTCCGGATTGCAATCAACTAAAAATCATCGTCATCGTGTATACCTTCAAGTTGGTATCTAATACCGAACACCGTCCGTAAATTGCTCAATGTCGCTGTGGTGGCCCCCTCGGCGTTAAAAGCGCTTCGCGACTCAGTGCAAAGATTCCGTTCCATCGACTCAGTTGCAGCAAGCCTCGCCTGCTAGTGATCAGGCTAGAATGCCTCGGGCTTCTCCATTCGGCATCAAGTAGCCGACTATCTCTGCTTCCATGCTAAACAGACATGCGAACTATCATGTAAGTGGCGACGCCACCGCGTAGTCTCACAGCTAGCTGGTACGTGTATCGAGCGGTTTTATACGTATTTTCTCCGCTGAGACATTGGATGATTGGAGCTGCCACGATGCCTGGCTTGATTGCCACGATGCCAGAGAAGGAAGAAACGTGAAGGGCACTGAGTCCCAATCCCATGGCCATGTAACATTGAGAGCAGCAGCAGATCCGAGACGCCGCTCCCAGTGCGACTCGACCAGCTTGGGTCTCTGCAAATTTCCGTCCAAGGCCCAAAAGCCCGCGGAGCTACTAGCACCCAGCCCAGCGCTGCCGTCTGGTGACATCTGCACGCTACGGTATGGGCGACTTTTGCCACGGCCAGTTGCATGTCACAGCTGCCCTCCAAGAGACGCAGCCCGCTATTTCTCCCAGCGCCCTCAGCGCCTGACTGGCCGCTCACATGCACCCCAAACCCCCTGGCGCTGTTGCGTGCAAGCGATCAATTGATCTGCTCCCCCTCCGAGAGAAGCCCGCCAACCGCTAAAATGGAGCCCCTCCCCTGCTGTGGCTCTCCACTCGCCGCTTCGGCGTCTTCCCTGACTTGGCCTCTCCCCAGCGCACTGACGCTTAAGTTGCTGGTCGCCTCTTGGTCTCTCCCTCTGGGCTCATATCATTGGCGACGGGTCTGTTCTTTTTTTGTGCTCATTTACTTGATCCTGATTATTCCCTCGTCCACCTCGTATTTTGCTGCTTCTTCTTCTTCTTCTTCTTCTTCTCCATCCCTGGTTCCTTGCAAGCCACCAGCAAACAACATACGCGTGTATCGCACCCACACGCCCTCGGCTTCACTCTCCTCTCTTCAATTCTGCTCTTCCGCTGCCGCGCCTGAGCCGCTCGCCTATGCTGCCCAGTGGAGCCTAGGGAAATCCCAGAACCGCTACTGCGAACCACCACTACGACCTCGACTCGTATTAGCAGTGACTGCTCAACTGCTAAAAGAGCTTTTCCAATTCGCGCTGCCGACCCGGTGCCGTGCATACTCCAAGTGGCGCTACGAGATTTCCTCTGCAGCTCGACCTTACTTATACGCCTAGACTGCAGAAGCGAGATTCAGCCCGGAACTACTTGCAATTAATATTTCAGGGGAAAGAAGAAAAGGGCTGAGAGCAAAGAAGAAAAAGAACGCAAATCGAGTCTAAAAAAAGAAGAGCAAACCTGAGATTCGGAGCGTTCCGAGAACAACGTCGAGTCGAACCCTGTCCCCTTCTTTTCGGGCTTGATTCCTGCCCCAATTAATTAAACTCTCTATTTGGCCCCGTCGACAACCTCGAAACCCTCATTTCATTTCCTCTGCGCCTTGGCGACGTCACCTGGAATTGGAACGCAAATCGAGAGATTACCTGGTGGGGGAGACACAGTTCGGATCCTCTTTTGCATGGGTCGCATGAACAACTTCCTTAAAGGGAAGCGATAACGACCTCTTTGGTTATATTACGTGCGCCGTTTGTGTCCAAACCTTCGAAACGAGGCTTGAACTCTCCCAGCTTGTCAAATCGTCTCGAACAATCAAAGCAAGATCGCGATATTCGACGATAGTGCGAAAGAAAGCTGTTTAATGTCAGCTTCGAGTCAATCACGTTGGTCGATTTGCAGCGTACCATCTTGTGGCTTATAACATCGCCCACAATTTCCTCAAAAGCCTCACCAGCATCATTGGAATAACAGTAATAATACCGACAACAAAACCTACAACCGCAGCAATTCAAAGTCGCTGGATCGACACCCACTCTCAAACAATGGCAAATATGGACAATTTATTCGCGATAATGGACGAGTTATCACCCACTCCGTGCCAGCTCATGTCTGCCGCCAAGGAGAATCGCATCATGGTCTGGCGCGACGAGGTGGTCGCATCCACATCAGCCTCAGATGCACCCGCCAGCAACTATTCCGCCCCTTCGCTCGTCACCACAACTACTGCGTCGTCGATGTCTCTGACGCCCTCTGAACTGGCCACAATGTCCAAGAGCTCCCGGCTCTGGCACAAGGTCAAGGCGCAATTCACCGGCAAAGCCCGCCGCCGCAGCAGCGTCGCCAATGCTGACATCCCCGAGTTCATGACGCCTCCGCGGAAAGGCGAGACAACACGAACAGCCATGTATCAGAATCTACGGTCGGGAGATGCCAAATATGTGGAAGAGGAGGTTACGCCAGGCGCAGACAGCAGCAATGGCCGTGGACGGGGTCTTTTCTCAAGACAGATGAGGATGATACGGGCATCGAAGCTATTGCAGGTGAATACCATTAGCTGATCACGAACAAAGTCTTGAACAAGATTATGTACACCGTTGTACCAAGAGACAAAAGCACAATAGCAGCACGAGCGCAGCATCCAATTGACGAAGACGACGACTACGAGACGATTCTCATTTACCGTTCCTATCCGAATCCTATCGAGATGGCGGAGAGAAAGCATAAGGGGTGGGATGGGATGGGGGAACTCATAATAATATCACGTTTTGGCGCATGTTTACCAGGTAATTTACATTGGTAAGGGAGGACACGGGAAAGCGATTTACAACTTATACCACTACCACGGGGCTATTTAACTGCCCGTTTTTCTTTTGTATCTGGTGTTTTTTTATTTTTTTATATCACGGGGGGGTGGCCACAAACTTTTGTCTCTATACTGTACCTCGCGAAAGCAGTTAGTTTCTCTTTTAGACTAAATTACTACTCGAATTTGAGAGAAGCATGTGTATAAGATGAATCTTATAGCAATGAGACACGAAAGAAACTGCCAAGTTGCATTTTGTATGAGAATACCGAATTCCAGGGTTGACCCCTTGCCGCATTAAAAGCCTGCAATAAGCTATAAATCCGCTCCCATCGGTGTACTTCTATAAATGGATTGTCTAATACTTTGAGTGTAGTACTTGATTGGTATAGAGCCCCATTAGGAACAAGACACAACAAAAAAACACAAAGCTGGTAGAGGTGAGATAAAGAGTTTCTCGGTATTTACGTTGTAGACTACTATTCGATATGTGATGGCTTACTCAAGATAACACCAATGTACCGGTCTCATTGTTGCTAGCTGACGGGATATCTATATGTTTTATCGGCTATTTTTATTTCTTCTCTTGGGATACAGGAGACGAGTCGCCTATCTGTCTACTAGAGCATCCCGCTGTAAACCATAAGCTATGTAGATAACCTGGCAGGAAAACAGCATGTTTTAATAGAAAGACAACAACGCGGTTTGAGTAAGTCAATCCCTTTTTATTCCTGTCCTATTTATAGGAATCTGGGGAAAAGGAGAAGAAAAAAATGGTTACTAACACCATTGCATTAGGCTGGCACCCACTACCAAACTGCCATGAATGTTGCCGTGCCAAGCAATCTTGAACACGTATAATCATCGCATTCAGCAACAGCGGCAACAGCAAGTTTTCACCGAAGCTCATCAAGAACAAGACGGACAATAGGATGGACCTCAGGATCAGCAACTCACCGCCGACAATAATGAGGTAAAAATATGAGGGGGTAGTAGAGGAGGGGGTTCAAGTGGTGGCTGAATAAGACGAAATGAAGTTACGAGTGATGCTGGTGTAGCATATGCCTGGAGTGAACAGTTACTCGGCATCTCAGTTCTGTTTATCCGGCATTCTGGCTACGTGTGCCACCTACTGCTACTACTACTGATGCTACTTTTCATGCATTTGGTAGTTGTATATTTGATATATGAACCAGCTGCCTTGTTAAGCTATATATAGCTGGGGTGCGAAAGAAACTTTCCTCTCTAGAACATGTTGTCTCTTGCAGAGTATCTACGTAGATTATTGTCTATGGGGATATGCTCTAATAGACAGACAGGCACTTTGTTTCCTCCTTCAAAAAAATGAAATAAAAACAGCCGTTAAGACACAGGAATATCTATCTCACCTCCCCTAACTAAAGCCAGTACGCTAGTCTTATCTTGAGCAAGCCACTCAAATACTTGCTGTAGCAACTCTATGTCACCTCTATCAGCTCAAGGTGGGGTGGGGGGTTTTTTGTGCGTGTGTAGCTTTGCGCCTCAGTTGCGGGCTTTTCGATCGATCTTCGTTGCAAGTTCTCCGTATGGAGCATATGGCTTTAAATCGCGACTGCTGTGATGTAATCTAATTCGTCGAGTTGTGTAAAGGTCTGTAACCGTTTTTCTTGCAAAGACGGCTGCTCTTGTATTTGGAGATGTGTGTCTATTTATATATAAAAAAAAAGCTCGAGTGCCGAGGTATTAAGCTGAGCAAAGATAGCTGAGCTAGGAGCACAGCTAGATGCTCAAGAAGAGACGTCCTTATTAAAGCAAGCAACATACAAGACTTCACAAGTAGAATTCTACAGTAGACACAGTTCAGTACGTTGGATTGGAATTTCTTTTTTTTGCCATTTTTTCAAGGGGTTGCTGCTGTAAAAACTGTTGGGTGGAAAGGGAAATACACAAGTTTTCCCTTTCTTTTCTCCTCTTTCTCTGCGGGGCACACAACGATATTGAACCACTGTGACGCGAGGAGGGGGAGAGGGGAAAAAAAAGACAACAAGCAGATTGCAAGAAAACAACGACATAATTTTTGGGGGACAACATTTTCCATAACGATCCGCCAAAAAATCGGGACCAATGTAAACTAGGTAGGTGGTAACGTCAAAAAGCAGAACAGGGGAACAAATACCAGGCACTTGGGGTAGAGAGGGAGGTAGTGGGAGAAGAGGCAACAAAAGCGTTCCATCGTTCAGCAGCGAACAACAAAAAAGAGTCCGTCGCCGGTTCAAGCAGGCGAAAAACAACGGACAAGCACCCTTGCGCCACTCATCTCTCCTATCCCTAAACCGAAAAAAAATCCGAAGTTCCATGACCCCTCTCCCCATTAACCAGACAAGCAACGCACTGGGAACCAGCGCGGGCAGCGGCTAAGCCAGCCTCCAACACGATTTCCCATCTATCGCCATGTTCAGAGGTGGGCGAGAGTGTTCAGATAACTAAAACAAGATAAAGAAAAGACCCCTCGGTTCTTTGCCGAGTTTGCATGCAGCGGAGGTAAGAAGGATTTAAGAAGCAGCCTCGGGCGCGGGCTCCTCAGCGGGCTTGGGTTCTTCCTCAGCAGGCTTGGCAGCCTCTCCCTCCTCCTTCTTGGCCTCACCGGCTTCGGCATCACCGCTGTCAGACGAAGTCCACAGGGTCAGGTTGTCACGCAGGAGCTGCATGATCAGAGTGCTATCGCGGTAGGACTCCTCGGAGAGGGAGTCGAGCTCGGCGATGGCATCATCGAAGGCCTGCTTGGCAAGGTGGCAAGCACGGTCGGGAGAGTTGAGGATCTCGTAGTAGAACACGGAGAAGTTGAGGGCAAGACCCAGGCGGATGGGGTGAGTGGGTGTCAACTCGGTCTGAGCAACGTCGGTAGCGTTCTGTACGATATGGTCAGTTTTTGCCCGCGCGAAATTTGTCTCTGCACACGGCGTCGACGAGTGCATGCTATGAGCATACCTTGTAGGCCTCGTGGGCAGCGGTAGCAGCGCCCTTGCGCTTCTCGCCAGAGGCGAACTCGGCGAGGTAACGGTGGTAGTCACCCTTCCTAGAAGAGCGATTTGCATTAGCTCCTGAAAAATTCGCAAATGTGCGAGCTGAAACGTGATTGGGTGAAAAGTTTTCGAAATCCAGAGAACAGAGGGCGGCAGGAGAAAGCAACGTACATCTTGTGGTAGAAAACCTTGGACTCGCCAGTGGCGGCGTTGGGGATGAGGCTCTTGTCCAGGACATCGAGAACATCCTCGCAGACCTTCTCGAGCTCGAGCTCGATCTTGCTGCGGTACTCCTTGATGGTGGAGACGTGCTTGTCAGAGCCCTTGGACTCCTCCTTCTGCTCGATGGAGGAGATGATGCGCCACGAGGCACGGCGAGTGCCGACAACGTTCTTGTAGGCAACGCTGAGGAGGTTGCGCTCGTCAACGGTGAGCTCACCGCCCAGCTGAGCGACCTCCTTCATGTAGGTGACCATCTCATCGTAGCGCTCGGCCTGCTCGCAGAGACGGGCCAGGAAGGTCTTGCTGTTGGTTTAAAAATCTCGGTCAGACCATCTCGTTCGATCAGTAAAAAAAAGGGGAGGGGGGAAGATGTTTGGATTCTCGTTGTGAGAAGTTTAGTGGGGTCACGGGGCCAAGCTGTTGGACAAACCTTTCACGCTATAGACAAGACGTTAGCATTGCGAACAAAAGAGAATTTGAAGCAAAATGAGCGATGTAGGAGTGCAGGGAAGGATGTTTTGCCCGCCATGGTGTTCCTGGGCGCCCTCGCGCGAGTCCGGAGCCGCGCAGATCGTGGCGAAGGTCTCGGCGGGCTGAGGGGTTGCGAGAACGAGGGGGTTCGAGAGGAGAAGGCGGAAAGCGGCGGTCGCAGCAGTGACAGCAGCAGCTCCGGGGAGGGGAAGTTGAGCTCACGTACCTCGGTGGCCATTTTGACTGTGTGTCGGTGACTGGAAGACGACGAAGAGACGAAGCGGTCGGAATGTGCGGAGTCGTTGCAGAAAAAGGATGATGCGGGTGTCTGAGGTGGGATGCGGTTGAGGATGGGGCGAGAAGAGTGTTTATATTTTGATTGTGGATTGAGATTGAATTGGCTTTGGGGTTTGGGGGTTCTCGGGGCGGAGGCCAGTGCCCGCCGCTGCCAGCACAGGTGATGCCAGCGCCAGCTTGCAGTGGAGTTGCTGGCTCTTGGGGGCCTGCTAAGCCTAGCCAGCCGCCTGGCGCACCCCGCCCCTAGACTCTGGTGGCCGAGCACAGCGCACTAGAGGTGCCTGTAATCTCTGGCCGCAGCGCCTATCCGCCAGTCGAGACTTGGCTGGTACTCGCCTATCAGCTGCTTGGACGCACAGCCTCAATGTACACGCTGCGTACCTCTGATGAACAGCATTATTGTGCTTGGCCCTCGAACTGATCTGGAGCCGGAAGGGGGGCCGCTCTTCACTTGAAGCTCACTTCCAACTTTAGCATTGCTGTACCTGCTACACGCACGCAAGTTCGAGCACGGAGCTCTGTACAAGGAGACATGCGCATTGATGCTGAGGCGCCCTTCTAATTTACTTGTGGCTTCTAGTCCCGGCATGAGGCTGGAAAGGTACTGCGTACCTACTTGCCGTCTCCCGATTCGAATTCTGAATGCCTCCGATACACAGCATCGTAAAGGGGGGCTTCGGCCGTTTCTTTTTTATCTTCCTTGATCCTTTCACTTTGGTTTTACGACTGTCTCCTCAGCCGCATTTTTTTTTTGCTTATGCACTTGATCTCGCCACCACTGGTGGGCATAGCACGTAAGGTGTCTCAGGGCCCAATACCAGGTGGCATTCAGGCATTAAGCGCCAAAGCTGCTTGTAAAACATCGTCTTGGACTCCGTTGGTATTAATCAAGCAGAGAAATTGGCCCCATACTGTACACCAGAGGTATCCTTTGGGCCATCACAGCCCTATTTTACTCTCTTGTATCTATCCCTTGCTGGCTGCCAAGTGGGCGGGGTCTTTTCTCTTGGATGAGAAGAGAAGAAAAAAAAAAGGGTTACCGAGTGATCAGAGTCCCGCTTTTGCCATGAGACACTCATCAAAGGGTGCTCTCGCGCATCGCCTCTGGTACCGGCAGCCCTATCAACGCTGATTTGCTGCGAGTTGTGCTCGGCGCTAAGCTGGCCGCGTCTTTTATCGGTGCCTCTGCTGCGCTGTTCCCAGCACAAGCATCTGGGCGCTGTCACCCGCCATCGTCCAACCAGCGTCAGTCTCCAAGCCTGCGCGGAAAGGCGTCATATAACGCGGCCAAGGAGGGGGGGCTGCAAATTGGCTTATTAGAATTCTGCCAGCCCGTCTGTCGGTCAGCGATCGTTCCATCTGCGCTCCACTCCGATAACAGGCGCTGGCGCTCTCTCGAGGGGAAGAAGAAGGCATATCTTATGCTTGTACAAGTACACAGTACCTGGGTAAGGCAAAGAAATTCAACATTCTACCAGCACTCGTATTACTCCGTGCCGGTGTACCTTGGATTACGAGCATCTCGTTCTCCCTTGAGCATGGAGATAATGACCCAGGAAATCCGTCTGGGGCTCCCAAAGTGGCCCGTCCCAGCAGATCCCGTTGTTGACTAGCTAGCTGTCTAAGCAGCCGGCGACTACGACTTAGTGCATATTGTCTGCTCCATTCCCAGAACCATACGGAGGCATCGACCATCTTCCCCGTCGATGGCAGCGCAAGCAGGCGATGAAGACTCCAACAACTTGCTCTGGAAGTACTGCTAGAAGCCTCTCTCGGCACACCCTGGCCGAGGCATGTGCTCCCTGCTATTCTTGTGCCAACCAGTCCCCCGCCGGCCACGTCGGTTCAATATTTGTCTCTGCTTGCCTCCACCTCATGCGGTACCACGGGAGGATCGCGATGTTGCCTTTGAACGCTTGGGACAAGGGTACAATAGACAAATATCGGGTTCTGCTGCTACCACCTAAGTATAGTAATGCTACATGCCTCTACTCTGGATTTCCATGTAGGTACTGCTGCCGCTGCTGCTGCTGATCCATGGGGTCGCATCGATGAGGCTCCAAAATAAGGAGAATATTGCACTCAAGGCCTGGGTAGTCCATCAAAACTAGTGGCCCCTTTCCCAGCGCACGGGAATGCATGCATGGTCTACTCCGTATCTCGCTTGTCGCCGTGCCCTTCCACTGGCACTCCCCGATTTCCAGATGTTCAGCGCAGGCCTTCAGGGATGAGACCCGAGACCATCGTGGTGTTTTGCTGTTCACATGATGCTGCAGCCCGCACCCCTCCCCTGGCGATGCCTCTTATGCTTTCCGTTCATGCCAGTTGCCATGGACATGGATGAACATGGGAGAGGCTGGCACATAGACGCGAGCTGTGACTGTGGCTGTGGTCAGCTCCCATCCGTGACTCACTCACCCCCCCTTATTCCCCCTCCTCCTCTCTTATCGCCATCGCGTGGCACAGAGGACAGGCTCAGACGTATCATGGATGTTCTATATAGACCAATAGCATCGTGGCTCAACTCCAGCTAGGCAGTAATATCCCGCTAGGCTTAATCCAATAAAAAGACAAAGCAAGCCCAGCTTGGCCTCTCTTTCTCACATGAAAAGAAAAAGAAGCCTGGCCTGCGTAGCCCTCTTTCGTCACCGGGCCTCTTCTCGAGTCGTTCGTCTCGTTTTGGGTGCCAGCAATCAATCACCAGTAGAACGCGCCACAAAATACCCCTCCCGTCTCACACTCTGTTTTCTCTCCCCCACTAATGTTGCGACTTCATCCAATGTTGGCGTTGCGCGATCCGATTAGAGTGTTCTGTGAAGGATTCCCGGTTTCGAGAAGAGCCCAGCGCCTTGAAATTTGAGGGTTTGACAAGTTGTGGATGTCACTACAAGTGGTGCTAGTAGTGGTATTCCATGATTAATAGGGATGTCGTGCTACTGCGCGTGCTGCCTCATTCATTTCAGCATCCAGTCCTTCCCATGTCACATGGCAACAGCGTCATTTCGCTGGCTTCCCCCACTAAATGACGATCAACGTGGAGGCCCGGACGATGTGGATGGATAGCATCTGTAGTAGTACTTGCAATTGCCGGTATTGCCATATTAGTGAAAAACGGAGATAGCAGCACATGTATGTATTCGATGCAATGCGTTTACCAGCAGAGCGTATCCCTTTTAAGAAAACCGCTCTTAGCGTAGGGCTGGCCCACGACAGTTTAACAGCATCTGGCTACTAGAATATCTGATCCAACAAAACAGATAATAGAATAATGGTATTCTTAAGACTATTATTAAACTATGCGGCCGTTAACAACGATTACTTATTCGTCGCTTCACAGTGTTCATGCTCGCCCTCCCAATATTCGTACACCTTTAACCAATATGATACGCATCCCGTATATCCAACCTGCCTTCTCGGTACAAGCCTACTCCTCGAATAAATTGGCTCGCTGTATTCGTCAAACGTACCATGCATCGCTGCGTTGCAGTTTTTCCTGCTCTTTATTTTCTTTCCCTCCCACAGTTGGTCATAGGTATTCATCGTGAAACTCATACGAATGCCGGCCCCAGTTTGTAGGGTCGCCACCGGGTACGCATAGCCCGAGCCTCCAGAAATAATCCCGATGAGCAAAAAACAGCTGCCATAGCTTCAATCGCGCTGGAAAGCTCATCCTCTCCGTGTAAGCCTGTAAAGAGCTAGTCGTCCAGCGGAAATGGAGAAGGCGATGCAGCAGACTCTGCATCGTGCTATCATCTTTGGCGCTGCAGTTGGGGTCTTCGTCACCAATGCAGAGGTGCACGTCCGTTTCCGAGGGCGATAGAGCAGATTTGGAAATGAAGATTTCGCCGCTGTGCGACTTGTAGCCGAATTCGCTCGGTGGCAGCAAAGGCACAGGGTCGTCAGCGTGGGTGACTCGTCGATAGGTCCTCTTCTCAAGGTCAGTTGCTCCATTGAGGTCAAAAACATCATCCACGAAACGGGCAAACTGGGCATTGCCAGCGCGAGGCTCTCCAAATGTGGTGACCGTTACATCGTCCCAGCCCAGGGATACCTTCAGTTCCAAGGCTGCAAGACAGGCCACAGCTCCCCCAAGGCTATGGCCTACGAGCTGAATAGGACGAGAAGGATATTGGGCTCGGAGGGCCTTTAGTTCCGGCAAAACAGCATCCCGAGCGCTTCTCCAAGACTCGAGGAACCCCATGTGTACGGTGCAATTTGTGCATTCGTGGCCGGGTTTTTTTGGGGCCTCTCCTCCATCATCCGGGGATGGATATGGCACGTATTTTTGCGGGATGGTGCCGAGATCAACAATGGTATTGGTGATACTGTAAGTCCCGCGAAACGCAACGACTATGGCGCCCTGCTTCTCATTCGCTACATCTTGTCGATTTGCTCCGAGAAGCTGCTGTTCCGAGCCATCGTCGATGGCGATAAATCCACAATTGTCACTGAACAGAATGCCTGTGCTCCAAGCGGTAGCCAGCGTCAACTCCGGGAACTCGTTGCATCGGGAGAGACACTGAAAGGGCTTGCGGATGCCAGAAGTGCCAAGGCAATACGACACATCAACAAGCCTAGCCAGTCGTTCGAGAGACGCGAATAACGGTACGGAGATGGTCGAAGGGGATGCTGGCTGCTTGTTGCCCAACGGCTTCTGCTGGTCGATATACGCAGCCCCAGTGAGGTAAGCAACAGCGAGCTGTAAGAGCAGCAATAGCCTGAAGCGGCCCGGTAGTGCCCCCTCCATTGTTGAATAACAGTCGGTCGATGATCAGAGCATGGAGTAGTAAGATTGAACGGTGGTAAGACTGCGAGGTGTCGTCCCAAACGATGCTTGATCTCAGCTTGCAAGACCGCAACGACGCTTCGATGTAAGCCCAACGCAAGGGAGGAGCACAGCTGGCGGCGAAGAGCGCAAGCGCGTCACTTTTAGCGAGAAAGCGATGCACAGGCTGCGCAATTGGGATATAGCATGATGGTAAAATCAAATGATTCGCTGCTCCTGTGAGAGGAGCGAAAGAAAAATCAGCGACTCTGTAGGCGAGGCATGACCGCACTTTGTCTCATGAGCGTAGTGGCAAGCTGCCATTGCCAAGACCGGCCAGAGATCACGAGGTTATGTACAACTCGGGTGGGGCCCGCGCCAGGGCTTCAAGTGCTGGGGAAAATCTGGGGCGCCTGAACGAGCTCAGGGCTGCATTCGGCATCGCTGCAGCGGCTGGAGCGCTGGAAAGCCTCCGCAGGTGCCTGCTAAATGCCGGTGCCCCTGGTGCCTTTAGCAATAGCTCGTGCCGCTGACTCGGGCCGTCGGACTATTTGATGCCATAGCCCAGCGCACGACGGAAGAGTTTTACGATTGTTGTTCGTATTGTGAATTATACAATGTTATTGAAGTTGCAAAATTATTAATATTCTAATAGCTCATACTAGAGTGAGAAGCTTTATGCAATCTCGCACTGTAGCCCTTGTTTCCTTCGTTCCTTTTCCCATTGGTGCCTCCAAAGCTGGCAGAAATTTCTTTGCTGTGCCTTCCAGTCTATTATTTGCTGTATCCTCTTTTTTTTTCTTCCAGATCTATCAAGAATGAAGCCAAACGCCAGAGTATACCAGATCAGGCATGGTCATCTACCAAGAATCGATAATGCCGTATTCTGGGCCCTTTAGCTCACCCAATACTTGACCCGCCGAGTGGGATCTGAGACGGGATCCAATGCCGTGTATTTCACGTCGAGATCGGTCGAGTTGGTGCTGCAGGCTCCCGATCCGGTGCAAGACAGAGGGATGACTATTGAGCCAGTAACTTCGTATTGATCAGTGCTGTAAAACACACAAATGTCAGTGCTCCATACGTATCCATATGCAAATACTTTGATATGCTACGTACCCCTTTGCGGTTGGGCAGATCCTCTCGACCATGGTCAATTGCTTTTGAGCATCGCTCCAGATGAATTTGACGTCTCCATGAGCACAGGCGTATCGTGGCGCCAGGCCTGGCGGAGTAGTGGAAACGGAGCTCGAGTTGAAGGAGCAGCTCGTGGTGATGCTCGTGACTTCGTCCACAAAGGTGAAGTTGTATGCACTTAGCGCGGCTGTTGGGCCGGTCCCATTCGACTTGGCCACGAAGTTCTGGATATGGAAGTCGGGAGGGAAATTGCAAGCACTATCGGTCTGGGACTGCTCGAGGAGCTTGGCAGGAGGATGGTAGGCGAGGGCAGACATGGAGGCCATGGCGGATGGCAGAGCAGCCAGGAAAGAGAGGGTTTCGTAACGCATGATGGATGTGGTAGTATATTCCGTGTCCGCTTTGTCTTCGTTTTCTGCAAATGGAAGAGAAGAGATGGAGGTGAAGAAGAAAATCAAGATGCACAACTACGGTCTTTATGTAGACAGAATTAAAAGGGAGGGCGAGCAGAAAGCTACGGCAGCGGGAAGCGTCAATGCAACGTTGGTGTTTGCTTGCATGTACTGTACCGGAACGAGTCTTTGAGGCATGACGTGGATGGCGGTGCTTGCTCCATTTTGCCCCTGGGCCGACGGGGCCAAGAGACAAAGACGACAAAGACAAAATAGCAAAGACGAGTGTCGATCCAGCTGCCGTAGGTGGCAGTTGCGAGTGCAAGGGGCGCGGCAGGGCAAAAACACGAGCACTGAGTTCCAGACGAATGATTAATACAGGAGAGGAGCGCGCTGTGGCTCGAGCTCTGGGCCATCATCATAACCACTGTGACGCAGCCGTAGGGGCTGAGCGTCTATACGAGCGATAAATGCTCCCTACTCGTTTTGTTTGCCGTCTTTTGCTTCAATTCTTTGTTTCTCTTGGTTAACACGCCGGATGCGACGTGAGATGCAATGGCTGTATAGCGCCATGCAAGACGGAGAGGCGACTTGATTGGGCAACAAGACATGTCCCTGCCGTTTCAAGTCACTTGGCGCCCTCGGGGCTACTGGAGACGACTTGTTTGCATTGACCTCGTAATACATTGAAACGAGAAAAGAGGAGCAGGATAACCGACATTTCTGTCCTACCTAGCACGGTTAGTGTACAGCTGTGCAGTGTGTACGCTGCTCTATAAGAGCTGAAGCTGGACATTTTCACCAGTGAGGCTGCGCGTCTAGGCGTACGAGCTGATTTTCTCAAGGCGGTTAAGCTCAGTTGCACCGAGCAATTTACTGCCGGGGATGCCACTTATATAAGAACTGGAACCACAGACGGAACGGAGCCGTAATCTGCACTCCGAGTTTGGTCGCGTTATCGCTCAGCTACACCGTTTGAAGACTTTTCCTGTCTGGGGCTATAGGTACATCGAGTCCGATGTATGGACTCCGATGTGGCCATTGTAATACCAAAGGGTGCATGCAAAGGGCAAGTCATTTCAGAGCCCAGAGCAGCACTGAAGCTCACCGAGAGTCCCTACAGACATGGGAGCGTTTTTATCACTTAGTTGTAATGCATGCTTATAGGCCCATGGGACTGCCGATGTTGATTGATACAAGAAAAAGAGAATGGTCTATTTTGGTTTAATATCGTGCATGGCCTCAACATTAAGAGACAATACCAGTAGTATCCTTTCTTTCCAGCAAAGATAATGACTGCTCAGCCGCGCCTGCTGTCAATTACCTCATTCGGCCAAGTAGCGGCATACCGACCAAGAGAAAGGGCGAATGGCTGCGCATCCCTCCGGGTGAGGTAATTATCCGCCTCCGACTTATGTAATGCCCAAGCGGCCAGCCTGTAGCAAAACCTTACCAGCCAGGCGTCGGCGTCGGAACTGGCACCCTCACCCATCTCAACAACCAGCTATTAAGCGCTTGCAGACCAACCCATCGACTCCGTCGTCCCTCGCGCCTCTGCCCGCCTTCGGAAGCTTCTCATAAGCACCAGCTGCGACTTTTCTTTTCGAATCTCTAAAACAACCGCTTCTTAGCCCATCCCCCATCGTCACAATGGCCACCGAACTTTGGTACGTTGCGTCAGCGCGTTCGATTCCTCCCCCTAGCACCGCCGTGGAGCTTCAGATTACATCGTTGGAAGCTCTCGGCATCATCGCAACTATCTTCACTTTCCTATTCCCTTACCTCATTGCGCAGTCTTGAGAGATTAAAGCTAACATGATGCCTATATAGCCCCGTCTACGCGGTCAGTAACCATATACCCGGTCCTGCTATACCCAACGACGTCACCAAGAACCTCCCGGAGAGACATCCCAATCATTAGCATGATCTCTTCATATACTTGATAGAATGCTAACCCTCAACACAGCCCTTCTTTGGCGCCATGGGTTGCACCTGTGCCATCGTCTTCACCTGCCTGGGTGCCTCCTACGGTACCGCCAAGTCTGGTGTTGGTATCGCCGCTATGGGTGTCCTCCGCCCTGATCTGATCGTCAAGAGTCAGTTGCACTTTTCCCGTTGACGCGCAGCGCCCCGTCGCTGACCTCTATAACTAGACATTGTACCCGTCATTATGGCTGGTATCATTGGTATCTATGGTCTGGTCGTCTCTGTCCTCATCTCCGATGGTCTGCGACAAGACCTTCCTCTCTACACTGGTTTCATCCAATTTGGTGCTGGTCTCTCTGTCGGTCTCGCTGGTCTTGCTGCTGGATTTGCCATTGGTATCGTTGGTGATGCCGGTGTCCGAGGAACTGCTCAACAACCTCGTCTTTTCGTCGGAATGATTCTGATTCTTATTTTCGCCGAAGTCTTGGGTATGTATAGTTCTCGTCTAATTGCACAGAGATAGCATTACTGACGCACCACCAAGGTCTGTACGGTCTTATCGTCGCTCTTCTGATGAACTCAAAGGCCAGCCAAGATGCTGTCTGCGCATAAACAACTGGCGCGCCTTGTGGCCTCTTGAAGAGCTTGTCAACTTTGTCTTTTCAAAAGTCGCCACATCTGATACGAAATATGGATTTCCGGGCAGCATTGCAATATCATAGCCCGGACGGTGCTGGACGGAGCTCGTGTGTTGGAATTGCGAATCTCGGCTTGACTTTCAGTGCGAGTCGCGTAATGGATCAAATCAGTAGTAGGAAGAGGTTTATATATGTACACTAGTGACATGGTGTGTTTGCTCTTGATGCGAGTTTCTCTTCATAGACGGTGAAGGTGAAGGATCTAGTGTAAGCGGATGGTCAATTTTATCTGTCATTGTTTTTTTTTCTTTAGTAAGAACTCCTCTACAGTTGAACAGCTGAGCCGGGGATTTCTAGCCGGAAGCAGCTTTTGTATTTTTATAACCATATGTGGAAACTGCGCTTTCACGTTGGCGAGTTTCTCTATGATATACGAAATGTGCTCTGGCGAATTGTATCTGAAGACCTCACCAGTACCTATTCCTGTGTTTTTTTCTTTCTTGCTATGATATGCCATTTATTAAAACTACTAGACAATTATTGGATATGCTCATCCATCTTAAAACTACATAATACAAACGTTAAGACCGTTGACATATCCTGACTCTCATATTCTTGGCCGTTTTTAAATCATTTTGTAAAAATCCCATCTTAATCATTTTCTCAGTCTTCTCTGCTCTTCGTCCCCTTCTTTATTAATAAGGAAATAAGTTTACTTTACCCTTTTGATGCCCGCCGTGTAGTAGTTTGGTCGCATGCATGCTGAAATTAAAATTCAGAAAGCTCCTCTCTAGATTGAGAAGAGAGAGATGTAATATGTGCGAGAGAGAATAGAAACTCGGTACATGAACAACAAAATGCTTCTTAGATGACGTACTATAAAAATGTTAGAGAACACACTTGAGAACGTCTTCGTCTTTGTGGAATAATAGATTTAAAGCAAAACTTACGGGAATGAAGAGATAAGGGACCTGGCGCTCGTATTCGAGCCAGGCCTCGCCGTACTTGGCGCGGCAGCGAGTAATGTCTCTATGCGCGCGGTGGGCAATCATGCAGGCGAAGAAGACGGGATAGAACCAGGGGAAGGGGCTCTCGAAACCTGTGATCAGACCCCACGAGACAGAGAACCAAAGGTCAGAGGTATAGTGAATCTTGCGAGCCAGACCATACCAGCCATCGATGAGGATGGTACCCTGAGGGGTCTTAATCGTCTTGGGGTTCTTGAGGGTCTGCCATGGGACTTGGGGGAAAGTCTTGCGGGGGATGAGATTTCCCTTCTCCATGGCGCGGAAGCGGTTCTTCTGGCTGTTGCAGCTGTCCCACACCCAGTACCAGAAGAGATAAGCACCGTACATGGCAACCAGAGCGAAGCGGTTCCAGCGGTATGTGGCGGGATCGTGGTTAGCCAGGTAGAGGGTGCAGTGGCAGTATGAGAGAGGGACACCGGCAAGGTTCCAGAAGATGAGCATGAAACCCCACTTCTCAAAGTACATGTCCCTATTCCTCCGTTAGCTTAATAGTCTCATATAGTCTAAGAAAGCAAAACAATCCAATTCTTACCAGGTAGTGATGATGAGCTCCTCGCCCTTGGCGCAGGCGTTGGCATAGAGGTAGTGCGCCATGACAAGGAACATGACTTCACCAGAAACATAGCCATACTGCTCGTACTGGCGTGCAGCCGCTCCAAGGCTGAGAATCAGCAGGAAATACCAAGGCATGCGAACCTCGAAGAACATCTTGAAATCGAGGATGCCAAACATGCGAGGGTTAAGCTCAGCACCCATGAAGAAGTCATAGATGGGGTAGCCGGTCATGCGGTGCTGCTTGCCCCTCCACAGAGCAGAGAAGTAAGCGATGAAGCTCACAATGAAGCCGCTGCAGATGGCAACCGACAGGAGAGGGCCAAACTCATCGAGAGCCGTGTAGATGGGCCAGATACCAGAGAAATGCAAGGCGGCAAAGACGGCGAGGGTCGTGTACAAGCTGACAAAGGCGTTGCAGAAGTAGTCGAGCTGCTTGCCACCCTCGTGGGGAAGAGGCTTGCCCTTGCCCCAGACGCCGGGAAGAAGGCAGTAGCATGCACCCTCAAAGATGAGGTAGCTCCAGTACCATACCCAGGCCTTTGTGTGAGGAAACGCGCGGGTATAGACGATGTTGGCCAAGTGAAGGCCGAAATCAGCCCAGCTTTCGCCAGGAGCGCGGGATGGGAATTTGCCGCCATAAAACGTAGTGCCAATCCACATGTACCACATGAGCATCGGGAAGAAAATCATCATGCACAGAGTGCCTACAGAACCCCCAAATTCGAACTCGCCCGAGTAGTCGACCTTGGGATCCTGGCCTGCTTTCCAGCCGTCTATCGCCTTCTCTTCGGCGGATGTTCCGTTGGTATGACCATTGGCATGTCCGTTGGTGTGTCCATTCACATGTCCATTTGTATATCCGTTAAGCTTGCCATTAGCATGGCCATTGGTGTGGCCGTTAGCGTTTCCGTTGGAGTGTCCGTTGGCGTGGCCATTGCTGTAGCCGTTGGCAGTGCCATTGACAGCAGGGTTGAGATCTTCCTCCTCGTCTAGGTTCTCGATGAACTTGGCCGTGCGGCGGCGTGGAATCTTGCGAGGGCTGGCAGTCTCAGCAATAGATGCAGCATCCTCAGCGTCTGAGGCATCGGGAGCCTGCGAGGCTTGGCGGGTGCGCGAAGATCGCTTTGGCGTTTCGACCAAGCCGTCAAAGAGCTCCTTTTTCCTATGTGGGGATCAGCATACTAATCTTGAGGGGCAGCAACGCGGGCACATTGAGAGAATCAAGGCTGTGTAGCCAGGAACCAGTGATTGAATCCAATCACCGGCTACCTGACAGCATGGCTCGGTCTCGGTGTATCTTGTTCGCCAGACACTTACCTAGGAGTCTGACGCAGTGAATATCGGGTCGCCATGGCGATAATGGATATATCGAGCTATCAAGTAGCCCTGGTGTCAGAAATGGTCGCGCGTTTCAAAGGGAAGAATTGCGCTGGCGAGCCTGCGGATTGAGAGAGGCTCGCTTAATACTCAAACCCGCGGATGCTTCGCGCTTCGGCAACGGGTAGCTCTTCAGATCCGAAGGGCGATAGAGGAGAGTTGGAAGCAAAGAAGGCAGAAAATTACGAGCCCAGGTCGCGCCGCGTTGAAGAAGCCAGAGCTGGGGCACTTTTTGGGAATCTGGGATGTAACGCCATTGGCTCGTTGGCCGACCAGGGTGTTCTCAAGCGGCGGCCTGCGATTTCAGGGGTAGGCGATGCGCGATGTACCTGGACAGCCAAATTATGTGGTAGGGTACCCGCTGAATGTAGCCCCATTTAACCACAATACGCGGGAAGTCAATTAGCGTGAATGTGAGTACGTATTCGTATACGCTTGAGGCTCGCGATGGCTCGTACTCTTATTAAGTTTGCTAGCTTCCGTATTGACTTCCCACACTGCTATTAATAAAGCTGCGGCGCGATCCCGATGCGATCCCGATTGCCTACCTTAGTAGTAGTAGTAGTATGATTTGATTTGATACCTGGGGTTGCTATGTCCAAGTATTACCTCCCTAGGAATCAAAAACAGATAGCTTCGAGATCGATGCTAGCATCATCTGGTTGGCCAATGAAGGGCGATTTTGAGCAATGATGGGCAGCCGATGCGCAGCCTGCGGCTCGTCGCGTGGCTACTGCAGAATGGTAGCACTACATGTCATTGGCTGGGTGGGATGAGGAATTGTATGTCTGTCATTCACTCCAGCGTTGCGCCTTACCCTGGACCTGGCGATAGGCATCCTGGCCTTTTTCCTTTGTCCAGACTAAGAGACCCTCTTGTCTAAAAGTAATGAGTATCTAGGGTACTCAGCAGATAATGTTAGCCATGTTATTGTACCGATGCTAAAGGAGTTACCGTTGATTAGCACAGACTCGTAAACTCATATTGCCCGTAATGTCTCTCACGGGTGGATAAGCGCCTATCACGTGGCCTATCTGATGAAGCGGCTGAGATCAAGCCTCTTACAAGGCACAATGCGTCTCCAGCGTCTTCTTTTCTGTACTAATCAATGGTTGGTCACATTCGTTAGAAGCTTCATGTTAACGATCTCGCGAGTACATGTACTCGCGTGTCAAAGGCGTAACTGCGATGTATTTTTATGCCATTACTGTTGCCACACAAAGCCTCAATATATGCACATGTGATCAACTCTGGCACCTTGCAACTTGTCCCAACGTACATGTAGCCTCATGGGATAGTTCCGATTGGGCTAACGTACCTATGCATTCGCCGACATTTACACCTTATATTAACCTTTATCTTTATGCGCTTGTCTCTTATCTGAGTTTTGAAGTGTATCGCGCAAAAAATTAGCAAAGTGATGATGCACCACGAATGTCAAAAGAAAATAAATCCTACCAAAAAGTTTTTATATGTACCGCACAAATAAAGGAAGTGCTTGAGACCGTCATCAAGGAAACACTCCAAAGGAAACCCCGCATTCTGACACCCTTTTGTTTTTCACAGCTACCATTTCCGAACCATTTTCTCGCCTCTTTTATTGCACGTCATTCAAGATGTCGGAGAGGCCCGGTACGATGACTACCAGTATTGGAGAGCCTGGCATGGATTGCTCGGGATGTGGTAGCTGCTGGACTTCGCTACCTGCAGAAGTTCGCTTAATGATACTAAGAGAAATCGTACGCCAAAGACTTCGTGGCTGGGCTTCTTGTGCGGCTGTTTGCAAAGAATGGCAGGCTGTTATCGAACCACAGAACTTCCACCGATTAACGTTACGGGAATCCTGTATGCCAGCAATCAAGCAATTACCGAATCGTCCAAGGAGGTTTATTCAGTATATATGCCTTAACACTGAGCTCCCGCGATATACATGCGACAATTGTGAAGAGACTATGCCACAATCCGAGGCTTTGAGACATAGTCCCCCGTTTGGGTTTCCTTTGCTGAAATTGTTTTCTGTCCTCAGCTGCAGGCAGTTTGTCGGCCCTCTGACACTGGAACTGAATCCCTATTCTCCTAGTGACTCGGAGCATTGGTTCAAAATTGACCGGTCTGGGCTTGAAAGTGAGGATAATGAAGATTTGATCCTGCAGAAAGGTGCTACCGCCAGATGGCACGACCCTAGGCATGGTTGGGTCGATGGCCGACAAGTCGAGGCTCCTGGCAAGTCAGCTATATTGCGACTATTTGCTCCACTACATTTTCCTCAAGCCATTCTTCTTCAAAAAGTCCACTCAGTTACAGGGCTTGTGATACGTCGACAACTGCGACGCCAAATATCTCCGCGATGTCTAAATGCCTTATTGAAGAATCTCCCTCAGTTACAAACCTTGGTCTACGAGCCATGGCGAGTTTGGTGGCTTGATGAGAGGGACAAGTGGTATCCAAGTACGTCGCCGTATTGCCATTCTTTTCAACTAATACCTGCTTGTACCAACTACCTTAACAGATTTGGCCTATGCAATTCAGCACAGTCTATCGCGTCGACTTAAAAGACTATCAGTTTTTGAAGATTTCAGCGACCAGATTGTAGTAGCTTTGGACGGCAGTACAGAGGATTTACCCCGGGTAGAAACTGGCCCTGCTGCATGCCCCTTGTTGGCTACAGCCTTCGCCTCGAGTAGTTATGAGTTGGAACATCTTTCTCTTTCATATATAGTCGATGCCCAGCAATTTTTCGATGCTTGCCAACCATCAAATACCTGGCACCATCTGCAATCAGTCGCGCTAACGTCATCCGTTCTAAAGGAGGCAGCTCCTTTGGAACCAATCTTCTCATTATTACGAGATGCTAGCCTAGCGGCGTCAAAGATGCCGCAGTTGGAAAATTTGGTTATTTGGAACTATCAACATGGAGAAGCAGGTGCAGTCATATATCGCAGGGACAAGGCGGCGGGGCAAGCTACACTTACATGGCGAGGTACATGGGATCTTGAATTCGGCCATGATGTGGTTGAATCATGGGAGAAGGTTGAGCCCGATGTTTACCTGCGAGTCAACAAGGAACCAGTGATGGGCGCTTTCAGTTCTCATGGCGATGCCATTTGCCGTTTGCATCTGCCAGTCAGTGTCATTGATCCAGTATCACTGCGGCAGATATGTCAGGAGGGGATGATCCAAGGAGTCGTCTAAAGTGACTCTGCGTCTTGCTTAATTGCCTATATGTACTTATAGAAGGAGGCGTGACGAAGTTGAATATAATGTAGTATATGTAACAGGTATGAACATGTATACATTAGTAAAAGTGAAACCTCATAGAGTTCAGAGAAGGTATAGAAGCCTCGCCTCCTATAAGCATGCTTGTCGACTCTATGACAATCTGCAGTCCCACTTACACTCATCTCGAGGAGAGTAAGGGGCGCCCGTAGCACACGTGCCCACTAGCAGACGATTGGCGCACCGCTGTATGGAGACGGCGTAGCGCTGAAGAATGCCAACGTATCTGCAAATTGCCTTAATCGATAACACCCTTTTGGCTCTGCCCCCAACCTTCGACTAACAGGGAGCTTGGTCATTCGGTCATTGTCACCACCTTCTCTGAAGGTTGCGCGAAAGCTAAACCATTCTCTTTCCCACGTGTGGGAATCGCGAGTGCTTGAGGGATTGTCAATTGCTTTTTGCTCGACAACGATCAATCCTGCACATCACATGCCTTGAAAATATTTGTTTTCGTCCCTCTCTTCCATTTCAATGTGAAGAACAGCGCCTTTGGCTGCCACTCCCTTTTCGCCTTTTCGCCTCGGTCACTGCGGCAGCTGCCAAGTCGCGTGCAAAAACTCCAACCACTCTTGATATTCACCCTTTCCTCTCCGACGTCGAACCAGAAACTGTTGGCCAATTCATCATGGCGCACGAACGTTTAGATGAGTCCGTCTCGCCAATGACGAGAACCCCCAACCACCCCTCCCCAGCCAACGTCGAAGCGCAGTCTCAGTTTCAGCCACCAAAGTCGAATGATGGCCTGCTTGCTCCGACCCCCAATAGATCACAACCACAACTGGACGCAGAACAAGGCCCCAAGGAAGCCTCAACGGAAACACTAGAGGAAGCCCCAGCAGAGGCTAAAGATTATTGGAATGATGGATTGAGCCATCCTGATCCCTCGCCATTAACTTCGGGAGAGCTGAAGCCGGAATCCGGGGCTCAAGAACCGACGCAACAGGAACAGCAGCCTGCACCCGCCGCCAAAAGCGTCCCAGAACCCTTGCAACTGGATGGAAGGCGGAGCATCCAGTTTGCCCAGCCTGATTTCCACGAACCTTCCCTTCAACCCCCGGGAGCGATCCCAGTGGAAGAGCCAGATACACCACGCTCTCGAACGAGGTTCATGTCCAAGATCAAAGCTTTCGCGGCCAATACGGGCTCGCAGACCCCGAAATCTTTAAACGGGCCAACTTTTCCATCTGAATTCGGCACACGATCATTTCCCAACTCTCCCACTGTGTCTAGAGTTACCACTCGAGTTCCGGAAGCCGTCCACGAAGAGCAATCTGATGCCGATGCCGATGTCGAAACCGCAGACGAGGCTGCCATACCCGATGCAGTCAAGAAGAACAAGAAAAAGAGTCGGCGCTTTAAGAAAGGCTCCATGTCTAATTTTCCAAATGTGAGCCGATTCCCAACCGATCTGGACGCACTAAGCACCTATGATCGCCTGCTCAGACGCCGAGCAAGCATGCCTGATACGACACAACATGACCATGCTGCATCCGATGGCGATATTCGTGATATTCCTAGACGTAAGCCATTCCGTAGAGGATACTCAATGATGAACACCACTATGAGTCCTCCAGGTGAAGAAGACATGGAAGACATGGAAATTTCCACTGCTGTTGGACGACGTACGGGCCATTTGCGCCGCATTACCGTCTTTGGCGGAGGCGGCTTGTCTGATGGAGATGCATTGACCCCTAGGAAGCACTTCTTCAACTCAGAAAGAGCAGAAAGGGCTTCTACCTACGGCGCCAATAAATGGAAGCGAGTCAAAAGCACGCTGAAGCTCCTTCGACAAAAGAAGGATGACCGCTTCGATTACTACAAATCTGCGGAACTCATGGCTGAGTTGAGAGCCGGTGCTCCTGCAGTTCTGATGCTCGCTAGCATGATTCAGCGAGATGAACACGGGAACAAAAGAATACCAGTTCTTCTGGAGCAACTGAAGCTGAAAATCAAGGACAGCTCGCCCATGCCGGATGATGACAAGGAGCGCCACTGGATATTCACAATTGAACTGGAATATGGCAGTGGTCCAAGTCGGATGCAATGGCTAGTTGTCCGAACCATCAGGGACATCTATAACCTGCACTTTCGGTACAAGTTTGCTCTTAATAACGATAAATACATGCTTGGACGATTGGATCTTGGTGCTCGCCTTAAACAGCCCAAGTTTCCTTACTCAGCATTCCCGTATCTTCGTGGTGCTCGCGACAAAGGAGATGAAAGCGACGAAGATGACCAGGCTAGTGGCCGCGGCGAGGAGACGGCCGCTGAGATGACGGCTGCCGAGGACCATGGCGAAGGACCGCATCTACACTCGAGAAAGAAATCTCGCGGCAATTTCCTCGCAGGTATGAGACGAAGATCTACTGGGTTCACTGACGCTGGTGAGCTGTCTACGGCGGAAGGCGCCGGCATTGATAAGGAGATTCGTAGACAGAAGTATGTGGAAAAACAGAGGCGCATTCTCGAAAAGTACCTCTCCGAGATGATTCGATGGCTCATGTTCAGAGCTGATAGCAACCGCCTGTGTCGATTTCTCGAGCTGTCAGCTTTGGGAGTTCGTCTAGCCGCTGAAGGAAGCTATCACGGCAAAGAGGGCTTTCTTCATCTTCAAATGTCCAAAGGCCTCGACTTCCGCCGTGTACTGCAACCAGCCAAAGTCATTGCTCGACACAGTCGGAAATGGTTTCTCGTCAGACAAAGTTACATTGTGTGCGTTGAGTCACCGGAGAATATGAACATCTTTGATGTTTATCTTGTTGATACTAAATTCAGTATCGCTTCTAAGAGGAAGGCACTGAAGAAAATCGGCTCCAAGAAAAAGCAGGCTGAGATCGATTTGACCATGGAGCATGAACAGTCTACGGAGAAACACCACACGCTTACGGTACGCACTTCGGACCGCAAAATCCGGCTGTTCTCACGTTACCAGTCGGTGATGCGACAATTCGAGGATTCCATCAACGAAATGCTGAAACAGACGCCCTGGTTTGAGAAGAAGAGATTTGATAGTTTCGCCCCCGTTCGGTCTGGCGTATTTGCACAATGGCTGGTCGATGGTCGCGACTACATGTGGAACGTCTCAAGAGCCATCAACATGGCGAAAGACGTCATCTATATCCACGATTGGTGGCTGAGTCCTGAGCTCTATATGCGGCGCCCTGCTTGCATTAGCCAGAAATGGCGACTGGATCGGCTGCTCCAGAAGAAGGCGAAAGAGGGCGTGAAAGTATTCGTGATTATCTATCGAAATGTGGAAGCTGCCATTCCCATTGATTCTGAGTACACCAAGTTCTCCCTTCTTAACCTCCATCCAAATATCTTTGTCCAGCGGTCTCCGAACCAGTTCAAGAAGAATCAATTTTTCTTCGCGCACCACGAGAAAATCTGCATTGTTGATCATGATGTGGCATTTCTCGGTGGTATAGACCTCTGCTTCGGTCGTTGGGATAGCCCGCAGCACCCGATTGTTGACGACAAGCCGACGGGATTTGAGCCATCCGAGATGCCCAAAGACTCTGAGCATGTACAGCTGTTCCCAGGAAAGGATTACTCGAATCCGAGAGTTCAAGACTTTTTCAATCTCAACGAACCGTATGAAGAAATGTACGACCGGGGCAAGGTTCCTAGAATGCCCTGGCATGATGTTTCCATGCAAGTCGTTGGACAACCCGCTCGAGATTTGACTCGCCATTTTGTTCAGCGATGGAATTATCTTCGCCGAGGCCGAAAACCAACTAGGCCCCTGCCATTCCTGTTACCGCCTCCTGATGCGAAATTCGAGGATCTCGAGGCCCTTGGATTGACGGGTACTTGCGAAGTCCAGATGCTCCGGTCCGCATCCAATTGGTCATTGGGAATCGACGAAACCGAGCATAGCATCCAGAATGCCTACATCCATCTGATCGAGGAGTCTGATCATTTTGTCTACATTGAGAACCAATTCTTCATTACGAGCACTGAGGCATACGGAACCAAGATTGTCAACCGCATTGGAGATGCTCTGGTTGAACGCATCATCCGTGCTCACCAAAATGATGAAGACTGGCGAGCTGTCATCATTATACCTCTCATGCCGGGATTTCAAAACACTGTCGATGAGCAGGAAGGCACTAGTGTTAGGTTGATTGTCATGTGTCAGTATCGCAGTATCTGCCGTGGAGAGCACTCGATTTTTGGGCGTCTTCGTGCGGCGGGGATTGAGCCTGAGGATTACATCAGCTTTTTCTCTCTTCGACAGTGGGGAATCATGGGTAATGATGTTCTTGTTACCGAGCAGCTTTATATCCATGCCAAGACCATTGTTGTAGACGATCGAGTTGCGCTGATCGGTTCTGCAAACATCAACGAACGTTCGCTAGTTGGCTCCAGAGACTCTGAGGTGGCCGCTATCGTTCGTGATACTGATATGATATCGTCTACCATGGCGGGAAAGCCATATCAAGTTGGCCGATTTGCTCACACTCTTCGGATGAGGCTCATGCGAGAGCATCTTGGCCTTGATGTTGATGAAATTCTGGAACAAGAGCGAGAAGAAGAAATAAACGAAGCTCTCTTTGAACAAGATATGGATGCTATATACGAAGAAGATGCGACACCCGACGCCGATGCGTCCAGCACTAGTTCTAGCCTGGCCAAGAGTCCACGAGCGCCTGCGAACCACATTCGTTTGCCCAGTTTCAACCATGACCTTGACCTCGCGGCAGCAGAGGCCAGCCAGGAACTTGACGGTTCCTCGTCGAAAGGAAAAGAGGCTGAGACTGACCCTCGTGTTGAAGACAAGGAACATCAGCTAGATCTATCAGGATACGGCCCGGATCACTGGAAGTCGGCAGAACAGCAGGGCGCCGATGAAGGCCGGGATTCAGTCGTCGTCGAAGGCCGAGAGGTGCTCTTGCACGATGGGAAGCGAATTGCGGAAATGGCCCAGCCTCCCTTGTCTCCTCCCTCTCGTCGTCAAGAGCCTAGCGATAAGCCTAGCACCCCTCCTGCACCCCCATCCCCTATTAGTAGGCACGAGGCGATGAAGAGTGAACTATCAGGTCTGAGTACGGGTGCGCCAGCCGTTCCACTGCCAGTGCTTGATGATTCTAGCATTGGTGGCCCTGCCGCTCACGCTGATTCTAAAGCAGGCCGTCAATCCAACGGAGCTTTCCATCCAATGGCAGCAGATATTCAAGCTGCTGACATTGATAAAGATTGCATGCGAGATCCATTGGATTCCCGCTTTGTGGATGAAATTTGGAATCGGGCTGCGCGCAATAACACAGTGCTCTACCGGAGAGTATTCCGCTGCATGCCTGATTCCAAGGTCGGTACCTGGGCTGAATACCGTGAATATATGGATTACGGTGTGAAATTCCGCGCCAGCATGGAGCCGAAATCTACCGGCGACGAGACTGAAACTCGTCGTGACGAAGCAGCTGTAAAAACGGAAGATCAGCCCAAGATCCAGCTGCCCGAGCCCGAAGGCGATGAAGCAAATGGCAAGCCAGTTTCTCGTGGCAGCAGCGGAGAGGACTCGGCGCTTCGCTCCCCGCCTGTTGATGGAACGACGACAGAAAACCAAAGCTCGTTAGAGCCGCCTTCACCTGTGTATACTCAAGGGGACGTGCCATTCCCCACGGTGGACACTTCATCTTCTTCGAAGCCAGTTTCGCGCAGCAAGAGCCGAGATCGTAGGCCAACTTTCTCAACGCTGGACAAGCCGTCTTCCAAGGACACTAATGCTGCTCCTCCCCTGGCGCCGGCGACAGCGACGGCCAATGGCGGAACAGTCAAGCGCCGACGCCGAGCCACTACCAAGGGCAGCCGGCGCGGACTCTTGATTGAGGAGATGCCTACGCGTGGCGAGGCCGAGCAGCTTTTGGGCTTGGTACAAGGAAACGTGGTCGAGTTCCCATATGACTGGCTACTAACAGAAGAGCACAACGGGAACTGGGGTTACCAGGTGGATGGAGTGGCACCTATTGCCATTTAGTAAGTGCCATGTCTCAATGATGATTGTAGTTGAACAACTCAAGGCTAACCATGAATCACAGCAATTAACCAATCTTTCTTTGGCGTATCGTTTTCTAAACTTTCTGGGCCGGCGCAAGGAGTCATGCAAGGAGTAGGTGTTTCCGGATGCATTTACAATGGGATAGAGACATTATTGCATACAACATTAAGGCGGTTACCGCACAAGTCGAGGTCCGGAAATCATTCTGCTATAGCATCGCCTTTTCTAGTTTCTTTAGATCATCAACAAAGCATGGCGACCTGCTTAAAGTGATTTCGTATAAGCTACTGTAAATGAACTCACACATATTTAATAATAATACACGGGCATGTATATACACATTTTACATGTGTCCCACGCCATGTTACGCTAAGTATATATCCAGGCTATTTCTCAAAGGTCCTCATGTTATGTTCAAACCTTTTCGCTCACCCAAATCGCTCCACGGCAGCCAGCCCTGATGACGTTGGTAAGTAACCAGTGGGGTTCTGCTTTTTTGGCATCATTATCCACAGCGTGATCCAGGTGTTCGAGCTCTTCGTCTCGTATTCTTCGCAGAGTGTCCACCAACTGCTTAATCTCACCACCAACATCGTATCCCTGCGCCTCCCAGCTAGAAATCATCTCTAGGATGGAGCGGATCTGTTCGTTGTAATGGTTTCCTATTTCGGTCTCGACGGCCTCGGTGCAGGCCATGGCCGCCTCACGGCCCATGATTGCGGTTGACCAGCCAAGGCCACTGGCTAGGACGGACCATAGCGGGTAGAGGGCTGTGGGGCGGACGCGGTGCTTGTGGATGAGGCTGTTGAAGGTTGAGAAGTGGACGGCTTCCTGGTCGTACATGTGAGCCATGAGAGGGCGGAGGTGAGGGTGTTTGCGAACGACGACGGGGGTTTGGGCGGAGTAGATGAGTGTCGCGGCGAGTTCGCCGGCTTGGTTGACTCGAAGCTATCAGATGCTGGTTTAGCTGGGTTGCTCAGTATCGTGTAGGTGGGTAAGGTCGCTTACAGCAGAGGAGAGAAAGTCGCTCTGCTCTCGAGTGAGAGGTTTGAGCTTCTTTGGAGAGCCTGAGCTTGAAGTCTCTGAGGTTGATGATGCCGTGGTGGGAGCTCGGAGTACGGCGCTGGTAGACAGAGGGCGAGCTGCAGGTAGAAAGTGTCTACCAATGACACCAGCCTGTCTGGCGAGACATCGTGTTGGAGCCATTATGAGTTGAGAACAGCTAGAAGAACAGAATATATGAAGATTGCCAGTCCAGGCTCATCAATCGCATCGCCCAGGCCGGTTCCCGTATCACGGCATAGCGACTTTTAGAACTCGGCCCATGTAGGCATGACGCAGAATATCCAACGGGACCTGCATGCGGCAGCGCTGCCGATTGGCCAGAGGCTTCGTCGCTACGGACAAACGCTTTTCCGCCACAGCGCCGGAGACTTGGCTACGGGGCGTCGCGTTAATAGCCGGGCAGAAGTGCAATAGCGAGCAGCTTTAGTGCTGCGGCTCAGGCGCTCGAGGCTTTCTTCCCTCCTTTGCTCTTCACTTCGCTGTGCTTAATCCCTCTTCTTCGCTGGTCCATCAGTTGCAAGACACGACAATTGAATCGACAAACGGATTTACTGCACTGGATACTTTTCTAAGTCCTGCTGTCACCGCCGCATCACATCCCGCTATCGGCTCGAGACGAGAACCGCCGTCGCGTTTGCTCTTTCAAACTCCCCTCCTAACATTTGCGACATCGTTGGGCTTTTTCCCGCCACCGCTCTGCAAAGTAACCCCCTGAACAGCATATTTCGGCCATCGAGGACTGCATCTACTCCAGATATCCATCATGGCTGACATCGACGACGAACTCCTGGCCCTTGCGGGCGGTGACTCGGACGATGAAGGATCCGTGGTCGCCAGCAGAGAGGCTTCGGCGTCGCCGCCACCGGCCTCAGAAGACGAGACGCCCCAATCACCAGAGACGAAACCAAAGCGGCGGTCAAAACAGGATGAGTCGGAAGATGAAGGCGAGGCGTAAGTGAATAGACTCATCTCTTATTGTGCCGCCGAGCTGCTGGAGAACCAAATGGGGAACAATAGTCTCATGGCCCTTCAGCTCCCGCTCACTATGGCAGCACGCCCCTTCTTCTCTCCAGCCACCGGACGGTTATTAACGTACATCTTTTTGTGTTTTCCTCCTATCTAGATCTGATGCGCCATCACACAACTCTCTCGAATCAGCTTCGATGGATGAATCCGACTCCGATGCAGAGCCCAGTCGCGGCGCTGGCCGCTCTGCTGGTATCGCGGGCGGGGGTGGCGACGACAAGTATCCCGTTGATGGCATGTTTATCAGTGAGGCCGAAAAGGCTGAGATTATGGCCATGCGAGAAGTAGAGCGAGAGCAGATCATTGCGGACCGAGTCTCTGAGATAGAACGTCAGCGACAAAACCGCCTTTTACGACAAATGGTCAACAACGTCGAGATTGAGGAGCGCAAGCAAGTCAAGAAGAAGCGCAGCGCAGACCCGGCCGAACTTGAGGATGGTACACGCAAGGCCGCGAGGACGAGAACAGGCAAGGGCAGCGAATCGGCGATTGATTCCTTCCGCAGGGCGCGCGCTGAGAAACAGAGACGACAGGAGGATCGGGAGAGGCGGAGGGACGGCTTATCGCCGCGTGGTCGCGAGTCAAGAGAGCCAGAGGAGAGTGACGATGACGACTTTGGACAGGCCCATCGGTCGCCTGAGAAGGCTGCTTCCCGAGAGCTGCCGCCACCAGAGCTTCGCGATTTCGAGAGAGTTCGTCTTGGTAGAAACGAGTTTGCGCAGGTTTGCTCTACTCCTGGCTTTGAAGCGGCCATTACGGGATGCTATATCCGCATCGCCCTTGGTGCCCATCCTGAAACGGGTGTCGAGCAGTATCGGCTGGCTCTGATCAAGGGTATGCATTTCTACATTTGCTGGGATACCGTTGCTCATCCCAAGTGCTAACAATGGAATAGGATTTACGACCAGCAGACCGTACGCTCTGAATGGCCCCCAGGGCTCTTTTGTAACGGATCAGTATGTCAAGGCTGCTCATGGCAAGGCTATCAAGGAGTTTCCGTTCATTGCAGCCTCCGGTGGTTCAGTCACAGAGGTAAGATTGACTTCCTTTCTAGCTGCCTACGGTCAACGGATGGAGATGCTGACTGATTTGATTCAACAGGGCGAACTCAACCGATACAAAGTCACTTGCCACAACGATGGCGTTACACTGCCTACCAAAGCTTTCCTCATGGACAAAATTGATGATATTAATGGATTGATTAACCACAAGTGGACAAATGAGGAGATTAAGGCTAGAGTCGCGAAGCGCAACGAATTCCGAAAACGGTTTGATCCATCGGAACGCCAGCGGGTCGCTAATCTTCTCGAGGAGGCGATCCAAGAAGGCGACGACCAAAAAGTGGAAGAGCTACAAGAGGAATTAGATAAGCTAGGCAAAGAGCGTCTCGCCTTCAGAACTAGCCTGGGAGCACCAAAGAATCCAGTGGCCACCAAGGCTTCCTCAGAACAAGACAGGTTAGCGGAGCGTAACCGAGAGAACCGTCGACTTAACCAGGAAGCAGTCAGGAAGGCCCAGTTGAAAGAAAAGGCCAAGGCCCGAGAAATTGAGATGGCTCTTAAGCGAGGAGAGGTGATCCAAGAAGACTACTCCCGACGACTTCGAACGAAAGCCAAGTTCGTCCACGACATCAACGAGAAAGTTGGCGAGAAGCCGGAGGCTCCCAAGGACGGTACTGGTGCAGGCATCAATGGAACTCAAAGCCCTTCAGCGTCACAGGCCCTGTCACATCTGACGAAGCTGCAGGAGAAGCACTACTCAGAAACAAAGGGTTTGCCGACGATTCATAAGCCTATTATGGACGATGATGTGATTGGGGCCCTCGATTTGGAGGTTGATGTTGAGATCTGAAGCGCGCTTTACATAAACTTTGCGTGCTTCATTGCTCTTTATTTATTTGCTCTTATTTTTTTTATTAGTCTACTCTTCACTTTTTCTTCTCAATTAGACGGTGGCTGAAATAGCAGAAAAGAGGGCGGCGGAAAACAATGAAAGACGGCATATATGGAGTTGGACGGAATGGAATGACTACTTTTGCAAAACTTCGGATCAAGCCAGTAATGTTCTATGCCCATGCATACATGAAAAAGAATGATTAGCTTTCAGTGATGGACGAGAGGGCGTAAGGTATATAGACGAGAGTAATGAAGATGATATCCCAATGATGTTGAAGGGGAAGCTATCCAGCATCCCAGTTGTATGATGACACTCTAGCTATAGCTCAACAAAACGAGTGGCATATGTATGGAAATATACAATTACGCAATACATTAAGAGTAGCAGCATCAGTAGCATCAGTAGCCCACGCTATAACTAGAGTACTGGATAGCAGACTTGGGATGTTAAACAAGTTTCCCTAAAGAGAATTATCGAGTGTATTAAGTTTCATTATTCTGTGCGCTATCTATGTATCTGAGCTTGATAGTCTGTCTAACAGGTCATGAAGGATATAAGAAAAAAAAGAGAAAACGATGAAACAATTCATTTACGCCCAGACCAAAACCCAAACTAGCCCAATCCGCTTAAACAAGAAAAGAGACAATAGTAAATTAATAGTCAAAACAAAGACAATACGCTGCCATTTATCCCTGGAAGTTTCTAAAAAAGCTCACGTCAAACTTATCCATCCTCCCCTGAAGCCGCCTGTACCAGAAGAAGCTCGTGACGACGACGTTGACAAACAGCACGCCGCAGGTGGTGCCAAGCTGGGACTTGAGGGAGCTGAGCATGGTGACGCCGCGATTCTGGCTGTTGCGCTTTCGGGAGACAGCGGATAGAGACATGGATGATGAGGGGATGCCGTCGAGGTCGTCTTCGACGCGGGAGCAGACTTGGAGGAAGAGTTGAGGGTTGTCGGTGATGACGCCATCGATGAAGACGGTTGGTGATGGTGATGGTGATTTGTCGTCCGCCATGGAAGACAGGGAAGACGTTGAAGAAGAAGCAGGGAGAGCAGCCCGGTCCGAAGCAATGTTCTTGCGGATGCACCACTCCATCCACTTCTCGCCGTTGACGGTCCAGGCAAAGACGGGGCGGCCGGCCCTCTTGGCGTCGCGGAGGAACCAGCGGCCAAAGGGCCCGACGAGGAGGCCCTGGAACATGTTAAAGGCGAGGTTGGGAATGGGGAAGAAGTGGCGGGAGTAGAAGAGCGAATTGGAGATGTGGGCGAGGGGGTAGCCGGGGAGGAATTCGAGGGCGGCTTTCATGAATGTGGCCTGGAGATGTGATCAGCTAATGTATACGCTAGATGAGGGTGAACAGCTTACGTTCCAGCAGCCGAGAATGATGCGTTCGTCCCAAGGGGTGGCTGATGAGACTTCTGTGAGAGCGCAGGCTATAGCATGTAGAAGATGTTCAGGTTTGTCGTCAATCTGAGCAGATGTATGTTATATTAGCGAACACTCTTGTTGTCTCTTGTGACGGTGCTCTTCTTACCTTGATATCCAGCAAGACCCAAATCTTTTCTGTGTCTGGTCCAGAGGTTAGATACTGGAGCAGGTCTACCAGCCTGGGCAGCGGCTCATATGGCTGCTTGGTCGTTCGCAGGCTGGAGAGATATGACCAGGTGCAGTCTTTGATGAGAAGGTCGACGCCAAAGCATCTATTTAATGAAGGGTCCTAAGACAGTGTTAGTCTCTGTGTACTCGATTCACTCCGCTGATCCCTGAACTCAACTCAATATTCATTCATGCGTGAGCACTGAGTTGTGTTTAGATAGGTGACTTACATGTGACAGCACAACGACGCCGTCCTTGGAAAGATGCACATCCGTCTCCAAGGCATGAGCTCCAATCTTAACAGCCGCCTCAAAAGCCGCCATGCTGTTCTCGGGAAAATGGGACTTGAAGCCGCGATGAGCAATGGTCTGTGGTATACGCCGTGAGGCATCCCGCGAGGATGCTATGGCTGAGGCCCATGTTGCCGCTATTGATTTCAATGTTAGCTGAGATGAGCCAATATGAAGCAAATATGATGGGCAATCATGATGGATGGGATATGGAAAACGATGGTTAGAAGGTTTGTCAAAGATCAGGTACATACCCTTTGGAACGGTGATGCCGCGGTGAAAAGGACTCATCAAGGGTTTCTTTTCCGCCGTACTCATGTTTCTTCCAGAAATGAGATCCAAATCCTCTATTCCGCTTAATCTATCAGATTCTTCTATCTCTACCGATGAGTTGGAGAGATGGGAAAAACACGAGAAGAACTATCGGAAAATAGGCAAAAACGAAAAGAGGCGGTGTTAGTAATAAACGCCGTGCTGCTTGTGATTTCGTCACGTTGGCTGCTCGATTTGGGCGAGGGCGGATATAAGTGCTGGCTGAAACTCCGCAGTCCGACACGTGCCTCGGTGTATGTCGGTATGGACTTTTAGACTGTATGATCTGCAATAACGAAGAAGAGTAAAAAGAAGAGAAGAAAAGGCGATGACTCTTCTCTTGCCTTTTGTATCTCGTTCTCCTCTGTCAGCTAACATAATTCTCACAGATACATGTATCTTGCTACGTATCTTATCGCAAAACAAGAAATGCTCCATACTGTTTAAACCAGACAAGCATATAGAGCCACAAACATGAAGCCACGCCCAAAACCATCAAATCACCAGCCCTGTTGCTCTTTCGCATGACCCTCTTTCGCAAAACACCCCCCTGAGCATGGCCTGGTGGTGCCTTGCATGTCGCCACTTGACGAGTTTTTTTTTTCTCCTTCTTCTCGTCATATCAGGGTCTTTTTTTAAACAAGAACTATCTACGGCTAGCTAGGTAGTTAGTGGTGATAAGCACCTTGTTCCGGCGGGAAGTGTAAAATCCTTACAGGGCAGCCAATCCACGTTTGCTATTCGTTGCTGCTATCAATACATGTAGCAAAAGGCGGCATTAAACCTCTTATGATCCCATACTAACAACATTCGACTGATAACATACCGTCTGGTAAAATTTAATGGCTCCATTCATTTGATGTTATCAATGACTCCCTGACAACTTCGCCTCGCCTCACCTCGAATAGAATCGGCTACTGCTACGTTACAGGGTCCAAATGCACTAACATCGCCCTCTTCGGCAGCGCACATGAACCCTGCATCTTTGCCCCTCTACAGCGGATAGAGCCCACTACGAGTCACCGAGTCTTTCACGCAAGCCCCGTGCCGCCATCAAAAGCCCGCAAAGGGTCCTCTCAACAATCGCCCTTGGGCAACGTGCTCGGCCCAACACCAGAGATTCCTGATTGTGGCGGGCTGATGCGAGGCTCCGTCGTCTTAATCCCAATCCAGGCTAGAAGGCGCGTGTTCCCTTGTCTAAGAGCTGGAGCCATATAAATTACTACAAGGCTACAGGCAATGCCGTATCGCTTGGTGGGTAGCCCGTTTGATATGCCGCAGCCTAGTGCTGCATATGGTGCGGCGAGGCGATTCAGCTTAAGATAAGATGCAGTAACTCGATGCATTGACATGGATGCCGGAGCGAAGAAAATTTTTACAACCTATTTTGTTGACCGTGATATCCAGAAAACTACAAGCTATCGAGCGAATTTCATGTAATAAAAATAAATAGAGTAACCATCCACATCACCATCCGTCCAATAAGCATGTAATCCCTCATACAACCCTCATACTATCCCCTGTGACAGCCCCTTGAAGCTGCTTTTGTGTCTTCCAAGTCATAGCCAAAAAAATTCAATGAGAAAAAAAAAAGCCCTCACAAATCGCTCCAGCATGTGCGCCGTCCCAAAAATAAGTCGAAACCGTTACATCGATAGGCCGCAATTTCAGACCAAACAGGCATCTCATATCGCCATCACACCACAACGCCTTGAAACAACGTCATAACTCACAAAGACAGTCCGTGAAGCCCATTTGAAGCATATCCATCGCCGTGGTAGTTCCCCTGCAGCTGCTTCCCGTAGTCAATGCTGCCGAGACCCAGTCCCAGCTCCGAAGGTGACACTTCCTCTCCTGAACTGAGGCTCTCGTCGCTCATGCTGAGCACGCTCTGCGGCGGCGCAGGGTTATTTCCGAATTCATCGATGTTAAAGTTGCTCAGATCCCATGCATCTGGTGACCATTCGCTGCCAGTCGAGTTCCCTGTCATCGCAGCTTCGATGGTGACGCCTCCGTAGATAACGTCATACACATTGTTCATCCCACTGTCCATGGATCCGACCAATGCCTCCCAGTCAGCGCCCGATAAATTGTTGGTTTTGGCCACAGACTGTGCGTTGTTCATGTAGCCTTGGCCGTCGTTCTGCGTTCCCATGGGCTGTCCCTGCATGTTGGTAGGAGGAGAGCCAGCGTGCTTGGCCGTGAAAGAAGCGTCGTTGAGCGAGAGATAATCAAGATTCTGTCTCGCCTGAGCATTCGGAGAAAGCCTAGATGCCCGCGATAATGAGGGCTGGCGATCTTGTCGTTGCCCGTCAAATGATTGACGGGAAGAGGGCTGCGGCCGTCCATCTACACTGGAGCCCTGAACACTTGACATGCTACCCATCCAGCGCTTGTCTTGATGGCGCGTCAAATCAGCCTCGCTTACCGAAGCCTGGTATTGGGAGCCTAGGAGTGGTGAACTCTGCTTGGGGTAGCTTGTCGGGGGTGATGCGCGGCGGGAGCTGGCTGCCGTTGATGGCTTGCGGGCATGCTTGTTCGTCGGTACTGGCCCTGAAGGATCGGCGACAGTGACGAGCACATTGGCGGCTCGTTCCAAGTCCACGAATCCGGGTGACTGGTTCTTGCGGAGCGTCTTGAGGACTTCATTCACCAGCCGCTCATTTTCGCGCAACAGCTTGCTGTCGCGTTTCAGATCAATGGTCTGATAAAGAAGAGTGAGAGCGCACAGGGCCAAAAGATCGCATTTATTCATGCAGAAGGAGAATGACAAGTTACGCTCTTCGAGGAGCTCTGCAATTTGGACAATGTGCTTGCTGGATTCGCTGATGGACATGAGTGCCGGTGCAGCCTTGGGCCCGAGGCTTGAGCCAACGGCTGGCCGATAAATCAGGGTACGGATATAATAGTATGTGAGTGCCTATAGTATAGCTTGTGAGTCATTTTGTGCCAAACAGTAACCATGATTGGATTCGCACTTACCAACAAAGGCGATCGGCTGCCGGTGACATCTGTTGACGGCTTACCCTGAGCGAAATTGAGTCTCAGGTGAGCTGGCAACTCGTCATACCAGGCATCTAATTCAGCTTCAAAGGCGCGCATTTGCTGAAGAGAGAGGTCGTAGTTGGTCGCCGCAGGATAGTTCTTATCTAGAACACGAGCGAGAATTCGTGTTGCTCGGAAAAGAGCAAGAGCGCTAGAAATGCGAGTATATTCGCCTGGAAGTGTGGGTTGGAAGCCCTTTTCTGTGACGTACTCGTCATCAGTATCGGACGGATATTCTGCCTGAACGTCCTCTTCCTTCAGCATCTTGGGGAGACCAGTAATGGCCGCCGTCATGGTATCCAGGGCGTACAGCGTCCAGAAAACTTTCTTTCTGGTCTCAAGAGTCAAGGCACCAAAGGAGAATCGCTTTTGGCTTTGGTGCAGACCCAGTCGATGAGACAAGCCCACGGCGACGCACTTGTAGTGCTGAAGGCGACGATAGTCGGCGCGGACGGTGCAGTACAGAAGAGCCAACACAAGGCACTGTAATGTGCTCATAGTGTTTTCTAAGATCAGGGAATCAAGGGCCTTGGTCCATTGGTATTCGCAAGCAGCAACTTGCTGGAGGTCTGGAGCCTCGGACGAGAGGCCTGCAAGAGAAAAGACGAGGTAGAGCTGTGCAAGCTTGTAGTTGCCCTTGACTCTTTCCGGATCATTGACAAACTCTTCGTAGATGCGAAGAAAGGTAGGCTTATGGAGAACAGGGAAGAGAGGGGCCCATTCTTGGAAGAAGACATTGACGCATCTATCCGAGAAGAGGCGAGGAGGGATTTTTGATGACTGGTCTGACATCTTGGTTACCAGAGGAGTGCTGCCTTGTATGTGTAAAAAGGCATCAGGAGTAAAGTCACTGCATGGTTTGCCACTGTCTTGCATCTTCCGTTTGAGGGAGGCTATGTGAAAAGACGTTAGTTCAGAACTGATACTTGAACGAGAGGTAAAATGGGTTTGTAGATGTATTGCTTGCGCATGTGCTTAGATACGCATAGAGGTAGCACAAATATGACATACCGATAAAGGCGCGTCCACTTGAGGATCCCATAAAGTACGAATCGGAATTCTCGACACCCAAAAGGAGTTGTGTAGCTTGTACTCTGAACGTATCTTCCTTCATGGTGGGTGACTCTTTCGGGCCATCCGGTGACACCGGCGTGGCCATGGATGTGACTGAAGGCTTCCGTCGCGGGCCGCCACTCATGTTTCCGTGCATCGCAGAGAGCATATCGATTTTCTCGTCCTTCTCATCTAGCAGATCCTTGAGCTCGCGGACTTCGCCCTCCAGCACACGGACCCGCTCCTCCAGAGACTCTGTATATCCGCGCGGGAACGCACGTCGGCTCAGCTTGTCGCTGGTGCGGCACTCGAAGCCGACCGAAGAGCACTGTGAACATGTGGGACGAACGCCATCGCAGCGAATCTTTTTACTCCTGCAGCGGTCGCAGGCCTGGGCGATTCGGCTCTGGGCGCTGCTGCCCACCTTGATGACCTTCATAGGCAGGATGCCCGGCATTGTGACGATTGCGATCCGAGCGCTCGATTATAGAATGGGAAGCGAAGAATTGGTGATGTTGGTCGAGGCGTTTGAGTGAGAGCGAACGTGCTGACTGGGGCTTTCTTCGCCCACCAGCCGTGGTCGGCGCAACGTGCGTCTGGGATCGTCGAAGCAGCCTTGGATAAATTGCGGTTGGTCGCGGACTCTTTCTTTCTTTCGGCAAACACGACGAGTCGAAGTCGAAAACAAAATGAGGCTCTTGATCCCGTCTTCCGCGATTCGTCGTCGTCAGCGTGAGACACGGAGAGAAGAATATTGTGGGGGGTGGAGAGATGAAAGGAAAAGAAATGGAAGAGCGAAGACAGGAGCAGGCGAGTGGAGCCTAAAAGGGCAGAGCAGGGCGTGGCAGGCAATTAAATCCCGGGGAAGGGGATTGGACAGCGCCGCTAAGCAGAAAGCAGTGCGTTGAGGCTTCTGGGCCACAGGTGCTTGGCTCCCCGTAGCGCTCGTGGCCAGCACGCAGCAGGGTGCTTAGCGCTCCATGCACTAACGTGGCAGCGGCCAGGACAGCGCTTTGACAGCGCGCTCCATCCAATCTGGAAATCTCCGTTCACCCACCTCGTCTACGTCCGCCTCCTATTATCCCTCTGGTTCCCTTTGCTCGTTTGCATGGAAGAAGAGATGCATCAAAATTACTACACAAGCTAATCGCCGCCGTGACTGGCCAGCTCCCGGTCTCGCGGCTCCACCCCTCAGCGTTCTTTTCGTTGGGTCTGCTTGACGTAGTTTCTGCTTCTTCAATCCATCGCGCTCGCTAGTGCGCCCCCTGTAGGCCACGGGATGTGAGCACCGCTCCCCACCACCGGCTTCTCTTCTCTTTAGCCACCGTGACACTGCTGCTGGCACGGAGTACTTTGACTGTGAAGCGTTTGCCATCGACTCATGGTGCTGGCAAGTGATTTGTTCCCGTCTCGATTCCGGCAGATGTTTCGGTGACAATTGCTAACCAGCTTAGTCATCCGCCTTACGCTGCCGTGATGGGAAACGCCAAGTTCCGCTACAGAGTAAGCAGGCCATCTGTCTTACTGCCGCTTGGAGGCAGAAGAGAGAACCCTAACCCATCATCGCGACATTTTAGCCCGGCCGCCGAACTGCATAATACCCACCTTTGCCGCGAAAATGCTTTCTCGAGAGCGGGTTCGGTGCTCGATGCATGGGATGGGACCTGACCTGGATACAATGTCAGAATGCAACCCATTGCCCCAACAACATCAACCAACGCCAGCTGGGCCATCAACCGATATACTAGCACACACACATCGTCTCTGTCGATGGCTTACCGCAGCGGCTTACTTGCACACGCAGGGCCCTCGGGCTCTAGACCAGCGTCCACGTCCTGCCACTGAGCTAGCGCGCAAATAAATCTCGACTTATGGCCTGATTTACCCCAGATTTCCCGCTGTTTGCCCCCCTAAGGTGCACATGGTGCGGGGTGGGAAAAGCCGGGGAGCAGCTCTTCTAAAACGCCCCCGTACACTCGTACTGTATGACACGGTCTGTCTGGCAGGAAATGCTGCGGGCTTTGGTCGGTGATGCTTGAGTTCATCAGCCAATGCTTGGCTATCTGTGCACTGTGGTCGGTACCGAGAGATTTCAGTCCTTCCATTTCCTTGAGAGAAGAATGGCTCCAGAGGCGTCTCTTAAGCGCCTCCTGCTTCTTCGCTCCTTGGCAGCGGGCATGGCACCCATGACTATTGCCTACGCAGCGTCCAAACGGCAGTATCGGAATCGACAATGCTCGGTTTCCTTTATCCCCGTCATACCGCGGACTTGCAGCAGACGTGGTCACTGACTGGCGAGCGTTCAACATGACAGCGAATGGACACCGGCATAGCCGGACCCTTGCCGAGCTGCTGTCAGGCTTCTGCGATTCCGTAACTCGGACATGGTAGGACATGACCCTACTGAAACAATGCCTCATAGCTTGCATTTAGGCGGCGATGAGCCGTGCTTGGGAGGTACCAATTCGTCTTTATTTGTCCCTGCAGCCATCGTCCAGCCTCTCCAGGGTCCCAAGCGCCCTGGCTGAACCACTCCCACCACCCATTCCTGAACGGCACTACTACAACTCCTGCAATTGCATCAATCCACAACTCACTGTGGCTCATTTAGCATCCTTTGTGGTGCCTGTCGGCACATCTATTAGCCCTCCTGGCCATTTAGTCCTCATATTCCCCAGCCTGTGCCGTATTCTGCGCCGCAATTGAAGGCTAGTGGCATTCGTTTCATCGTCTTCCCCTTATCTTAAAGTTGAAGCGTAAGCCACACCCAAAGAATGTGTGTCTGGAAGGAAAAAGCTCAAAGTTTAAAGTTCGTCACTCCATGTCATACAGGTGGAACGAACAGGAAGATCACGAGATCTGCTCCGTCTTTGAACGCTGGCGAATAATTCACGGAACGAACCCAAGCACCATATCATCTCTCATGTAAGCAGAGATTCTGCACGCCCAAGTCTCGTCAATCAAGTGATATCCAACTCCAACATATCACATGGATATCCTGCATAACCGCTGAACGTTTAACCCGCGTTTTAGTGCCATTTCTGTCAATAGTCTGAGCCCTAGTTCTTTCGTTATTCGACTGGACTCGCGGTACAGCGTCGACTCTGAACTGGTCCAAGCCATAGACAGCAACTGGCTTGGTCCTTCGTCTTGTCTCAGATGACTCCTATATCGGGTCAAGCCGGCGCAAATGCACCTTCAATCGTCGATCCCCACGCTAAGTCCAAGAAGAGTTTGATCCTTGAGCGCTGCCCCGGCTTGTCCATCCCACGCCGCTTAGCCATTTCGGCTACTTAGCTGAAGTCGTCGTCCTCATTGGACGCCTGGTCAGACGCTTGCTCATTTTGGGTATCTTCCATAGACCCGAGATATGCCACCACGCGAGCGTCCAGAAGCAGCCTCGCCTTCTGTAAATGTTGCGGTGGTTGCATTAGCATTTATCCAGACATGAGTTTTAGATTGCAGTGGCCCCGCCTGTGTCTTGTCTCTTATTCAAGCATAGCTGTCTGCCAGACATCCAGCTTGACCCCGGACCGTCGGAATGTGGCGGACAATGGAAGCCATGCCGCAGTCGAAGACCATGAAAAGGAAAAAGTCAATATGCTTACCTCGTTTTCTAGCGCGGCTGCCGCACCTTGCAGGGTTTGAGCTTCAAGATCTCTCAGCTTCTCCGCCGCTAGCATGCACTCCACGCGGGGTTGATTTGCTGCCTGCGATTGCTCCGTTACCCCGTACGAGATCTCGGCGGTGATCCTGTTCAGCTGCGCGGCAACCAAATTCTCCAGCACAGCTACGGCTCTGAGCTTAAATATTTGGGATAGAGGGTGATCTTGGATGAGAGATTCGAATTCGTCGGTTCGTCCAGTGACATCTTCGTCTTGCCAAAAAATCCTTAGTTCGCGGCCTCCCTCCATATCTTGAGCTATTCGGAATGCCAAGCCGTCTTCTTCATTCAGAATTAGTAGATACAGAAATGGACTGTGCCACTGGAACCTTTGTTCCGTCAGAGATAGCCGTACAACTGGTGGGCCTCTGTAGATGTGAAATTTGGCTTTCCCTAGGGGATCGTCGGGAAGGGCATCGAGGTGCAGTGCCAGCTCCTTTACACCGGACTCCTGGTCGATGAAACCATAGCTGAACAGCATCTCGGCCGCCGACTTGGCTTCCCCGTAAGAGATGGTGATCTCCTCCCCTGATGACACCCCAGATCCCGAGCTCGGGAGCAACACCACGTCGCCCTCAGGGGTTTCGTCATAGCGCGCCAAGTATTTTGGCGAATGATTTGCCATATCCAGCCCGGGGACCATGGCAATCCCGGCGTGGGGCAGCTCTAAGCATCTTGATCGGTACAAGGCATCGGCCAAGATCCAATCTTCCAGCATCCCTGGTTCGCTCAAGAGATCATTCCAAAAGGGTAGCGTTGATGCCTTTTCGGAAAGCTCGTCGTATTCACGGGAAAGAACGGAGAGCTTTGCGTTTACCGAGGACTAGTTTATGACATGGGTGTTAGTAAAGGATTGAGTAGCAGCTCCCATTCACATGCCATGAGACGTATCTGATTCTCAATGTAGAGAAAGTCACTAGTTTCAGTGCTGTGGTAAACGAGGGGGCATTGATTACCTCAAGGGATGTGCCTTGCAACAGCTCTCTCTCCTCACTTGTCCACATGGTGGGAACGCTGATTGACCTGGGCAAGAACTTGATATACTCGGTCCATGGCGTTGAAGCGCATCCCTTGCTAACAGACGAGTTTCTTTTAGATAGAATAAGATGTGTCAGCAGATATAGCAGTATATCGCCCCTAGTGCTCTCTCTGGACATCAGTATCACCATCAATTTAGAAGCTCCATCGCACGGACGATACTTACTTGGTGTCCAGCAACTTCAAGTAGCTGTCTAAAGCTCTGGTCAACTTTGGCATACGCCTCCACAGCCTCGGCAGATAAAACAAGATCTCGGGGTATTCGGATGATTGCTACCGTGCTGGAGGTGTCGTCGCTCACGCCTGGAATATCGTTCTTGGCCACGAGGCCGAAGCCTTTGCCCTCAATGCTTTGTACCTCCGCGCTTCTGAATTCCACGCCATTCAAGAGCGCCCAGGCCGGGAAAGCCTCAATTGGTAACTGAGACGCTGACATGCTACAGTATTAAAATCAAACGATGAGAGAATTTGGTCGGATATAGGAAAGAATCAACTATCGCCTTGTAAAATCGTCCCTTGTTAGAAGTGCATGCAAGCTCTTAGCATGTGCTAAGCAGTAGAAGTCTAAAGTCTATTGGGGTAAGCGGCCAAGGCGGGGCAGTACCTTTGGTAAAAGAGGACCTGCGCCTTGGTGAGCCCTCTTCGCAATCTCAAGTACTCTTCCTTAATCAGTACGAGAAACAGGCAGCTACGTTTAATTCGGTACCTCCAACGACGTCGTCGCAGTGCGGCTCTCACAAGCGTCACCCACTCGGCCCAATTTTTTTATTTTCAAGGTTCTCTTTTGCGACATCATTCCTTTCACATAGGCTCCAAGTATTCATAGAAGCATCTTTACCAACCTCTTTGCTACAACTTCTTCGAATTGTATATTCGTTTTTTGCTTCCCCCTCCTTCCCCCCTCCATCGATCGGCTCGACAATTCCACCCCGCCATGCCTCGTGATCCCCTCATTGGGCTCGTGGGCAAGCCATCTGCCGGGAAGAGCAGCACGCTCAACAGCTTAACAGACGCTTCTTCTAAAGTTGGTGGGTAGAACCTCACTCTATGTATTGCTTTGGCCAAGAAAGACGGCGCAAATCTACATGATATATCTGTCAGCTGCTGGACCTTTTACTAACATCAATTTCTGTAGGCAATTTCCCGTGAATAATCGCCCGCCCACCCCATACCCGCCCACACGAGCTCGCAAAGCTGACTTGGACTGTTTGTGTTCTTGTGCGACAGATTTACCACCATTGATCCTCAGCGAGCGATAGGATACCTCCAGATTGACTGCGCATGCGCGCGCTTCAAGCTATCAGACAGATGCAAGCCCAACTACGGATCATGCGATGAGGGTCGACGGTCTGTGCCCATCGAGCTTCTCGATGTAGCTGGACTAGTACCAGGCGCACACCAAGGCCGCGGCTTGGGAAACAAATTCTTGGACGACCTGCGACATGCCGATGCGCTGATTCATGTTGTCGATGCGTCCGGGACAGTCGACGCCGAGGGCAAAGAGACGAGGGGCTACGACCCTTCAGTAGATATCGCCTGGTTGCGGAGTGAGGTTGTTGCGTGGATCTTGGGCAATCTCATGTCAAAATGGGGAGGCATTAAACGACGACATATCGCAATCAAGGCTACAGCCGTCGAGACATTACAGAATCAGTTCTCTGGATATGGATCTACAACCGTAACTGTGCAGCGGACGCTAGATCGCTCCGGTGTAAAAGAGCCTTTGGAAGAATGGTCTGACGAGACGATTGAGCACATTGTCAACTGCTTCATAGACGAGAAATTCCCGACAGTCATAGCACTCAACAAGATTGACCACCCAGACGCGGATAAGAACATTGCAAAGATTGCCAAGATGCAGGACCCTAATGCCGTCGTGCTCTGTTCGGCTATTTCAGAAATCTTTCTTAGAAAAATGGCGAAGCAAGGATACATCAAATACGTGGAGGGAAGCGAGTTTGTCGACACAAGAGAGGACCTTATCGAGCAAGGCGACCCTACTGGCGGCGGCCTCAAAGAACTCGACGAGAAGAATCGCAACCGGATAGAAAACCTGAAAGACATGGTGCTGTACCGCTTCGGTTCGACAGGAGTTGTGCAGGTGCTATCAAAAGCGGCCGAACTGCTGGGTCTGGTACCCATCTTCCCGGTACGGAATACATCAACATTCAGCTCTGGAGCGTCAGATTCCAAATTTGTGTTTAGGGATTGTGTATTAGTTAAAAAAGGGTCTACGGTGGGCGATGTTGCCCGCAAAGTGATGGGCGATGCTCCGATTGCCTTTGTGGAAGGAATCGGGAATATGAGAGTATCTGAAGATGACCTTGTTGCGGTAGGAAAGAATGATGTGAGTTTTTACAGAATACATGGCAATGGGAGACATGTTTGCTAACCAATTCACTCCAGATTTTGTCATTCAAGGTTGGACGAGCATGAGAGATTTGATGAGATATTCATTTAATCTTTCTATTAGACTAGTTTATGATATGCGTACATATATTGGTGAAAATATTTGTATTGTCGATCATGTGTTTATGAGAGAACAGTGAAGAATGATCCATGGCGTTGATATCGATCAGAATTTACAATTGCCATCGTGAGGGGGTCGAAAAACAACTTGAATGATTGATTCTGTGTCAAATCAGTAATTGGCTGATTTTGCTTCGCGACCACAAATCGACTTACGGAGGAGTGTGAGATAGGGGAGTGCAGAGGATAATAATAGTGATGAAAGGCATTAACTGAGAGAATAACTGCTGCTGGGAGATAAATTGTTTATGCCTACATGTAGTAAAAAAGGTTTGTAGATACCTAGCATGGAAGATATACTGCTGCTACTGCTGCTACTGCTGCTACTGCTGCTACTGCTACTACTTGATTGGGCAGGCGTCTCCCCATAAGAAAGAACTTCCAACGACGCTTTGTTTTTCTCTCCCCCCC